CCTCTTGCACACCCCCTACTGGGGATGTGCCCACAACCACGGTACATGCCCTTGACCGGAAATGAACCTGGGACCTTTCAGTCCGCAGGCCGACGTTCTATCCATTGAGCCAAACTGGTTTTGGCTCAGAAGTAATTTTTATCCTCTCCAGTGACTCCATTTATAACTCGCTCAGAGTGCATTCTTACATATTCAGAAAGCTTAATGGATTATGGTTTATCAGCAACCATTTTTTTATAGATATATTTTTATTGACTTCAGAGAGGAAGGGAGAGGCAAAGAGAGAGAGAGGCATCCATGATGAAAGAGAATCATTCATTGGCTGCCTCCTGCATGCCCCCTACTGGGGATGGAGCCCACAACCTGGGCATGTGCCCTGACCGGGAATCGAACCGTGACCTCCTGGTTCATACGTTCATGCTCAACCACTGAACCACGAAGCTGGGCTTGCAGCAGAATTTAAAAGCATAATAAACATGAGGAACTGCACATTATCTTCCCTCCTTCTCCACTGCGATCTTGTCTGCATCCACAGCACAGCTCTGAGAGTCCTCCCACCAAGATGATCTCCATCCATCGGGGAGACCTTTGACCCTTCACCTCACCTGATTTCATGGCGACTCCTGCCCTTCCTCGGCCAGCTTTGTAGATTTCTACAGGAAATGCCTGAAAAGCTTGTGTTCCCAGACTTCCACCCTCTCTTCCCGCTTTTCCCGTCACTGTACCCCCAGCTCAGTGGTCGGCAAACTCATCCGTCCGCAGAGCCAAATATCAGCAGCCCAACGATGGACATGTCTTTGGGAAGCAGAATTTTTTAACTGTAAACATCTTCTAACGCCACTTCTTTCACATAAACTCACCCAGGCCGTGGTGTTTTGTGGAAGAGCCACACTCCAGGGGCCAAAGAGCCGCATGTGGCTTGAGAGCCTCAGTTTGCCTGAAAAGGTGTCTACAGGCGGCAGGCAGGACTCAGTTCCTGACACTCTCAGTCTTCTCTTCTTCCTCTTCTTCCACCCATCCTCCCTGCTCTCAGTGTGTGTATCGCCCGAGGTATAGGAAAGGCTCCAGGGCAGCACACAGAAGGACAATCCTAAATATTGGTGTTCTCACTGGAAAGCAGATGACTCATAAGTAAACCCTCTCCCAAGCTAGCTTGCTTCCAATGATTTGCCTGAAATCAAAATGGAAGGAGGCTCTCATTAAACTGTCAACCGTTATATCACCCAAAATAACTTCTTGTGATGACTGCTCTGTGATTTTTCACACTAGTAAGTCTGGAAAAATACATTTTTTTTAATGGAGACGTTTGTTGCTATTAAAACCCACATTTTTTTTTTTTATTATTACTATGTTCTGTTTCTGTGCAGGCGTTTCTTTAGGATATGGTTAATTCATTGTCTTAACAACACGATCAAGCTTTCCGTTGCCTCCCATTGTGTGCCCTCTGCTGCAAAGACTGGACTTTCCTCTCCTTAGTCATCAGATCCTTGCAAAACCTCAACCGAAAACCGGAACAATGATTTTTCCTGGCGCGTCCCTTTCCCAGAAGGCTGTTCCTCACATCTCATGGTCCCATCTTTGCCCGTGTCGCAATCAGCCATTTGCAAGCAGAGTAGGCTAACCACTGTCTTGGACCAATCAACTTTCTATTTCATGGTTTGTGGAGGAGACTATGAAGAAATTGCCTGGCCCATGTGGTTCAATGGTTGGCCTCGACCTATGAACCAGGAGGTCATGGTTCGATTCCCAGTCAGGGCACACGCCCCGGTTGTGGGCTTGATCCCCAGTAGGGGGCGTGCAGGAGGCAGCCAATCAACGATTTTCTTCCATCATGGATGTTTCTATCTCCCTCTCCCTCTCCCTTCCTCTCTGAAGTCAATCAAAATATATTCTTAAAAAAAAAATAGAGGGAGATGGCAAAATGAAGTCGGGAAACACTAATATTATTTTCATCTGGATGGTGGGTCCCTAGGTCTATTACATCTCTCTCTGCCTCTCCCTTCCTGGCTGAAATCAATGAAGATATTTTTTATTTATTTTTATTTTTTAAATTATTTATGTAAGACTAAGTTACTCATTGATTTGTTGAGTTTCTAACATTTGTTGTTTTCTTTCTTTCTTTCTTTCTTTCTTTTTTTTTAGTATATTTTATTGATTTTTTTTTACAGAGAGGACGAGAGGGATAGAGAATTAGAAACAACGATGAGAAACATCCATCAGCTGCCTCTTGCACACCCCCTACCGGGGATGTGCCCGCAACCAAGGTACATGCCCTTGACCGGAATCGAACCTGGGACCCTCTATCCACTGAGCCACACTGGTTTTGGCAACTCGTAGAGTTTTCGATCTGAACACGCTCTAGCCTTGTTCTCCCTGACAACACCCCAGATCTGCGGGGCGAAAGCAGGCATTTCTGAACCCATCGCAGCCTCCCGGGAAGCTGGTGCTGGAACCAGGCACTCAGGGGCACATTCCAGTCCGTGAAAGACTCTGTCAGTCTTTCCTGGCGGGCCCTCGCACATGTGGGGTTGTGTTTACGCAGGACGTGAATAATTTCGGAAATTGCCAAGACGGAACCAGCATATTTTCTTTTTAAGAGACTATGGAGATCGCAAATCATTCTGCAAATCTAATAAGCTGCGTGGGCTGGGCAGGTCAGTCCCCGACGCCTGCCATGAGCCTGCTGGACGGGCAAAGAGGAGGAGGCGGCGGGGAGCCCCCGGGAGACAGGGATGGGGACGGCGGCTCCCGTAAGGGCTCGGCCCCTGGAAAAGAACGTGGACGCTGAGGGCGTTGCAGGAATTTACAAGGCTTATCACAGCGCTCGTCCAGATTAAACACTCAACAGACTCCTGTGAAGGCATCCCGGCTGGTGACAGGCGGAAGCCTCTTGGGTCTGAGACTAACAACGGTGACGCAGAGAAATTTGTCAGCTTAGATGTCTTTATTCTGCCCATTGCATCCCTGGGACTCGGTTATCTTATAACTGGAAGTTCCTAGCGTTTGACCGTCTATCAAACCTATCTATGATAGCTTAGATATTTTTTTTAATATGACAGGGAATAAAGATTTCTCTCTCTCTCTCTCTCTCTCTCTCTCTCTCTCTCTCTCTCTCTCTCCATATATATATAAAAAATTATATATATATATAATTTTTTACAGAGAGGGATAGAGGGCTAGAAACATCAATAAGAGGGAATCATCGATTAGCTGCCTCCTGCACATCCCCCGGCTGGGGATATGCCCGCAACCAAGGTACATGCCCTTGACCAGAATCGAACCTGGGACCCTTCAGTCCGCAGGCCGACGCTCTATCCACTGAGCCACACCGGTCAGGGCTAGCTTAGATATTTTAAGATAATTATTTTTTGTAACCTTTATTGTTGAAAGTATCACATAGGTCCCCCTTTGCCCACCCATTGAATTCCAGCCCACTGCCACCTCTTGCCCCAGGCCTTCACCTCCCTATTGTCTGTGTCCCAGGGGGATGCATCTATGCACACAAGGTCTTTGGTGGATCTCTTCCCACCCACCCACCGTCCCTCCGTGATCTGATCGTCTGCTCCATGCTTCTATGCCTTCGGATCTATTGTGTTCATCGGGTTAGGTTGTTCATTCGATTCCACACGAGGACATTTGTTTTTAACAGAGAAGCAGCTATTTGCACCTGGACCGAACTATACGGGCGGAGGGATCTTAGAGAGGGATGCGGCCTCTCAGTGCCCCGGATTCCTCCGCTGCAAATAAAGGAGATAATAATGCCTGCGCCCTAGGATGCTGATAATTATGTTTATGCATGAAGGGAAATCTGACGCGTTTTGAGCACTGATCCGTATTAACGGTTCTCACTAACATGAATCTATTTTAGACATCTGTAATAGTGCAAGAAGTTTAATGTAATTAATGTTACATTTTAGCCATTCTATATGTTTGTGCCTACTATATGTATGCACTGAGTGGCCAGATTATTAAAATCTCTGAATGCATAATAATCTGGCCATTCAGTGTGTGTGTGAGTGTGTGTGTGTGTGTGTGTGTGTATATATATATATATATATATATATATATATATATATATATATATGTTAGAGGCTGGTGCATGAATTTGTGCATGGGTGGGATCCGGGCAGCCTGGCCAGGGGGAGCGGATATGGGCGGTTGGCCGGCCTGCCTGCTGGTGGAACTCCTGGTTGAGGAGATAATTTGCATATTAGCCTTTTATTCTGTAGGATAGACACTGAGTAGCCAGATGATGATGTGTTCAGAGATCATCATCATCATCTGGCCACTCCATGTGTTATAATTAATACACAGTCTATAACTACAGTATATAACTGCTTCCTATATGTCATATTCTCATGCCATCCTGTGGTGTCCGTGTTAAAGAACCCCATGCATGCATAGTTTCATGGGCGGCGCCATACACAGAGGCAATGATTGCATGTAAATATGATGGGGGAGATGGTGACAAGGGCGAAGATGTAAAAGAAGATAAGAATCCTCTCGCCGAAACCGGTGTGGCTCAGTGGATAGAGCGTCGGCCTGCGGACTGAAAGGTCCCAGGTTTGATTCCGGTCACTAGCATGGACCTTGGTTGCGGGCACAGCCCCAGTAGAGTGTGTGCAGGAGGCAGCTGATCGATGTTTCTCTCTCATTGATGTTTCTAACTCTCTATCCCTCTCCCTTCCTCTCTGTAAAAAAATCAATACAATATATATTTAAAAAAAAAAAAAAAAAAAGAATCCTCTCTATTGAGGGGTATTGCTGACCCTTAAGGTATCAATGAAAATATACCCATGAGCCCGGCCGGCGTGGCTCAGTGGTTTCACACCAACCTGTGAATCAGGAGATCACGGTTCGATTCCCCATCAGGGCACAGGCCTGGGCTGCGGGCTCCATCCCCAGTGCTGGGTGTGCAGGAGGCAGCGGGTCCCTGGTTCCCTCTCCTCACGGATGTTTCTCTCTCTCGCTTTCTCTCTGGTGCTCCTCTCCTTGCAGGGATGTTCTGGAAGCTCTGTCTGACCTTGACCCTGGCGGCCGCACTGGTGAGGGCGGCCGATGGCAGGAAGAACCGGCCTGCGGGCGCCATCCCCTCGCCCTACAAGGACGGAGGAGGAGGAGGAGGAGGAGGAGGAGGAGGAGGAGGAGGAGGCAGCAACAACTCGGAGCGCTGGCAGCACCAGGTCAGGGAGGTCAAGGAGGTGCTGGCGTCCAGCCAGGAGGCGCTGGTGGTCACGGAGCGCAGGTACCTGAGGAGCGACTGGTGCAAGACGCAGCCGCTGCGGCAGACGGTGGGCGCCGAGGGCTGCCGCAGCCGCACGGTGCTCAACCGCTTCTGCTACGGCCAGTGCAACTCCTTCTACATCCCGCGCCAGGCCCGTCGCCCCGAGGACGCCGCCTCCTTCCAGTCCTGCGCCTTCTGCCGGCCCCAGCGGGTGGCCTCCGTGCTCGTGGAGCTGGACTGCCCCGGCCTGGACCCACCCTTCCGGCTCAAGAAGATCCAGAAGGTGAAGCAGTGCAGGTGCATGTCCGTGAACCTGGGCGGCTCGGACAAGCAGTGAGATCCATGGCGCACGGGCCCCGGGACGCACCGGCCACCACCGGCCCCTCCATCCCTGTCCTCGAACCCGCTCTGCTTGGGGAGGATCGTGTCCTGGTTGCAGCTTGGCTGATGGGTGTGGGGGGCCGACACCGGGCCTCCCAGCTGCACCCCGGATCTGGAGGAGGAGGCTGGGCCGGTACCCGGGGGTCTGGAGAGGGTTGATGTTTCCACCGTGTGGAAAGGGGCCGTTGCCCTGGCCTGGCCTGCACTCCAGCTCGCCCTCTGCCTCCCAAAGTGAAGGATGCACGTCCTCTCAACCTTCTGCTGCTGGACCCTGTCCCCCTGGTCTCCCAGGACCCCTGGTCCCCACGGCTGGGGCTGCCTCTGGCTGCTGAGCTGAGATTTGGAGGAGCCGCCTGTGGGCAGGAGTTCCGTCCCCTGAGGCCAAGAATTGGTGGCCACAGCGGCTTCCCTGAGGACCTTGCTCACAGCAGGCCATGCTCCCCCCGCCCCCAGCCCCCTTCACCTGCCTCACTCCCTCTCCCCTCTCCCCCCAACAACAGACTCCAGATGGACGCTGGTGTGCATGCTGTCATTGCTACCGTCCGCATGTTATCACACACACGGCCTGCAGGGTGGCACCCTAGGGTGTCATGCCTGACCTGTATGTACCCCACAGAGCTGTCCCCAAGGGTTCTGGGTTTGGTTCTCCTACTGGTTCATGGGTTTGGACTCTGGCTCGGCAGTGGGTCCTGGGTCAGGACCAGAGCAGGAGGCTGGCGGGCCCAGACGGTGTCTGACTCAGAAATAAGGCCTGGCAGCGGGTGCCTGCTCTGGATCAGGAAGGGAGGTGAGGGGGGAGAGGTGGTCTCACACTGAATAGAAGGAATGTAGCCAGCAGGTTGGGGTGCAGGGGTGCGGGGAGGCGGGCACCTCGGGAAATTGGCCATCTTTTCCCTGCCTCTGCAGAGTGAGAAGGTCCGTTATTTCACTGCCACGGCACTAAGCAGACGCTATTTTAAAAGAGAGAGCTATTTAAGAAGGCAAGGAGTTGGGTCACCTTGTGCTCTAGGCCAGTGGTCGGCACACTCATCCGTCCACAGAGCCCAATATCAACAGTACGACGATGGCCATGTCTCTGGAGAGCCACATTTTTTAAACGTAAACTTCTTCCAACGCCACGTCTTCCACACAGACCCGCCCAGGCCGTGGCGTTCTGTGGAAGAGCCGCCCTCCAGGGGCCAAAGGGCCGCAGGTGGCTCGAGAGCCGCAGTTTGCCGACCACGGCTCTAGGAGGAGGTCAAGGCTATGACGTGTCCAGTGGGAATCTGTAAACTCACAGAAAGCCATGGGCTTCCTCTTCAAAGAACAGACTCCCGCCTACAAGGCGGGCACCCTTAGGCCAGCTTGCATATTTTTCTCTCATGAATCCTTGAGGTTCTCACGCTGTGGTCTTTTGACGGAAGGAAGTGGACATCATTTAGTTTCCTGAAAAAAAATTCTTTTTACTCTGCTAAATGGCCCCCACCGGAAGGTTCCCTGTGCGTGGTGTCTATGGAATCTGATCCATGCGAACGAGATTCCAACCTGATGGGAGGAAATGAGCGGGCTCAGAACGGTTTTCCCTGGCAATCCCCAAGCCCTGGGCCCTAGACACTCCGCTGGGGACCTCAGGAAGGCCTGTGAGTTACCCGGATGGGGGAGACGTGGAAACCGAGGCTTCTTGGCATGAGACAGCGATGGAGGAGGATCTAGATACATCCCCCTGGAGAGCACGGATTCGGTGGGTGTGGCGTGTCCAGGCACCCGTGGCCACTCCTGCCCTTTTTTCAGTTTCATTTCCGTTATTTCTGAAGCATCCCGAGATCTGAGCAGGATGTGCGGTGTGTGATAGAGCCCTCGGGGTTCAGAAATGGGCCCGAAGGCAGGACATTCGCATGCAGTGGGAAACCTCAGGTCAGACTCAGGCAGAACACGCAGCAGAGAAGCCGGGAGGGAAAGTGGTCCATGTGATTGAGATGGAGGCCGATGGAGAGGAAGAGGAGGAGGAGAGGGGAGGGGAAGGGAAGCGAGGGCAGGGCATCCTCTGCTCAAACTGCCACGCCACCCGCTGTGCTTGTAGAAGCACAGAACCCAGGCCGATAGGGGAAGGATGAGGATGCACTCAGAGGACAAACACCAGCCCGACTGTGGGTAGAGCAACGGAAGCAATACGATATGCTGCAATGTAGGTTCTTGTCTGTACAAAGTTTACCTTCTGATGGCTCCAATCGTATTTAATTGTGTGTGTGTGTTGGGTTTTTTTTGTTGTTGTTGTTATAAATGAAGGAAAGCTATCCGTATAATGTAATTATTTCATAGGTGTACTATTAAATTATAGAACAAATAAAGAGGCTCTAGGATTCTGTGGGGTCTCGGTGTGGCGTGCCATGAGGAAGGAAGGGTGAGCTTGGCTCTGGGGATGGCCCAGGAGCACTGTGCGTTAGGAGGGCTTCTGTCCGGCCGCGGGGAGTCGAACCCCTGGCCCGCATCGCAGCATCGCCCGCCTTCGGGGCCGGCCAGCGTCAGAGAGATTCAGAAGCAGGCGTCCAAGAGCAGAAGGACTGGGGGTGGCTCTCAACCCTGGTCTTGGGGATTTTCCAAGACTCTTACAGATCCCAGCAGCTGGAGAGAGAATTCCTTCTTTTCTTTTTTTCTTTCCTTTCCTTTTCTTTCCTTTCCTTCCTCTTTCTTTCTTTCTTCCTTTCTTTCTCTTTCTTTTTTTCTTCTTCCCTCCTTCCATCCATCCTTCCTCTCTTTTTTTCTTTTTCTTCCTTTCTTTCCTTCCTACCTTTCTTTCTTTCTTTCTTTCTTTCTTTCTTCCTTTCTTTCTTTCTTTCTTCCTTTCTGTTAAAATATATTTTTATTGATCTGAGAGAGAGAGGGAGAGAGAGAGAGAAACATCATTGATGAGAGAATCATTGATCAGCTGCCTCCTGCATGCCATCTACCGGGGATCGAGCCCACAACCTAGCCGTGTGCCCTTGACCGGAATCGAACCCGGGACCCTTCAGTCCGCAGGCCAACGCTCTATCCACTGAGCCACGCCGGGTGGGAAGAGAGAATTCTCCAGCTGTTCCCACTGTGTTCTCCGCATCAGGAAGACAGAGCCGGGAAACCTGGAGACACCGCCGCAGATGGAAATCTGCCGTCCACCTCACCGTCCCCTCAGCAGCCTGGGCCCCCCACCGTGTCTCCCAGGAGCCTGAGCTTTGGACATTTCCACACCCACTTGTCACGAGGCTCGGCCTTTCTTAATTTAAGTCCTTTCGTTTCACAGCGTCTCACTTCCTCTATGGATCGGCTTACTTGCCATTCAAGAGACTGAACCACCAATAAAAACGATGAAACTGCATATGGTTGTCTTGCTGTTTGGATTTAAAAGGGATTTCATTGAACTTCCTGATAAGTCGTTCAATTTAGTTCATTAATTGGGGCCCAACACGCCACCTACACGAGACTAAGGCATTCCAATTCACTTGTTTCTGAAGTTGGATGATTGATTTAAACACACACACACACACACACACACACACACACACACAAAACTATTTTTATTGATTTCAGAGAGAAAGGGAGAGGGAGAGAGAGATAGAAACACCAATGAAGAGAGAGAATTATTGATCGGCTGCCTCCTACACACCCCGTACAGGGGATGTGCGTGCAACCAAGGTACATGCCTTTGACCGGAATTGAACCTGGGACCTTTCAGTCTGCAGGCCGATGCTCTAGCCACTGAGCAACACTGGTGAGGGCTTTTTTTTTTTTTTTTTAATCTGTTGAACAAATCCATGCCACTTGGAAGTCAGTACTCAATGGCATCCTCCTTACAGTCACAACCCTGAAATGCCAGCCTGGGGGGTCCCGGACTCCCCACCTCTGCCCCTAACACACACACCTCTTCACTCGCCAAATTCTGCATCTGTCTTACAGAGGGAGGAACCATTTGACACTGGCCCAGAGAAACTGAGGCAGCAGCAAAGGGATCCTTGAAGGAGGTCCCCAAATTAAGGTCTGATGCTGGGATGGATATCAGGGCTCCAGGATGGGGGTCTGGGCTCCATCATAGGGGTCTGGGCCCCAGCAGCGAGATCTGAGTATCAGGATAAAAGTCCGGGCCCCATCACTGATTTCAGAACTCAGGATGTAAGTCAATGCAGCTGAGGGAGGTTCTAGTGAGGCCGTAGAAATTGGGATTTTTATATGAAGGTCTGGGCCCTGAATTAAGGTCTAATCTTGGGATGGGGGTCTGGGACCTGAGATGGGGGTCTGGGACCTGAGATGGGAGTCTGGGCCCCAGGATGGAGTTCTGGGCCCCGTGGTAGAGATCCTGGCCCCAGGCATGACGTCAGATACCCGGATGTAGGTGAAGGCCCCGGATGGAGGTCCTGGTACCGCCGTAGGAACAGGGGTCCTGGCCTTACGGTGCTGTCCCTGAGTTAAGGCCTGAATTGAGGTGGCCCCCGCCCTCCCGAGCCACATGGTCAAGGTCAAGACAGAAGCTCAGCGAGAGGTAGGTGGGGGCTCTCGGGGCGGGTGGCCAGGCTGGGGCCTCCACCTCGGCAGTGGGGTCATTCTAACGGGCTTGGGAGAAAGGGGTGAAGGCAGAACGGAAGCCGGGGTGCTGGGGTCCCGGAGGGGGGTGAAGGTAGAGATGGATGAGACGCAGGAGGGCGGCCTGAGGCTGGAGCAGGAGACAGCCCAGGAACGCACAGGCCCGTGGTCAGCAAACGGCGGCTCACGAGCCACATGTGGCTCTTTGGCCCCTGGAGGGTGGCTCTTCCACAAAACACCACGGCCTGGGCGAGTCTGTGTGGAAGACGTGGCGTTAGAAGAAGTTTAAGTTTGAAAAGTGTGGCTCTCCAGAGACATGTCCATCGTTGTGCTGTTGCTATTTGGCTCTGTGGACTCATGAGTTTGCCGACCACTGCCCTAAACACTTAAAAATTTTTTTTTTACAAATGAGGTAGCAGCCATATAACATTCTTTCAGAAAAAGGATTGCAATGGGAGTCACGGAATTTATTCTAAAAGGAACGGGATTGTGTTGCTTTGCCAACCTGGGGCGTGTAATCAACCACCTGGGGATCTTGTTAAATCCCAGGTCCCGCCTGGCCTGCGTGGTTCAGTGGATAGAGCAGCGGCCTGAGGACTGAAGGGTCCTGGGTTCGATTCCAGTCAAGGGCATGGACCTGGGTTGTGGGCTTGATCCCCAGCCCCATTAGGGGTGCATGTGGGAGGCACCAGTTGATGAGTCTTTCTCACTTCGATGTTTCCCTCTCTCTTCCCCTCCCTAACCCTGACCTATCTAATCCCATCAATCTAATCCCATATATCAAACCCTATATATTAAATCCCATCCATCCAACCATATATATATATATACACATATATATGTATATAATCCCATCAATCTAATCCCATCCATCTAATCCTATATATAATCCATAAATCTAATCCCATATATTCTAATTCCATACATCTAACCCCATCCATTCCTATATATAATCCCATCAATCTAATCCCATCCATCCAATCCTATATATAATCCCATACATCTAATCTCATTGAATTCACAAACCCAGGATGTAGGATGATGCTGCTGACTGAGGTTCGAGTGCCGCCATAGAAATTGGGGTTCTGCCTTCAAGGCCTGGGCCTCAAATTATTGAAGAATTGGGATGGGGGTCTGGGCCCCGGAGAGAGGTCTCTGCCCGGGATGGAAGTCAGGGCCTCTGAGGGAGGTCAGGGCCCTGGCGGGAGGTCCGAGTCCTGCCATGGACACAGGGGTCCTGCGGGAGGGTCTGGGCCCCAAATTAAGGTGTGATCCTGGGATGGATGTCTGGGCCCCGTGGCAGTGATCCTGGCCCCAGGACTGAAGTCAGGTACCTGGATGTAGGTGAAGGCCCCGGATGGATGAAGATCCTGGTACCACCATAGGAATTGGGGTCCTGGCCTTAAGTTGTTTTTCCCTGAATTAAGGTCTGATGCTGGGATGGATGTCAGGGCCCCAGAATCGGGGGGGTCTCAGCTCCATCATGGGCATCTGGGCCCCAGGAGGGAGGTCTGAGTATCAGGATAGGAGTCCGGGCCCCATAATTGAATTCACGGGCCCAGGACGTACATCAATGCAGCTGAGGGAGGTTCGAGTGCCGCCGTAGAAATTGGATTTCTGACTTGAAGGTCGATGCTCAACCACTGAGCCACACCGGCCGAGCTCTAAGGCCCCATTTTCTGTAGAGGGCAGTGAGCAAACCACCGCTTTAGAAATGTCCCTCATTTCCTATTCTTTCTGACAAGTCTTTTTGCTCAGAATAGAAGTACTTCCTATTTTTTAAGGAGCAGTGCCTTCATTGTCTTCATCTTTTGGGATCTGGGGCCCAGGATGCAGGTCTGGGCCCCGGGGCAGTGATCCCGGCCCCAGGAGTGACGTCAGGTACCCGGATGTAGGTGAAGGCCCCGGATGGAGGACCTGGTACCGCCATAGGATTAGGGGTCTTGGCCTTAAGTTGTCCCTGAATTAAGGTCTGATCATGGGATGGAAGTCTGGGCCCCGAAATGGGTGTTTGGGCCTCAGGAGGGATGTCTGGGGTTCTGGGTAGAGGTCCTATGAACCAGCAGATCACAGTTTGATTCCTGGTCAGGGCTCAATTCCTAGTGTGGGGTCTGCAGGAGGCAGCCCATCATTGATTCTCATCATTGATGTTCCTCTCTCTCTCTCTCTCTCTCTCTTTCTCTCTCTCTCTTTCTCTCTCTTTCTCTCTCTTTCCCTCTCTCTTCCTCTCTGAAACCAATAAGCATATATTTGAAAAATAAAATGGGGCCTTACAATTCTTCCTTTGATTGACCTCCTCCTCTTGTTCTACTGGGGACTTCTAACCCATCCCATCTCCCGTGCATCTCTCTGCGCTTTGAGCTGTGCCAAGTCACCCTGACGAAGTACCAAGGGCCCAGGCCCCACCCCGACTCCAACTCCTTGAAGGGGAGGAGTGTGTTTGATAAACTAGGCACATGGCACATCTTCCTAACCACCACCTCCACCCTTCCGGTTCTGCTGCTCAAAGCAAGACTGGAGCCGTGAACAAGAATGTGCTGGCTCCTGTGTGGGGCAGGGATGCTGGGTACCACATTATACATTGGGTGTCTCATCAAGGCTGGAGATTTGACACTTGATGTTTGAAAGTTCAGCAAACAAGGTTGGAGAGTTGTCCAAATATTTACATCTGTCGTTTTGTGTTGCTTTGTGTTCCGCTTTTGTGTGTGTGTGTGTGTGTGTGTGTGGTGTGGTATGTGTGTATATTTTTAAATTTTTGTTTTAGATGAGTACCCAGTATACAATATACAACTCGTGTTACCATAGGCACCACATGTGTGTGTTCCCATGTGCTAGAAGGTGCTCTGTTGGTGGGATCTGTTTCTGGATGCCTTCTGGAGTTTGGGAAGCTACATTTTATTTTATTTTATTTTTAATATATTTTATTGATTTTTTTACAGAGAGGAAGAGAGAGGGATAGAGAGTTAGAAACATCGATGAGAGAGAATCATCAATCAGCTGCCTCCTGCACATCCCCGACTGGGGATGTGCCTTCAACCAAGGTACATGCCCTTGACCGGAATCGAACCTGGGATCTTTCAGTCCACAGGCCAACACTCTTATCCACAGAGCCAAACCAGTTTCGGCACAGAAGCTACATTTTAAATTTCTTTTTTTAAAATATCCTATATAATAAAAGGCTACCATCTTTGTTGGGTTAATTTGTATAATCACTCCCGATTGGCTGGTGGATGTCACGAAGGTATGGTCAATTTGCATCTTACTCTTTCATTAGTATAGATAGCCCTTTACCACATATTCTGAACTGAATAAATTTCTGCATCTGATTTCTAAACGATTTCTCAGACATTAATATGTTGTTTTTCATAAGTGGATACTACTTTTTTCTTCCAATTACAGTAGGAAAACTTCAACCTTTTTCAAAATATGCTTTGATGGAGCACAGTAATTACTTTATCTTGGAAAGCAAGCATTCATCAAATGCTTAACCATTAGCTATTGTAAATAAGAACTTTTAGGAATCTTCACACAGAGATAGCCTAACTTCTCTCCCTCCCAGTTTTAAATGCGATTGGCTTCACGTTGCAATATCCTTAGGCAACATGCACACAACGGACACGGAGCCTTTCATTACTTGTTTTATTTTCATATAAATTAACATCCTAAAAAAATTGAAATAGAAACACTAGATACAGTATTGCACATAGCGATCTTTGTTAAATGCCCTATATTTTCCTGGAAGAATATTAATATACACATTGGAAAGAGGGAAGGAGACAGGAAGACTACAAAATGACAACCAAAAAAAACCCCACTATGCTTTCTCTACACTTAACAAACTCAGGTAGGAGACCATACTTTACATAAATACAATCTTAGTTGCACGTCAGAACGCTCTCGTTTGTGAAGTCGCTTTCCACAATGGGCCAGCGATAGCCATAAACTCCCCTCTTTTCTCTACAACCATAACCCCCAACCAACACCATTAAAATCATTTTCACAAACCACACCTGCTCAGGTGAGACAAAACCATCACAACGCATCATAAGCGGACTCGAGGTACTCTCCGAGGAGTCCTCTTTTCCCTCGGACATAAAATAAAATCCTTTCCTAGGCTCCTTCAAATCATGAATAATGGCATATTCACTTTACAGCTTTGAATCACCTGCCATCACCTACAGGGAGGGTCCCAAGGATGTCCAAATACTCCAACAGGTGTGTTTCACTAACAAGTTCTAGGCCGATGCCGATCCAACAATTAGCCACGTCTGATGATTTTATAGGCATCAGCTCCAAAATATTGGGTTGTATTTTCTTGTGAAAGGCCATGGCAAAGTGATGGAGAGGCACACGTTTAGTTTTCCTTCTCTGCTACAGATTCGCTTCATGTTGGGTTTCCAATGACACTCTGATCAAAAGCCCTCAATAACCAAAACACCGATTTCTGCCAACATGAAATGATTGATGAGAAAAGGGGTTCCTTTCTGCTATATATATATATATTTTTTTCATTTTCATCCCAGCAAAAATAGGATCATCTCTTTTCACAAATATATATTCATGGAGAGCAACTTGAGGAGTGGGGAGAGCCTTCCTGATGATAGATCAACGGTGCTGAAATCTTAGGATAGAAAACACAGACGTAGATGGGAAACTAGAAATGTCGTTCCAACCATACACCCGCACGCGGTCATGGGGAGCACTGGTTTTCCGTAGCAAGGACTCTCGGTGTAGAAGGAATATTCTCAGAAAAGTAAAATTTAGGTTAAGGTGTAGCACGTTCAGAATTAATGCAGATACTGCCTCCTCGAACATGCTGTCTCAGCTGGTCGGTGTTCACACCATCAACTTTTACAAAAAGAAAAGGTGTCAGTGTACACTGATCTCCTGCTTTTCCACTCTCCTAGGAACGTCCAGTGAAGGTCAGCCGTCGGTCAGCCATCTAGGAAACACAGAGGTGATGCGAGGGGTCAAGAAGAAAATGACGGGGATGGCGCCGTTCCCTTCTGGCCTCCAGGTTGGCGGAATGTTCTGTAAGTGGCTGGAGGGTGACTCATGTTCATCCTGTTTTCCTTCGTTCAGGTTTTCATGCTGATTTTTGCTTTCTGAAAAAGAAAGGTACCAAAGAGGAGTGATAGTTAGAAAACACGAAGTTTTTAAAATGTCTGGAGTTTTTGGAGGAGCCCAAATGAGACCTTTTCATCTGGACCAGATTCTCTGGGAAAGGTTAAAGGTCAACCAGCCCATAGAAGGGAAAAATATATAAGTAGAATACGTTTCATCTTTTGGAATTTTCACCCAAGACAAACCACTCCATATTTTTGAGTGGAATCCAAGATTTTCAAATTTCATTTCTAATTGATGAGAAAGAGTGCCAACCCTTTTCTCATTCTTAGTTTCATGTACACATACACTAATAGAAAAACTGAAATAAATTGAAAATTATCCCAGCATGATTGGGGTTAACTACTAGATAATTACTCCTCCTCGCTCAATACACTTAAAATCTGTATTTTAATCAAGATGACAGAAAAGAAAGTAAGCCATCATGTACTACTTGTCATGAGTGAAGAATGATTCTGATACAGAGAAGCTGAATGGAAAACAGATTTTATTTCTCTAATTTTTTAGTATTTGGTTATTTATTTAGATAGCTAGCTAATACATTATTATGCTTAGCTGATAGTTCAAGGCTCATTGTCTTGCTGTCCTGTCATTTTTAAATTTTATTTTTCAGTGATAGTTGACAGTCAGTATTATTTTATATTAGTTGTAGCTGTACAGCCTAATGTTTAGACAATCATACAATTTCCAAAGTGATACCCCTGATATTATAGTATAATATCCCCAAGGCCCATCCATGTTGTCACAAATAGTAAGATTTCATTTTTTTTTTTTTTATGGTCAAGGAATATTGCATTGTATATGTGTACCACAGATGGTTTTGTAATCCACTCATGTATTGATGTGCAATTGGGATGTTTCCATATCTTGGCTACTGTAAGTAATGCTGTAATGGACCTAGGGGTGTATATATCTTTTAGTGTTTTGGATTTCGTTGGATTGATACCCAGAGCTGGAATTGCTGAGTCATGAGGCAGTTCTATTTTTATGTATTTATTTATTTTAGAAAACATTTCTTTTTTATTTATTTATTTTTTAATTGATTATTGTGTCACATAATTGTCCTTATTCCCCCATTCCCATCCCAAATCCCTCCCCACATATGCCCCACCCCCACCCCCACCCCCGTTGTCCATGGCCACTGGCTAGGCCCATATGTATGCACACAAGTCCTTTGGTTGATCTCTTCCCCTTACCCCCATCCTCCCTTACTTTCCCTCTGAGGTTTGAGAGTCTGATCGCTGGTTCTCTTTCTCTGGGTCTGTTTGTGTTGTTCATTATTTCCTCTAGATGTGTGGGATCATTGTGATCCAAGAAATACCCTTGTAAGAAACTAAACTGCTCGTTTTTGAGGAAATCATCCTGTTTTCCCCAAGTGGCTGCACCCATTTGCACTCCCGGTCAGCAATGCAAAAGGTGTTGCCTTTTCTTTAAGACTTGTGCTGACTGATTTATTGATGATAGCCATCCTGGCAGGTGTAAGGTGACATCTCATTGTGGTTTTAATTTGCATGTCTCCGATGATTCTTGATGTTGAGTGTCTTTTCATATGTCTGTTGGCCTTTCTGGAATGATGTCTATTCAGGTGCTTTGCCCATTTTTTAATTTGGATTGTTTGTTTTGTTGGTGTTGAGTTGCATGAGTTCTTTATGAATTTTGTACATTAACCCCTTGTCAGATGTGTCCGTGGTGAATATTCTCTTCCATTTGGGAGGTTGCCTTTTCATTTTGTTGATGGTTTTGTTGCTGCGCAAAACTTCATAGTTTGATGTAGTCCCATTTGTTTATTGTTTTCTTTTGTTTCTCTTTTCCAAGGAGATATAATAGAAAAAAAAAATACTGCTGCCGAAACCGGTTTGGCTCAGTGGATAGAGCGTCAAACTGCGGACCGAAAGGTCCCGGTTTCGATTCTGGTCAAGGGCACGTACCTTGGTTGCGGGCACATCCCCGGTGGGGGGGGTGCAAGAGGCAGCTGATTGATGTTTCTCTCTCGTCGACATTTCTAACTCTCTATCCCTCTCAATTCCTCTCTGTATAAAATCAATAAAATAATTTTTTTAAAAATACTGCTAAGAGAAGCGTAAGATATTTGATTGCCTATGTTTTTCCTAGGGTTTTTAGAATTTCAAGTTTTACATTTAAGTCTTTAACCTATTTTTAATGTATTCTTGTGTATGTTTCCATTTATGTGTATCTTTTTCAATTTCTTTCTTTGGTGATTTATAATTTTATGAGTATAGGTCTTTTGTCTCCTTGGTTGAATTTATTCCTAGGTATTTTTTCTTTTTGGTGCAGTTGTAAATGGGACTGTTTTTCTAATTTCCCTTTGTGATTGTTCATATTGTATATAAAAATGCAACTGGTTTATGAATATTAGTATTATATCCCTGCTACGCTACTGAATTCATTACTGAATGTTGTGTAAGTGGCTGGAGGGTGGCTCATGTATTCTTTAGGACTATTTATATGTAGTATCAGGTCATCTGCAAACAGTGACAATTTTACTTCTTTCCAAATTGGGTGCCTTGTATTTCTTTTTCCTCTCTGATTGCTGTGGCTAGGACCGCCATATTAAATACCCTATTGAATAAAAGTGGTGAAAGTGGACAACCCTGTCTTGTTCTTGACCTTAAGAAAAACATCTGTAGCCTCCCCCCACTGAGTATGTTAGCTGTGAGTTGGTTTGTCATATATGGCTTTTCCCCATTGAATATGTTAGCTGTGGGGTTGTCATATATGGCCTTTATTATGTTGAGGTACAAACTTTGCAGAGAGCTTTTATCATTCATGAAGGCTGGATTTTATATAATTTTTAATGAATGCATTTTTTTATATGATTTTTCCCCCCTTCATTTTGTTTATGGGGTCTATCACATTAATTGATTTGTAGATATTTTACCAACCTCTCATCCTAGAAGTAAATCCCACTCGATCACGGTGTATGATATTTTGAATATATTTGCTAATATTTTGTTGAAGACTTTTGCATCTATGATCATCAGGGATATTGGCCTATAACATTCTTTCACTTCAGTGTCAGTATCTGGTTTTGGAATTAGGATAATGCTGGCCTTGTAAAATGAACTTGGAAGCCTTTCCTTAACTTGAATATTTTTTTGAATAGTTTGTGAAGGATAGGTGTTAATTCTTCTTTGAAAATTCACCTGTGAAGCCATCTGATCCAGGACTTGGGAAAGGAACACAGCCTAGGACTGAAGTCACAACTCGTAATTTTTTCTAAAGTGGGCTATTTAGCCATATAAAAACCCGAGTTGCTTTAATATCTTTTCCACTTAGACTGTGTGAGGCGAATCCAGTTGAACATGTTCCCATTTTAAAACTTACCCCAACTTTTCACCTAAAAGAGCATCATTCCCTTAGTCTGTGGCACCGAGCGATAATCCCTCACAACTTTCGGCAAAACATGGGCCATGCCACGAGGTCAGGAGGGAAAACTCATCGTTGGCACTACGCCCTCCCCTCCAGGGTGCAAAACCTGGCATTTTCTTTTTAAGGACGACGTGGGCAAGGAGGAAACTTAGAACAGCTTGTTCAACTCCGGTTACTGACTGACAGCTGTTAAGCAGCCAGCTATGTAGAGACGTTTATGGGGACAAACCAGCTGCGAGCCCTCTGTCTGAGCAAGGAACACCTTGGCACTTGGCTTCTCCCGCTGTGGTTCAGGTCTCAGTGGCACAAATGCAATTCTAACAGCCATCCTGGGTTCAAGTGCAGCCCTGAGCTGTGATCCTGTGTAATGCAGAGCATGAAAGATCACTCCCTTACCCCCATTCCCACTGGTACACCCATAGCCACATAGGAGCCCTCAGTAGGTTTATCTTACTTCTTAAGCTTGGAATGCTGAATACTGAGATTCTTCTTAGTCTCTTGGGCTTAATGAATGCCCTCCAGAAGAAGAAATTCTTTAATTTAGAAGCTCATTATGTATTCAAGCTTAAGAGAAACATCATTAAAATACTCTGTGTCTGTCTGTATTAATATTTGTATGTCCACACAGGGTTCAAAAGCCAAAGAAAAAAATCACAGGTTGAAGAACAGAAAAGAGAGGTACTTACAATCCCAGAATCGTGTCTCGGCTTTATTTTATAAAGTGACTTTCCCTTCTTCTGCCTACACACCTCTTCCGCTTCTTTTACTCTGGGGGGGAAGGAGAAGACACGGGCATTTGTTAATCTGAACAAAATTCTACACGGATTATATAGCAATTCACCTTATAATTGGTGAGCAAGCATCAACGCATTAAGGTTTTGAATTATTGGAGGAGAAAATATACAGACATGTCACCTGACATTTGATTTAAAAATGTAGAACGGCATGAACAGACTGTTGAACCTCAGAGGGAAGGCAGGGGAGGGTGGGTGGGAAGAGATCAACCAATGAACTTGTGTGCATATATGCATAACCTGTGGACACAGACATTGGGGTGGGGAGGGCCTGGGGGGTGGGGAGGATGAGAGCGGGCTGGAAGAGTTTTATGTGGGGGAGGGGACACTTTCAACAATAAAGTTGATATTTTCAACAATAAAGATGTTAAAAATAAAAATAAAAAGACTTTTTTATGTAATACTTTCAACAATAAAGATGTTAAAAATATATTTTAAAAAATAAAAACAGACTGTCAGAGCTAGAGGCAAATTCATCCAGGGGCTCTTAACTTGGAATCCAAGGATGCAGAATGGAATAATATACAAAATGATAAAGATTTTTATGTACATGTTTCATTCTATATTTAAAAAGTCTTTTATACAAGAAAGTATATAAAGACAATATATATACAAGACAGCAAAGAAAAACTCATTTTTCATACTCAGATTGGCACCATTACATGAATAGGGTAGGCACCATATCATAAACCCAGCAGCACTAAAATAACTAAATTAGCAGCATCACCTAAAAACTCAACAGCTTACTTAAAACAAGTTCAGATCCATTTTCCATGGCACATTTAGACTCATGCATGAAAATCCATTGCACTGAATACTTGGGTAGTTTTTTAAAAATGGAATTTCATCAAGCATGGGAACTCATCATTTCATTGAAAACAGAAAGCAGGGAGGGAGCAATAATGACATTCTCATACCACGAGAATGTCTTTTCAAACACGCACGCCAAGGAAAACAGTAATAATGCATTTGCCAGAGGTAGCGTTAAAAGAGGATGTTATTTGGCGAGTAAGTGCTGGCTTTGCTAGGGACATTGGGCAATTTCTTAATATCCTGATGCCACTGACCTTGACTTCTCTCAAACGGCAAAAGGGATATACATGTAATATCACAGTATTACTATTATTACTACACAGAGTGGTAGCAAAGATTTTTTAAATTTTTTATTTAAAATTTCTTTCCAAAAACTTAAAATACTATAAACAGCGATGCAGGTTTACTTTCAAGGTACTGTAGGACATCTATAAACTGGAATCCCATTAATAATATGATGGGGTATCATAGGAAGGAAAATAACCTGCCAGATTAATGATATTGTGTTATTATGGTTTACTCTGGGGATGAAAAAAATTGAAGTATTTCTGAAGGAAGTAAAAAGGCCAGGACATTTTCATAAAAGACTCTGTGTGTACATCTGGAAGACAGTTTCGACAAAGAAATGGATTGTAAATATCCTCCTTGAGTCCTGTGACAAAGGAGCTAAGGAGAGAATTCATTTCCAAGAGAGCTCAGTGAATCTCTGCTCTTAAACAACCGAATGCAACAAATAATTCAATACAGGAGCCACAAGGCCGATGGGAGAGTTTACCTTAAAGGGTGGCCAATGAAAGTAACTCCCTGAGGACATAAGATGCCTTAGGGTTGCTATTGTTAGCAATTCCAGAAGATGAAGACACTGCCGTTGCTAACACTTTCCTGACTTTCCACCCAGGCCATAAATCGCCTTTAATCCTTCCTCCAAACATTTGAAGACAAAAATACATCCTTGATAGCCAACCAAGGACTGCCGAGTCCCCATCTTCCTCTGAAGCCACGATCAGTCAATTCACAATGAACTCTCTTTGGACAGGGAATTAAGGAAACCTTTTTCGTAGCCAAAATCCAGTAAATTCCCTCTTAAATGGGTTTGGAGCGCTCTAAAATATTTGGGGACGTTTATGAAAATGGACGTCACACACATTTGGATCACCAGAGAGAACCATGGATCAGCTGCCTCCTGCATGCCCCCTACTAGGGATTGAGCCTGCAACCCGGGCAAGTGCTGTCTATAGTCTGTGTGATACAAGACCCAGCCTTCCCCAACGTCAAGTCCACTGGCTGCAAATGCCGAACCATAAAGTTCTTCTCGCCTATTGATTTCAGAGAAGATGGGAAGAGAGGGAGAGAGAGAAAAGCATCAATGATGAAAGAGAATCACGGGTCGGCTGCCTCCTGCACACCCCACACTGGGGATAGAGCCCACAACCTGGGCCTGGGCCCTGACCGGGAATCGAACTGTGACCTCCTGATTCCTAGGTCAATGCTCAATCACTGAGCCATGCTGGCTGAGCTAACCAGTCTTTTAATTCTTTTATTTTTAGAGAACTGAGTTTCCCAACTATCTTTCTGGAGATGCTTTCTTAATCTCTTTTCTTAATTATTGAACTTCCCCTCAATGTTATTTTTCCTCCCATGGCTCTGATCTCGACTCTGATCTTGACTGTGATTTCATCGGAAATCTCCACTTCACAATTCCAACTCCCCTTTCTGCGCTGAAGACTCCAGACCCGCACTCCAGCTCTGGCCTTCCCAGCCCCATGCTCCAAATCCTGGTGGACAGCAGTCTCCTCTCTCTCACCGGGGCCTTGGCCAAGCACATAACCAGTTACCCTCTGAGCAATTCCTCTCCCTCTTCACCATCCCCTCCGTGCATATACAAATAGTCAACAAATTCTGTTACTCATTATTCTTTAATGATTTTAAGATCTGTCCCAACATCTCTCATTCCATTGATTTTTGTTGTTGTTTTTGTTCATCTTCACCAGTGGATATTTTTTTCCCACCAATTTTTTAAAGAGAGTGGGAAGGAAGGGGAGAGACACAGAGAGAGAAACATTGATGTGAGAGAGACACATGGATCGGCTGCCTCCTACACGCCCTCCTACAGGGGATTGAGCCTGCCATCCAGGCATGTACCCTGACCAGGAATCGAGCCATGACCTTCCTGGTTCCTAGGTTGACACTCAACTTACTGAGTCACTCTGGCTGGGCTAAAAGACTAAATCTTTTAAAACTCTGAACATGTAAATCATGGCAGTTTAAAATAATTTCTGAAAGGAAACTATTTAGAAAAACTGGCCTCATGATTTATCGAATGCCGGGGAATAAGCACTATAACGGGACACATTTTGAACTCTATTCAAGGAAAAGTAGTAATGGAAACACAATGGGCTTTAGTGTTCATCTCTGAAAGAGGAAAGCACGTAACACTGTCCAGAAAAAACACATTCTCTTGATCCTAACTTCCAGGAGGAATTCTTGACGCAGCTCTCAAAATAAGAAAATGTGAACAACGGTTCGTACAAATCTAAAAAATCCAGAAGATGGAGAAATTTCTCCAGGGGCCTTTAAAAACAAACCAAAAACAAAAAAATCCTCCATATAAACTGAGATTAATTTTCAAACTTGACCTAGGGAAGACATATTTCTGAGGGCATTTCCAAAAACTCTAGGACAGTTGGCATATCTCCTTCATTATCTCAAACTAGGGGCCCGGGCACAAAATTCATGCAAGGGGCTCCGCCCTGGCATCCTCAGCTTTATCCAGAAGGACTTCTGGAAAGTCGTTCGGCTGTCCAGTCTAATTACCATATTACACTTTAATTATTTAAAGTGTAATATGGTAAGAACTGGGAATACCAACACTTCTGTGCTGGTGAAGGAGGGAAATAAATTCCCTTCTGGGATCAGATGAGTGAACAGCAGAGTTTACATTCCATTGTGTAAATAAGGAGGCCGAAGTGTATTCTGTCATACCAGGAGTCACCTTCGTCCACAATCTTCCACGGGAGCTTAACGCGGTATCCGGAAATGTGGACAAACTCAGAACATTCCAGTTAGGACTTTTTAAAATGCTTAGGTGATAATCACTTAATAGTCATTTTAATAAGATACATATGTTCCTCCACACATTAGACATTTTAAGCTTCTGACCACATTTTTCATCGCTCGTTTGAAATCTCTGATTTAGAAAAATAAATAAATAAATAAAGTTTTGCTTTTCTACCAGATCATGTAGTCGGGACAATTTGTATTCTATATATGAGATGTAGATTAACATAGAATTCACAAGTGTAGCTCAACTGAATTGTCTTTTTTTTTTTTTTAAGTCCTGTAAGAATGACCACGTTCTTCCTGTATATACTGAGGATTTTTAGATTTCCCCAGTAAAACAGTGAAACGACACTCCCCCGTCACACAAAACGTCATAGATGATGGCCAAAGCTATGACAAAATCATATTTGACAGCAAACTTCATCTTTTATTACAAGAAAACGGTGCTGGTGACTCCATCGGACATTTTTCATGCAAACATCCTTTTCTGTTTACCTTTCCTAAACTATACCTTTCCTCTCTCCACCTTAAGATATTTCCTGCATCTCAGGGATTTTTATTTTTGCAAATGGCCCAGAAAAGTGTTTGATCAAGGGAGAGATCAAGTTAAGAGTCCCTGACACGCACACATGGTGTATGTTTGGATATTTCTTCGGCAAGGACAATGTGTACCAATAGCTTAGATGCTGTTTTTATAAAAGACTTTCTTTGGTGGGGACCTCTGGTTTAGAGAGAGTTTATCACATTTCCTCCTTGTAAGACTCATAAAAGAGTCAAACAAAGCCACTTGTACCGTAATGGTGCAGAATTATGCAAGAGGAAGAATGGCTTAATTAAGGAGTTAGATGTGGGAGATACACGAGGCAGAAATGGGATCAAGAAGACAAACACGCATTAAGGGAGACCAAGGGTCACAATTTTCCCTCTACTGGATTATTCCTAACTGGCCAAAGACATGCTGTTATCCCACCATCAAAAAAAAAAATTTTTTTTTTAATTCCTGCATCCACTTCCCCCTCTGTGACCCTGTCCTAAGTATGAACTCCTCAAAAAAGTTGCCTCTAACCCTGGCTGGTTCGGCTCAGTGGATAGAGCATCGGCCTGTAGACTGAAGGGTCCCAGGTTCATTTCTGGTCAAGGACACGTGCCCGGGCTGCAGGCTCGATCCCCAGTAGGGGGCGTGGAGGAGGCAGCTGATCATGGTTCTCTCTCATTATTGATGTTTCTCTCCCTCTCTCCCTCTCCCTTCCTTTCTGAACTCAATAAAAATATTACCAAAAAAAAAAAAAAAAAGGTTGCCTAGCATCACCATCCCCACTTACTGTTCTCCCAACCAATCCAATCCAGCGTTCGTCTCTCACCACGTGAGAGAGACTATGCCTGCGGATGTCACCAGTTCCTCCCTGTTCCCAAACGCCAAGGTCAAGGCTCAGTCCTCATCTTTCCCAAAGGGAACATTTCACTCTCTCGTCCCTCCTGCTTGAAGTTCTCTCTTCACCTGGTCCACCAGGCTACCCAGTCTGGCCCCAACATCTCCGAGTGTTTGGGACACAGCAGTAGATCCCAGTCAGTGGTAAAGTGGCTGTGATCCCCTTTCTTTTCCCTTATTAATAATAAGCTTTCTTCATAATCTCATCACTTGCACTTACTTGTATATGTATGCTATCCTGAATGATCATATGTGATTGGGAATATCACATCTCTCCATTCACCCATCATCAATCCATCCATCCGTCCATCCCTCCATCCATCCATCCACCCACCATCCGTCCATCCATCCATCCATGATATTTTTAAAAATGCTTTTTCACCTTTTTCTCTAATGTGTCATCAATACTCTCTAGCCTCTAGTTCTTTTTTTAAAAATATATATATATATTTTATTTATTTTTTACAGAGAGGAAGAGAGAGGGATAGAGATCTAGAAACATCGATGAGAGAGAATCATCGATCAGCTGCCTCCTGCACACGCTCCACTGGAGATGTTGCCTGCAACCAAGGCACATACCCCCGACCGGAATGGAACCTGGGACCCTTCAGTCTGCAGGCCGATGCTCTATCCACTGAGCCACACCAGTTTCAGCTAGCCTCTAGTTCTTGCTATTGTTCTCTGTGCTCTAGTCGGTTTATTTTGCCTTTATAAAATAAAAAGCATTAGGAAAATCAGAGCTGAAGGAAGCAAAGCCATGTACAAGCTCTGCCGAATTAAGAGCACTTCTGTTCTCAACACCACACACGACCCTCGGACCGCATTCACATCCACGTCTAGACGGACTTACACAACGAAAGCTTCCGCGTTATCTGAGGACATCGTAGCTTCTCTTAGCGGATGCATATTTTTTTCCAACTAGTTCTCATATCATTTACCTCCCCCTCAGACTCGGAGCGCTTTAAAGTGGCCAAATGGAATTCCGTCAAACTTTCCAAAAATGTTCACCCCCCCAGGCCATAGGAATTTGAACCAAAGAGGTTAATTTTTAAAAATAATTCCATCTCATAAAATTAAGATCTACTGTAAGTATGCTTTTATTTCTGATGGGCTTTATTTTATTTATTTATTTATTTATTGTAAAACGTGGCTTATGTGCATTTATAATGATAATTAGAATATCTTAAAGATGAGAGTTAGTATTTTTACCTCCTTTCCTTTCCTCACCCAACAAATTTGAGGGACGGATCTCCATATGCTTTGATGCCAGACAATGGAACCCACAACCCAGGTCCATGCCCTTGACAGAAATCGAACCTGGGACCCTTCAGTCCGCAGGCTGACGCTCTATCCACTGAGCCACATCGGTGAGGGCCAGACAGGGCTTTCTATAGCTCAGCATCAAGTTTTCAATCGTTCAAGGAAGGGCTCCGTAAGGAGACATCCCAGCCTTTCTCCAGAGCGGGATCGATGAACTGTGGAGACGTGGTGGCCAGGCCCATATACCTCTGACCTGGATATAGAGCGTGACATGCAGGTGCCCGGCGACTTTGATTCCTACGGGAAGGGGCACGCGGGGCCATCGATGGGAAGTGGAAGACAGCCAGGCCCGGGCGGGACAAGACGGAGACAAGGCTGATGGATTATTCAGAGACTGTGCACCATCACTCCACAAGAGGAGACGACGGATGACGTTGATGAGATAAAGTTTTCCAACTCAGAAAGGCACTCAGGGTATCAGGGACCCTGAGTCTCTGACTCAGGAAAACAAAGCAAAATGAATCAAAATGGGATGAAATTAAATAACATAAAAAATGCTCAGAGGCTCCACAGAAGATAACATTCAGAAAGGGTAAGCAGACAGGCCGCTGGTGTATCTACATATTAACAATATTAGCGCTATAACTAGAAAGCCCTAATGGCACAACCATGTCTGACATCATTTTAGGGAATTATATTAGGCATAATGGGATTTTTTTTTTTTTTTTTTTTTTTGGCTCAGCAATTTACTTAAAAAAAAAAAAAAATTACAAAGCCCTACCCAGTTTGGCTCAGTGGAGATAGAGCGTCAGCCTGCGGGTTCCGGGTTCAATTCCGGTCAAGGGCATGTACCTTGGTTGCGGGCACATCCCCAGTAGGGGATGTGCAGGAGGCAGCTCATGGAAGTTTCTCTCTCATCGATGTTTCTAACTCTCTATCCCTCTCCCTTCCTCCCTGTAATATCTCAATAAAATATATTTTTTAAATGCAAAACCATAGCTCATAAAACTCTAAGAGCATTAGAATTGGAAGTGATTTTATACTAGACATATGAGCGATATTATGCACATAACACTTAAGTGATGCTACCCATCAAGCCACACTGGCCAGGGCCCAGATTTTCAATGTAGAAAAAGCATCTTCCGTGTCTCTAAAGCATCCCTCTCACCCGTGGGAACAGCGATGCCGTCTGGGAATGGAAATCTCCAAGCAGAGCAGAGCCCCTGGCAACCCTTCACTTGGGTGACCAACAAATACATCATCCCATGATCATAACCCTCCTCCTTCATCCCCGTTCTCCACCTGGATCTCTGGTGGCTCTGGTCCCTTTCCTCAACACCGATAGCAACAGACTTCGATCTATACCGACAGCTCCCCTGACGACCGATGTTGGAAACGGAAATGTTAACCTGACAAGAGATGCTCTCCAATTCGATGCCTGACCTCCTGAGGCCCCGCCCCCAAACCCTTTCCCCCTCATTACCAATTCCAGTCGGGCTGAAACCCGGCTTGATTGCCACATGCTTGTGCAATTAACGGGAGAAGCAGCTCTGCTTTCTCCTGGCTCATCAAAGGCTACCTGTCTCGGCGTCGAATAAACCAGCAAATTAAGTTAGACATCCCTTTAAACACAGCCCGTGGCGATGTCACCATTGATCTATCGAATTGAAATGACTTCAGCCAACGGAAAATGAAATCGCGGTAGACCACACTACCCTCCACGAGGCTGGAGTATCTGCTGACAGAGCCAGATCCCCTCATCCAGAACACCTGTCTCTCCTGATAGCCTGGGAAATCCTCTCCGAACCCCAAGCTCCCTGTCAGGAGTCCTCTGGGCAGAATTCATGCCTGGCCCCTGTCCTGTCTTTGCTTTGGCCTCTTGAGGTCAGTGAGTTGATCATCTTAGCAGGGTTGCTCCACTCCCATACGGTCTGATTTGGGGTTGCTTCCTTGCCATGAACATTGTTTTCACCAGACAGGTGTCCTGGCAAACCACCACCCCAACCATTCCCTGGAGCACCCCAGTCCCGATGCTGACTCACTGACTCAAACTCTACACTTTGCCAAATCTCTGTCCGCACCCTCTTAGACTCATACCCTAGGTGGAGGGCCATCCAATCCTAGCACCTAATCACACCTAATAAAACACCAGCTTGCCCTAGCTGGTTTTGGCTCAATGGATAGAGCATCATCCTGCAGACTGAAGGATCCCGGTTCAATCCTAGCCAAGGGCCCATGCCTGGGTTGTGGGCTCGGTCCCCAGTAGGAGGCGTGCAGGAGGCAGCCAATCAATGATCCTCTCTCATCTATCTCTATCTCTCCCTCTCCCTTTCTCTCTAAAATCAATTTATATATATATATATATATATATATATATATATATATATATATATATATAATATATATATAATAAAATAAATAATAAAATAATAAAATAATAAAATAATAAAATAAAACAGCAGCTTGAAAATGCCAGCGTGCCCATGAAAACACACACACACACACACACACACACACACACACACACCACCTACCTCTCTTGTAGAATCAGTTTGTTCTCCTTCTTCCAAAAGTCTTTAAAGTCCGAGCTGAACTCATGCCAGATGCTGAAGAACACATTCGGTGACACCTCCTTCTCTCCAAGCTTCGGTTTCATGAAGAAATAGGCCGTGGTCTCTAAGAACCTGTCAGGGCAGACACACACACGGAGCATAAGAGTTGTGATTGCTTCCCAATTCGGCTGTCCTTTCCCTGTCCAAAGGCTGATCTCATTCACGCGCAAGTTGTTATGACCAAAAGGACACACACTCTTCAGACCCCGATGGACCCAGACAGGAGCAACTGACAAGCCTGAGGACTCTTCCTGGTCCTGTTCTATTTTCCAAAGTAATCACTAGGTGTCCAACCTATTTCAGAAGTGAGCCTGAGGTCTATTTGGGACATCCTGGGTGAGGGGGGGGGGGGTAATCCCTTTCTGTCAAGGGCCACTGGAGGTTTATAACATCATTCGAGGGCCATACAACATTAACAACCTGCTATATTTGGTCAGGCATCTAGTTAGTAAATCAAATGTTTGGCAGGGCCAGGCCAAGTGACTTGGCAGGCCTTCTCTGGCCTGTGGGCCGGACATTCCCCACCCCTGCCTCTACACAAATGAAGGATCCCTCATTTTGTCCCCAAACTAATATATGGATTATATACTACTTGGCTTCTATGCTATTTGGCTTCCTGGATTGCTGGGGGAGGGAAGAAAAACAAGAGTCCCAGGAGATGCTGGCAAACTCTCCCATCAGTGAGTCGAACCCATCCGTGAGGGACCACAGACTAATTGTATTCAGAAGGGGCCACTCAGAGACTACATGAAGCTTAGAGGAGTTGCAAAAGGGTTATTTGACATATGGAAAGGGGCAATGGGTAGAAGTATAGATGGAACCAATTGATAATTGTTGAAGTTGGACGATGTGTTCATGGTGGATCTTTGCACATTCTGTTTACCTTTGCCCACATTTTAAATTTCTCATAATAAAGAACTGGTTAAATTACAGACGCACACACACACACACACACACACACACACAAGTTTAGTACCAAAAAAAGCAATGGCTCTAAGCATATTTTAAAATGGCATCTTTAAAAGGCTAGAATATTGCTCAAAAGGACTCTACTGAATATTGTTGTTGACTACCAGTCATGTCCCACAGATAATTAAAATAGTTTTGATTTTTTTTAGTTCCTTATTTGAAAAGTAGACACACCACAAAATGAGAATCCTTTTCTCTTACGCGTCTCATCTGTTCTGAAGGATGGCTTTTGTCTGGGGCCTGTACCCATAAAGGATGACTCAAACCTTGGTTTTTATTACAGCCAATAATGATCCTAAAATAGCATTGTCTTGCCGCAAGTGATGATCCGTATGGAGAAGCATGTTCTCTGCAAATGAAATATTTTTTAATATATTTTATTGATTTTTTTACAGAGAGAAGGAGAGAGGGATAGAGAGCTAGAAACGTCGATCAGCTGCCTCTTGCACACCCCCCACCGGAGATGTGCCTGCAACCAAGGTACATGCCCTTGACCGGAATCGAACCTGGGACCTTTCAGTCCGCAGACTGACGCTCTGCCGCTGAGCCAAACCGGTTTCAGCGAAATCGTTTTTTAAAATATTGCATTGCCCGTGATGACTACCAGTTATTTCCCATCTGCGAACGGGATGTCGCCTTGGTCGAGCACGGGAGAGAGCCTTGAACTGGAGAGAACGCAGAATGGGGGGGCACCTACTCTGTAGGAGTTGTGGATGAGGGCACTCCTACTTTCATTTACTTCCTCAGGGAGCAGATGTGCCCGGCACCATGAATGGCAGGGTGAAGATAAAGCAAGACGCAACCTTGAGAATACCCCGCTAAGCGAAAAAAAGCCAGGCAGAAAAAGTTACGAACCAACCATACGATGTCACTCATCTACGGGATAGAAAACCACACACTGAAAGCAACAAACGAACATGGAACACCAGCAAAAATTCATCGACACAGACAACCGCATGGTGGGTACCAAAGAGAAGGGGGTGGGGCGGGGTGCTAAATTAACATCGATTCCATGGTAGTAAAGGAATTCTCTTGGCAGGAGCTACTGCAAACTTGTGAGATTAAAAAAGTTAATTAAAAAAAGTGAGGTAAAGATGAGTAGGGAGGAAAGGGTGATGGTGGTAAACTCACTCGGGCTGGTCTGTCCCCTGAGAAGCTGACATACTGACATCAGTTTTCAGTTCTATGAAAACCCTGAGTTATCTCATAATTATGTCGGGAAAAGGGGAAGAGAGAAAGGACATGAAATCAGACCAAGCGTGCTCTCTGACCACAAAGGGATTACATTGGAAATCAATAACAGAAAGATATTATATTGGAAATCAATGACAGAAATCAATTAACACCTCCAAATCATTGCTGAAGAGTCCAGAGGTCCGAGGGAATCCCTCGAGGGAAATTAGAGAATTTCTGAACTGAAAATATGAGCGCTCAACATTACATGTACAGATAAAGCCGAGCTTACATGAAAACTTATAGCATAACGTGTTTATATTAGAGAGAAGAAAAAAAAAGAGGAAGAGCCATAGCATAAAATTCCACCTTAGAGAAAATGAAGTAGAACATGCAGTTTAAGCCAAAAGCAAGCCGAGGAGAAGACATTATAAAAATTAAAGCACATATAAATGAAGTTAAAAACTGAAAATACCCCTAACTGGTTTGGCTCAATGGATAGAGCGCTGGCCTGTGGACTGAAAGGTCCCAGGTTCGATTCCAGTCAAGAGCATGTACCTCAGTTGCAGGCACATCCCCAGTAGGGGGTGTGCAGGAGGCAGCTGATCGATGTTTCTCTCCCTTTGATGTTTCTAACTCTTTATCCCTCTCCCTTCCTCTCTGTAAAAAAAAAAATTAAAAAATTAAAAAAAAATCATTAAATATATTTAAATTTTTATTTTTTTAAGGAAATGATGGGGAAAATTTTTGATACTAAGATTCCACCTGACCTGGGAAATATATCTTACGTGTACAACTGTATTTACATTTCCGCCTATGATTTACGAAGTGTTTCCACATATATTGCCAGTCTTCTCCTGACAGGGAAATTGAGAGGCAGGAACATGATAAGAAAGGAGTTATAAATCATTATTCCACAGAACTGAACAGCAGCAAGCCATTCCTACAAAGGCCAGCATTTCATTCATTCTGGCTTCCACGGGTCCTAACGGAATCCCGCAGTGGCACACACTGAACGCAGCGTTCCGTCTGTAAGGTGGCCCGCGTTCCGTGCTTGGCTCTGTGCTGCCTCCCTCCCTGATCCTGGGCAAGTGATTTAGCAGAAGGAAACGCTTCTCTATTTCTTCCTCCGCATAACGGACACTTCATCACCCCGCCCAGTCCTCACAAGAATATCAAGAGAACCCAAAGCCTTCCTACTCCACGTCTTAGGTCAGTGGTCTGCAAACCGCGGCTCCCGAGCCACACGCGGTTCTTGGGCCCCTGGAGGGTGGCCCTTCCACAAAAGACCACGGCCTGGGCGAGTCTGTGTTGAAGATGTGGCGTCAGAAGAAGTTCAAGTTTAAAAAATGTGGCTCTCTTTCCGAAACCAGTTTGGCTCAGTGGATAGAGCGTCGGCTTGGGGGCTGAAGGGTCCCGGGTTCGATTCCGGTCAAGGGCATGGACCTTGGTTGCGGGCACATCCCCAGTGGTGGGTGTGCAAGAGGCAGCTGATCGATGACTCTCATTGATGTTTCTAACTCTCTATCTCTCTCCCTCCCTCTCTGTATAAAATCAATAATATATATATATATTTTTTTTAATGTGGCGCTCTGAAGGAATATCCATCGTGATGCTGTTGCTAGTTGGCTCTGTGGACGGATGAATTTGCCGACCACTGTCTTAGATTAAAGGTACAAGAAGCACAGAAGAGCAACTCCTCATTTTCGTGTGACCATCGTCCTTAGAAAGGTCCCTGAGCTCTCTCTCTCCAGCAGGAGGGCAGCGTGACTCATCCGAGCCACACCCACGGCCATGGAGACCTGCCCTGCACCCTGAGTGTGGCCAACGCCGCCATCAGGGGCTGGAGAGAGAGACGGGATCTGGCATCTGAAAAATGTACTCTCGGTGCTTGGATGCACATCGGCTCCCCTGGCCCAGCACTGTTTGCAAGATATTCCTGGCATGTCCGCAGGCCGCCTAGCACTGCCGTCCCGAGTGGAATACCTTTCTCCGAAGAGGGACACGGAGCTCCCGGCAGCGCCAGGGCCTCTGCGGAGGTATTTGCGAGCTGATTAGACTCTCTGGCATCCTGACATTTTTGAGGACTCGGATGCAGTTTGAAACATGAAGAAGTAAGTCCGGCCCTGGCTGGTGTGGCTCAGTGGATAGAGCGTCGGCCTGCGGACTGAAGGGTCCCGGGTTTAGGTCGGGCCAAGAGCACATGCCTGGGCTGTGGGCTCGACCCCCAGTAGGGGGCATGCAGGAGGCAGCTGATCCATGATTCCCTCTCATCATTGATGTTTCTCTCCCTCTCTCTCTCCCTTCCTCTCTGAAATCAATAAAAATATATATATATTTTAAAAGGAGTCCATTTGGTCTATATCTATACAGACCATCTCCTGTGTCTCCTGTGTTTTCTGAACAAACAAAAATGCCTTCAAGGAGCTATAGATCACTGTGAGGTGATCGGGTAACTTTGACAGCCTTCTCCTATTTTTTTTAAATGTATTTTTATTAATTTCAGAGTGGAAGGAAGAGAGAGAGAGAGAGAGAGAGAACATCAATGATGAGAGAGAATCCTGGATGGGCTGCCTCCTGCACGCCCCATACTGGGGATCGAGCCCACAACCCCGGGCCTGTGCCCTGACCGGGAAGCAAACCGTGACCTCCTACTTCCTGGGTCCACCCCTAACCACTGAGCTACACCCGCCAGGTCGAAAGTCAATGTTCAAGTTATCAACCTTTAAACAACGCAGCTACCGAGGAAGGCCCCTTGGTTGGAAGAAGTGCTGCCCCGAACCCGAACCACGTGGCCTGTTAGTGAAAGGGGGTGAGCTCCAGCTTCCACCTTTGACCTCAGGAAGCCCCCCCCCCCTCCCCGAGGCCCCCACGTGCTGACTCTCCTGGGGAAGGACTCGCACGGGGAGAACAAGCAGCTTCGGCTCTGTCTGACTCGATCTGCACCGGGAAGGGGGTGATGTCATTGTCTGGGGGTTTCTGCGAAGACGTGGCACTTCCCCCCGGTGTGAATACCGGGCTGGAGCCGGCCCGGCCCGCCGGCACCGGTAAACACAGACCTGCAGTCTCGCTGCTCGTCTCCGGACAGTGCCTCGCCACGGCCCTGGAAAATATGCCTGTTCTGGACTAAACACTTCACTTTCCATCTCATCCGGGTTCCAGGAGGCCAGTCCTGGGATAAACACGCCCCAGACGTACAGACGGGCGCCCTAAAAGCGGCTGCCCATGATAAACTACGTGTGCGTCCCCGCTGGATGGATGAAAGACTCTCTCTCCCGTGATAAATGAGCAGCGACGTGCCCCGTGAAGCCACCGGGAGGACATGCCGCTGCCTCCTCTCCTTCGCGGCATCTCTATTTTGCACGAGGGAGAAAGTTTCCATTTCAACTCGCTGGTTACACAACCCCGGCTCAGGCCGAATGCCACTCTGGCAACATGACCCGCAGAAACAGCATTTATTTTTTATTTTATTTTTTAAAATCTGCGATTCAGAATTCTTTTTTACAAATCAGTGCGCTTTTCTTCCACCATTACGTCTCGCCCTTTACTGCTGGTTGTTTGAAATGGTTTCACACTGCTGGCATTAAAACGGAACAGAGAACCAATGCATGCTCCTCAAACATTAAAGTTAAGATTTGGTACAAAAACTAAAGTAAAATTAAGTGCACTGGAGATAAAAATGGAGCTACGGACTGGTTCCTGAGATAAAACATACTAAGAATTTTATGAGCATATTCTGGAAGGAAATAGTACAGAAAAAGTACTTCATTTCTCACCTCTTATGAGTCTCAGTTAGTGAATTCTCTTCTGCCTCTTGGTCAATTTTAGCTGAAAATACAAAAAGAAAAAGAAAAAAAGATAAATGACAAATAGTTATGCTCACTCAAGCAAGTAGGATTCAAAGAATATAACATATATTAGAGCTCATTATGCTGAGTGCTCATATGTTCCAGTCAGAAGTTTATTCTAAATCTACAAACAGATATAACTGAATAGATTATATTTCATTTTCCTTAAACTAAAACTATCATATTGGTACAGATAAAATAGATAACCAATTAAAATGTTTAGACGCTAAGTCTTTTCTTTAAATCTCCCACGTGAATCTGAGAATGCAGAACACCAGCGAGCTTCGTACGCATGTCTATTGTGTTTGTCGAATATTAAACACCCACAATTAGCTGAAATTAATTATTTCAAGCAAAGGGACAACAACCAAGTCGAAAAACTAAAGAGAAAGGGAAGGTGGCCTTCTCCCTAAGTGTTCTCCTCATAGATGGACAGACACCGAGATTATTTCTACAACGGAGCAAGATCAGACACAAACATCCCCCGTTCATTGAAAGAGGGAGGTGATCATGGACCCATTTATTGGCGACTACTGTTATCTAAAAAGAAAGAATGACAGACAGACATACGCCCAAGGGTCAAATTTGGAAAGGAAATTACACCACTACTTTCAGATTATTTAAAATAACATTTAATTCCATCGCATCAAGTAAGAATGGCAGTGACTTTCTGATCTAGTAACATTCTAGGAATTTACCTGGTGCTTCTACACACACACACACACACACACACACACACACAGACACACAGATTTTTGACACGAAGGTGTGAAAAATACTATTCCCTGTAACATTTTCAGTCTGTTCTGTTCGATTTTAAAAGGTTGATGGTGAGCCCCTAAATTGATTTCACGCTTCACTAACGGCTTTTGACGCATTCTGAAAACCCTTTGAGCTATAGAACAAAAAGTTTAAAATGTATATTTTATTGATTTGTTTACAGAGAGGAAGGGACAGGGATAGAGAGAGCTAGAAACATCGATGAGAGAGAAACATCCATCAGTTGCCTCCTGCACACCTCCTACTGGGGATGTGCCCGCAACCAAGGTATATGCCCTTGACCGGAATCAAACCTGGGACCCTTCAGTCTGCAGGCCGATGCTCTATCCACTGAGCCACACCCATCAGGGCTAGAACAAAAAGTTTAAAGATAATAATAAAAGCCTGGATCAGTGAGAGCAGAAGTGGTCTTTTTTTTTTTTAATCTTTATTGTTGAAAGTATGACATGTGACCCCCTTTCTCCCCCCCTGGACCTCCTCTATCCCATCCACTCCCCCCCCTACCCCCACCTGTGTCACCACTCCCGTCTGTGTCCCTGGGTTAGGTACACACGCATACAAGTGCCCTGGTTTGCGCGTCCACCCTTTGAGTCACGCCCCTGGCCACTCGGCGAAGCTACAAGCCAGCGTGGCACTGAGCAAGTTCATTACCAAGAACTGGGACTGCGCGCGAGATCCAGGAATTGTCAACGTGTCTCCATCGCTGCTCTCCACGCAGCCGTCCAGCTTGGGCTGGTTAATGTTTTACAACCTCTAGACAGTGTTTGCTCGAAGGCTGCTGAGTGTCTGCAGGGCCGCGATCCAGGACACTGGATTCTAAGAATTTAAAAGGGACCGGTTGGGCTGGCAGCTGAGGGGTTCTCTGTCTTCCCTCCCCCCTTTTCCCTTTCTGTACTTGAGACTGTTTACGTACACGTATGGCGCCGTCATTAGCCATTCTGAACAACAGGATAAATGGTCCATCATTTGACTTGGAAAAGAGTCTCCGACTCCAACATATTATCTTATAGACTCTGTCATGGGCTGCCTTGCATTCAAAGGCTTTGCTTCCAGGATTAATTCTCCAGGCGCATACGGTTGGTTCAAGGAAAAACCACCAAGCCCAGCGTGGCTTAGGGGTTGAGCATTGACCTATAAACCAGGAGGTCATGGTTCGATTCCTGGTCAGGGCACATGCCCGGGTTGTGGGCTTGATCCCTAGTAGGGGGGCGTGTAGGAGGCAGCCGATGCATAATTCTCTCTCATCAAGGATGTTTTTTTCTCTCCCTCTCCCTTCCTCTTTAAAATCAATAAAAACATATTTTTAAAAAAAAGAAAGAAAGAAAAGAAATCAGCCATGATTGGTTTGGCTCAGTGGATAGAGCGTCGGCCTGCAGACTGAAAGGTCCCAGGTTCAATTCCATCAAGAGCATGTACCTTGGTTGCAGGCACATCCATAGTAGGAGGTGTGCAGGAGGCAGCTGATCGATGATTCTCTCTCCTCATTGATGTTTCTCTCTCTCTCCTTCTCCCTTCCTCTCTGAAATCAATAAAAACAGACTTAGAAAAGGAAAGAAAGGAAGGAAGGAAGAAAGATAGCAAAAGAAATTCGGATATTCATTCCCTGCCTGGATACGTATAAAGGACTTAAAAATTCACTTGATTTCAAGTTCATGGTCCAAAGACGCCGTGTGTCCAAACCCTCCGAACCCGAAGCAATAGATCTGCAATCCAATGACAACTCCCAGTGACTCAGAAGGAAGGCGTTGCCTGCGTCTAAAAAATAAGCCATCCTGGCCGCACTTGAAAGCAGCCGAAGTGCACATTCATAGATAATTATAAACAAAAACTAGTTAGCGCTTTACATAAAAAAAAGAACAACAGCAGAGAGATGGAGGGCTCCGACAAGCAGATGAAAGGGTTCTGAGCGGCCTTCCATCTGATATGAGTCAGAACCAACTCTGTCTCCAATTACCTGGGACCATGGGGCGCTCGCTCATGCAAGGGCGTCCGTGGGGCCTCCGCTCACTCACAGTCCAAGTTCAGCAGGAATATGTAACCTTGGAACACGTTCAGCAGGAATATTTAACCTTGCCAGAGAGGCCGGAGCCAGCCCAGCGGCTGCAGGCGCTAATGGCTGGGTCAAAATAGTCATTTAGTAGGGCAGCAACCAGCAGAAAATATTTGCAGGGACAGAAGTTTTTTTGTACTTTAAACTGTTTACATACACGTATGTAATACTGCTGTTGGGGAAGACATACTAAAATGCCAAAGTGCTGCCTAAACCGGTTTGGCTCAGTGGATAGAGCGTCGGCCTGCGGACTGAAAGGTCCAGGTTCGATTCTGGTCAAGGGCATATACCTTGGTTGCAGGCACATCCCCAGTGGGGGCTGTGCAGGAAGCAGCTGATCGATGATTCTCTCTCATCAATGTTTCTAACTCTCAATCTTTCTCTCTTCCTCTCTGTAAAATATCAATAAAATATATTTTTTTAAAAATAAAAACATATATTAAAAAATGCCAACGTGCTGAAACAGAATCATGAGAACACTAGTTTAAACCAGCTGCATAGTCAGGGGCATCAGACCGTCCTTGCCAAAGGTTTCCTATAGAATTGGGCCAGAAAGGTAATCTTAAACCCTCGCCTTAAAAATAAACAGATGGAAACAAAAAGTAATCAAACAAATAAAGGTTGATTCCTGAAAGGTTCCATGATGAGAGGGAATCATGGATCGGCTGCCTCCTGCACATCCCCCATAGGAGATGGAGCCCACAACCCGGGCATGTGCCCTTGACCGGGAATCGAACCGTGACCTCCTGGCTCATAGGCTGATGCTCAACCAACTGAGCCATGCCGGCCGGACTAAATTTTCATTTTACACTCAAAGTGAGAAACATGGGAAAACACATGTACGCATGGGTTTTACATTCTGTAGACAATCCCTTGTAAAAAGGCTATTGATTTACAAGTGGGCAAGTGTTTACCTAATTTTTCACATCAAATCATACCAGCATCCTATATATATATGACCCCCACCTGTAGACTAAGCAAATGTCTCGTGGAAACATTTTATTTTCTGCAGCATAAAAATAAAGACACATTCAGGGCAACTCATTCCCTTTTCCTTTACGAAGCAACAGCTAGCACACCTTATTAATCCCAAAATGAGCTTCAATAAGGATTTTCAAAAAATAACAAGCAAAGCAACGAACAAGTTAATGTTGCTGTCTTTTTCCAATGGAATAGTACGAAACCGTTAAGAACCATGTGCTGATACAAAATTACCTTGAAGCTATTTTAATTGAAAAAAAGAGAATAATACCCAAGAGAGGCCTCTATTTCCAACCACACCAAGAGCGCGACATCAAACAGTTTTACAACCAAGTGCTTCGAGGTATTGGATGAAAACAAAATGCAATGCATGGCTGAGTTGGCTAGGAAATAGAGAACATTCTCCAAAGCAGTCCAAACAGTCAGGAGCGAGACTTCAAAAGGTGTGAGCACTGCCCCGGGGGCATCCCTCCGCCCTGCCACCCAAGGCTGTCCTTGGAAACCCAAAGGGCACCCCCACGCACCGACAAGAAGCGACGCTGAGTCTGGTGTCCTTTTCTGCCATGGTCCTGGGTGGGAGGGGAGACCTTCTCCCCTTAAGGATCCAGCACACCACCCTGAGCCTCCATCCACAGTGAGGGAGACCCCAACTCATGTTAAAACAGTTCTCGGAGGCAGTGCCCTCTGATGTTGAGCCCAAACAAATAATAGAAACAGAAATAGGAGGGGGGGAAACAAAGAAAAAGAAAAAACAGAGTCTGCGAATAAATTTAGTTGAGAAACTAAAATGGGATGGGGGCAGAGCTGCCCGGGCATGGAAGGGAGGTAAGACATCACGGCATCCAGAATGCGGAAAAGAATTAACTTGCAACCCAGAGTTTTATCAGCAGCAAACCTATCTCCCAAAACAGGTGCGATGGAGATTTCCACACAAACCAAAAAAATTTTTTAAAAAGAGGGTTTTCAAGCCAGAGTTTCAGACCAGGGAACTTTTAAAGAGTGTTCTTTCAAAAGAAGCAAAACTATCTCAGAAGGAAGGCATGACATGAAGGAATGGTGAGCAAAGAAGATAGTATTGGTTATAAAAAACATAAGTTAAGCTCAGTGGGTAAGCCTTATAACCCAGCAAATCTTTGTTCTCCTGGGTTAGTACTAAAAAAGAGAATATGCATGGACCCCAGGCCTAAAGCATTTTTCCTTTTAGCTAACAAAAGGAAAAACGGGAGAAATAAATTGTGGTGTGGCATATACCTCCAATGAAATCAATATTAACCAAATACAGGCATATGCACTAACATGAAAGAATCTCAAGAATAATATTCAATGGAGATAAAAGCTAGTCACAGGAGAGTACAGTTACCATTCCACTTACCCACAGTTCATAAACTTAACAAAACTAATAAAATGTTTACAATTTATATTTCTGGCAAACCTATAAAGAGAAAGCATAAAGATCAGAGAGGAAGGAAATAAAATAGAGATGTTCAAAAGATCAATGAAAACGAGAGCTGGTCCTTTGAAAAGATAAACAAAATTGACAAACCTTTAGCCAAGCTCATCAAGAAGAAACAAGAGTCCAAATAAATACAATCATGAATGAAAGAAGAGATGTGACAACGGACACCACAGAAATACAGAGAATCATTAAAGAATACTATGAACAATGATATGCCAACAAACTCAACAGCATTCCAACGCTGAACCAGAAAGAAAGCAAAAATACTAACAAAGAAATTGAAACCTCATCAAAAAACTCCCAACCAATAAAACCAGACATCTTGACAAGTGAATTCTACCAATAAATAATAAAAAATCAATATCTATAGTTCTTAAATGATTAAAAAAAAACAAGAGGAAGAATTGTTTCTGAACTAATTCTATGAAGCCAATATCACCCTTATACCAAAAATCAGACAAAGACAAGAAAAGAAACCATCAACAAAACAAAAAGACAAACCGCTGAATGAAAAAGATATTCACAAATAACATATCTGACAAGGGGGTAATATCCAAAATATCTAAGATACTCATACAATTTGACACCAAATGGACAGAGTCCTAGCTGCTGTGGTTCACTGGTTGGAAGCATCATCCCGTATACCAAAAGGTTTCAGGTTCCATTCCCAAGAGGGTATATATATATATATATATATATATATATATATGGCAATCGATCAATATTTCTCTCTCACAAATCTCTTCTTTCCTCTCAGGTGAAGACAAATACCATATGTCTTCCCTTATATGTAGAATCAAAAACAAAACAAAACAGAAGCAGACCCTCAGATCTAGAGGCCAAGCTGATGGTTGAGAAAGGAATGGGGCGGAGAATGGATGAATGGGTGAAATCATTTAAAAAAAAAAAAAATAAGACGTACGCAAATGATACACTTGACATTCCCATTAGCAGTCATGTCTGAGAGAACGCAGGCACAACATTGGGAAGGACCCATGGAAGAGCTGGACATGCTGATCCAGGTCTGCTCCTTGAGTGGAGAGTACGCGGCTATTCACGCCATTATCAATTCTTTAGATCTCATTTAGGTTAAATAGGTACCTACATCTTTGACCTTCTTTACGTTATCTATAACGCGTATGCCTTTCAAGTGTGCATTGGATCCTCCGTACCCAAGGATTCAACACGTTTGAATGTGTCCACTCACTGAGGTTCATGGTAACTCCAAAATCCATCCTTCTAGAGCTTCCGTGGTCACCACAGGCACGTGCAGTGGAAAATCTGAGTTGCCCGGCCCACACTTCGCCAGCTGCCGCTATTTCGACGCCCAAGCTGTAAATCATCTTCACAGTCTATTGTGACACTTTGTGCTGTTTTTGTCCTTTCCGTTGCTCGAGTGGCCACAGAGCTGTCCGGGGTACACAAGAGCAAAAAGGCCCGGGCGGGCCTTACGGGGAAAAAATCCACGTGTCAGATGCGCCCCAGGCAGGTGCGAGGGACAGCACTGCTGGCGGTGAGTTCCACGTTAATGAATCAACAATATACACTAAACGCAGTGTCTTCAAACATGAGCAGGCATAGGGTAGTGTGCTGATCAAATGATGAAATCAAGACCAAAACATGGCCAGAGGCTTGTAGAAACCTAACCCTGTATTTGCAACTGGGAGCAATGGCTCAGTATTCGCTAATTCAATGTGTGTGGCAACGTTATCGAATATAGTTGCAGCAAACCATGAGAGTACAAGAATAATAAAATATATTTATTTTTGTGTTATACATAAAATGAATATCTAACATACAAAATTGTAAGTTGCATACATATACAGTAAGTTCATATATATTCTTTTACATTTTATAAAGATGATACATATAAAAATATAAAACATACATAAATATAAACTATTTCCTAATAAAAATGAAAAAGGGGGAAAATCAACATATAGAGACTGTTTCACTAGCAAAATATATATAAACTAGAGGCCTGATGAATGAAGATTCTTGCAAGAATGGGCCTTCCTTCCCCTGGCTGCTGGCACTGCCTTCACTCTGGTTGGAGCCATCTTTCCACCTTCCCACATTGCCCAGAGGCCCAGAGCAGCTGGGTGGTGCATTACGCTTACATCCCACCCTGCCCCCAGCCACGCGACACTTGTGTATGCAAAATAGCCCGCCATCTTTGTTGGGTTAATTTGCATACTCACTCCTGACTGGCTGGTGGACATTGCAAAGGTACGGTCAATTAGCATGTTACTCTTTTCTTAGTGTAGATACAAATTTACATGGACATATTATAGGCTCATATGCATAGATTATCTCTAAAGGGATAGAAATGAAATATAAGTGGTTCCAACAGAGGAAAGTAATACTAAGAAAGACTTACATCCCCATTTTATACCTGAATTTTATAACAATGCAGGAGCTGTCTTCTGGTGGTCAGTACGCTCTCACAGCCAACTTCTCATGGTTCCCCCCCACACACCCTTTCCCCACTGGCCAACCCCCCATGGCCCTACTCCTTCCTCCCCCAGCAGCTAGCTGGCCCCTGATCAGCCCCAATGGGGAAGGGGGGCAGCCGGCCAACCTCTTGGGATTCCTCCCCCCAGCTGGCTGGCCCCCTGATAGGCATCGATCACTGGTCAAGACCCCACCCATGCATGAATTCATGCACTGGGCCTCTAGTTAGATAACAAACCATAAATAATGTGAACAACTCTATGGGTGACACTTGCCAACATTTTAGATGTGAAATCCAGCAAATTGTTTGACGATTTTTTTTAAATGAATAATAGCATTAGAGTTCCTTTCTTCCCACAAACAACAACAACATCATTCCATACTTTTTCCCTACATAGTTTTCTAAAATTACACGTTCTTGATCCTAAAAACCGCATTGAACGGAAAAAGCAAGACTCATTTTTATTCACCGTTAAGAGTGGAGCAAGCAAGCGTACAGGGTCCTCCACTATGATTTCAGCCAGAGGACTATTTGGGAATCAAGGAATAGGTTTTCCACCCCAAGTCATGAGGACCCGAAAATCTGGAGATGACAGACCACTCTGATTTATGAATCTCTTTCATATCCCGTTTCATGTTTCATGTTTTCTTTCGGGCATCATGATTTTATTAAATAACTGAATAGTCTTTTCCTATCTTAAAAAAAAAAAAGAAAAAAGAAAAAAGAAAAAAAGCTGTTCTTCATGTTTAATCAAATTCCAGCATGCCTCATTCACTGTCAGTCATCGATAATGACACTTAAACAATGAATAAAAACCATAGCTTAATAGAGGATACAGCGGTGTGAGGCCAAGTCTCAAGCCATGTCAGCCTCTACGAGAATTCCTACAACAGCAAGAACTGCCCCAAACATGTCATGTCACAAATCCGATCTCCAGAAGAGATGGCATGTGCCAAGCATGAAAGGTTTTGAGTGGCGAAGGCATGGAAATACTTGTGACTTCCACCCGGGAGACTTTTAACACATTTTTTCCTCTTTAAACTAATTGTTTCTTTCACATCTTCTGAAATGTCTCGTCCCCACTTCACTCAAAGGAATTTAGGAAAAACCAGTGTGATAACATTGGGGGTTTTTTAAGCTCCTTGAAAAACACAAAGGTGGTAAGTATCCAGAGAAAGGTGGACATCCTTTATTTAAAAAACTGCATGTCATGTTTTGAAGATCCGAAAAGCATCCATATGCTTTGCTTTTGGATGCAATATTTTGACAAACCAAATAAACGCCAGGATGGACTGAGGACACAACCCTAGCAAAAACGCAGAAGGATATCTGATTTTCTATCAAAACAAAAAAACAAAAAACAAAAAAAGGATAAGCCCGGCCAGTGTGGCTCAGTGGCTGAGCATTAACCAGGAGGTCACAGTTCCATTCCCGGTCAGGGCACAGGCCTGGGTTGTGTGCTCCATCCCCGGTAGGGGGCGTGCAGGAGGCAGCCGATCCCTGATTCTCTCTCAGTTTCTGTCTCTCCCTCCCTTTCTTCTCTGAAACCAATTCAAAAAAAAAAAAAATGACAATTTTAAAGTCTTCAGAAACGTGAGCTATTTCACCAATATTTATTGTATTCCTCATCATGAAAGAACAATGATAAAAATGAACATCACTCATCGTTCATCCATGAGCATCATTCATCAGCATGCTGAACACATGTGTCTCTCCCCACTCGATGACAAACGGTCCAACACAGTGTGACTCTGGGGTGTCGATCTCTTTGAAACCAGCGTGTGTCTTTTTCACGCCTCCTTGCCCTCTGCGGATGAGGGAGAACCCTCAAGCCCACTTCCCCCTCTTTACCCCCCCCCCCACGTGTACCTTGGACGATGAACTGCTCCATGTTCTCCTTGAAGGGCTGGATGTGCTCCTCGGAGGACACCTGGTACACCTTCCCCGCCTCCACCTCACAGGCTGCAATCAGAGACACGCTGTTTAGGGCGCCGTCGATGGAGCATCAAAACCACCTCAAAACCTCAGAAGCCAAAGCTAGAGCGGCCCGTCAGCCACCATGACGGGCATATGTCCCACACGTGTGTTGGAACCACCAGATGCTGACACGACAAGTCTATACGCAAGGCTTCGTGAAGGAACTGTGAAAAGACATTCGTAAGCATTGGTGACTCCGGCCCAGCCGGTGTGGCTCGGTGGTTGAGCATTCCCGGTCAAGGGCACAGGCCCAGGTTGCAGGTTCGAATCCCAGTGTGGGGCGTGTAGGAGGCAGCCGATCCATGACTCCCTCTCATCACTGATGTTTCTCTCTCTCCCTCTCCCTTCCTTTCTGAGATCAGTAAATATATATATTTTTTTTTATTTTTTTTAAGAGTCTGTGATTCCAGTTCGGTCACTTCCACAGTGTCACCTGGTCAAGGTACACAACCTCTGAGCCTCCGTCTCATCAGGAGAAGGGAGAGCCCGGGGCCTGGCTCTCAGCGTTGTTATGAGGATCGAATCAGTGAAGAGATGGAACGTGTCCCAGTACTGTGCCTGGCATGTGCTGTTTCCTGTCATCATCATGGTCATTATTACCCACTGATGCAGCCGTCAGAACACCCTACCCCCAGCAGCCGGCAGAAGGCCACCTAATGGGCCCAGTGCCTTAAAGCAGGGGGGGGGGGGTCACTGGTTAGGGAAGCAGAGATGGATCACAGACTAACCATGACCAAGTCCTCTCCAGTGGGTCAGTCTGCAGGTCTGCGTGTTTACTCAGCAACATTTAAACAACGGAAGATACGGCAGATACGAGAAAGCAACCTATTTTTAAACGAGGGGAGATTGTATTTTAAATTGCATTCTGGCTCCTTTTAGAAATGTCCTTGGCCCACTCCTATAAACTGTATTCTTCATATAAACACAAGCAAAAGCCATCTTTTTCTATCGCTTCCATCTTTCCCCCTCTCCTTAGAGTAGACTTCCCCGTGTACAAGGGGAACCAAGAGGAATTTGGGACCCAGAAGAACTCTCAGGTCCTTTCTGGGCAACCTCATCTCACCCCCTGTCCCCCTTCCAGGAGAAGATGCTTGTCAGGGAGCTTGGTATGTTGAGTGATGGCCATTCCGATCTCTGCCAGGCATCTTTCCCCTCACTGAGCTGCAGTCCTGATTAGCATCCTCAGCTCTTCGCTGAGCAGGAATCCCTCTGCTCTCTGCACCGTCTCCCCGTGGAATGGCATGTCTGGAGTCTGCTTTTAAAACAGCTCTGATAGAATCACCGCAGATAACTCAGATCTGCAGGGAGTCTCAGACTTCCAGTCTCTCAAGAGGACAGATGTGGTCCCTCCTCTCCTCTCCCTCTTTATTTACCCACTTCTCCGCTTTGTTGGCCAGAGCCTAAAGCATCCGCTGGCGGGCAGCAGGCATGCAACAGTTATGATCTGTGGAATGAATGGGAAGGGGAATTGGATGCTCCTGTCCATGTGGATTTCTCGGTCATTTGGAAATGGCATCTCTACGGGAATGTCGCCATGCCTTGTACATGCTAGTCGTCCCCCTTCACATACTCTTAGCCCTTATGATCCGTTGTTGAACTTTGATTTGTCCACCCATTCACAACTATCTCAGCAAGGTTTACCTATCACCAATTCTACCTCCCCCCCAAACTTTGTATGTCCCTCTTCCATAGAACATATGTGAAAGATAGAAGATAAAAGGAGAGATGCAAATAAAATAGAGCTGCATTCAGGTCTGGTTCTACTAGTAGCTACACTATATATATTTGATTTTTTTACAGAGAGGAAGGGAGAGGGATAAAGAGTTAGAAACATCGATGAGCGAGAAACATGGATCAGCTGCCTCCCGCACACCCCCCACTGGGTATGTGCCCGCAACCAAGGTCCATGCCCTTGGCCGGAATGGAACCTGGGACCCTTGTTGCATAAGGAAATTTATAACATCGGTCCCCATTCTTCACCAAACTATAGTGAATTTCGGTGCATAACATCATCCTGGCTATCATCCTCTTCAAAACGGGTGACTGTGTGAATTTTTTAAAAAATACCAACCACTTAAAGGGTCTCGCGAACGTAAAGGGTCATTCAGTCACGTTATTAAAAGCATAACATGCGATAGAGTTCCTGGAAAATCGCATTACGGTCAAATCCAAATATTTTTCTTAAAATCTGTTAAAGGCAGTTGGCACAACGGAGCCATTCCAACCATGGAGGCTTTTGTTTAACTTAAAGGCCTTTCTGATCCAAAAAGGTTTTATGTTGTGTGAAAGGGCTCGCCGTGGAAAGCGTGAGTGTAGACTCTTAGCGACAAAGACAAAGCCAGCCAAAGACAAAAGGCTCTGATGTGTCCATTGAAAAGGGGGTTCCAGCCCACAGATTGGCATGTTGGGGGCACAGCAAACATCATCTCACCACCATCAGATTGAAATAGGAGCGCCACCCACCACGCTCAGAAATGAACCATGACCAGGAGGTTCTGGTGTGTGTGTGTGTGTGTGTGTCTGTGTCTGTGTGTGTGTTTAACCTTTTAACCGAGCGGGACCTATAAATACGACAAACTTAAACAATATCGGGAACAGGTAGGACGTATGAATACATCCTGGAAATATATGTTGCGCCCTGAGAGAGACGGTATATATTTTTTGTAATCTTTATAATTGTTTGTAAAATTTATATTTTTTTTTATTTCAGTGTTTCCATTTTTTTGTTGGTATTCTTTTCTATTTTTTTGTAATTTTGTATTTTCCTTTGTGCTTTATATATAAATAAATGAAAATATATATATATTATTTATTTTAATTGAGTATAAATAAATAAAAATAATAATATGAAATTACATCCTCCGGGCGTGACGTACTGACACGTCCTAGTGAAAGAGTACGCGCCCGTTACAGGTTGCGTAATTAAAAAGGGAACTCCCTGGCTAACAGGTTAAGAAACTGGAGTATTCCCACTGTAACTTCTACATCTCCACACTCCATCAATCAGCGTTTCTGTGAGCTTCCAGAAGGTTTTACGGGCACCCATAAACCTGCCTCGTCAAGTTTGAAGGAAGCCACATCAGAGACACGAAGCACAAAGGAGGTTGACCAGATCAGGAGTCCTTCCTTCCAAAATCCAGCGGTGTCCTGTGTCAGCGAGCTTTGGACGGGACTGTAGGGTGGATTTCAAGAAACAGAAGCCATGTGGCTACTGAGAGCAGAGGAAGGCAGTGGATGAGACGCCCACAGAGCCGTTGGAAGAAGAGGGACCGGGCTGCCTCCACGCTTGGTCTGCAGGGGAGACTTCCAAAACCAACCTGCAGCCCTGGCCCCGAGGGGGGGAGGTGGTCTCTACACCACCATCAGGATCTGTGCTGAACAGTGGGTGACATAGACTCACCACTGGTTTTATTTCCTCTTTTTGTTTTTTTCTTTACGTATATTTTTATTAATTTCAGAGAGGAAGGAAGAGGGAGAGAGAAAGAGAAACATCCATGAGGAGAGAGAATCATGGGTCAGCTGCCTCCTGCATGCTCCCCACTGGGGATGGAGCCCACAACCTGGGCATGTGCCCTTGACCGGAATCGAACCTGGGACCCTTCAGTCCTCAGATGGACACTCTATTCACTGAGCCAAACAGGACAGGGCTCTCTTTGTTTTTTCTAAAGAAACCTTGCCTACCTGGTGCAATAGCAAATTACACTCTGATATAAAACACTGCGCTTTTTTTTTTTCTCCTATGGATTTTTGATTTATTGGAAAATCTTAGGGTTCCTCTCTAGTTTATTTCAGAAGCTGGCACAATAGCCACAAATCAATACATGTGATGTATCACATACACAAATTGAAAGATTTAAAAAAAAAATGTGATCATATCAATAGATGCAGGAAAAGCATTCGACAAACCCAGCACCCTTTTTGGAAAAAGACTCTCAGCAAAGTGGGAATAGAGGGATCATACCTTATCAATAATAAAGGCCATACACGACAAACCTACAGCCAACATCAGACTCACTGGGCAAAAACTAAAAGCGGTCCCTTTAAGAACAGGAACAACAAGGATGTCGGCTTTCACCACTCTTATTCAACACAGGACTGGAAGTCCTAGCCACAGCGATCAGACAAGAAGAAGAAATAAAAGGCATCATAACTCAAATGGCAGAGAACTAATCACCTTTAATTCATTGGTTTTGGGGGATTTTTCAAGGCAGTCAGGTACCAAAAGTAAGTGATCCATGAAAAAGAGGAAATACAACTGCACTATTTTTTCCTAAAATGAATAAACGGCGTCAACTCTTAACATGAAGGATTGACAACTTCCTTTTCTTCTCATTAACTCTCCCTTCCACGGGGCGAAATTACCACTGAGTTTCATGAAGATTCAAGAGGTTCACAGCACGGGAAGCCTAAGAATCCTGAGAAATGTTCGTGAGAACCCAGTACGTGGGTGTATATTATTATGGAGGGAGAGGAGGAAAGATGAGAAGGAAGAAAGATGCGTGACACTTATCAGCTCTGGGGGGAATACCCCACATGAGAACGCTTTTTCCAAAGCGGGTGTAAAGAAATATAAGCATCTCAGGCAGAAAACACATTACAGTAACCTACCCAGAGCGGACTCCCTGAGAACTATGGCGTGAGACAATTCTTTAAGAAGAACTTCTATACTACCTAGGACACAGAAAATTTTAAATAATGACTCTAACAGTAAAGCAACAGGCAGACTGTCAAATGACAGTGGGGAGGGGAGGAAGATCTGGGGGAGATAATAGATCAACCGAAGGACTTGTGTACATGCATATAAGTACAACCAATGGACATAAAACTCTGGGGAGGGAGGGTGTGCATGGGATGGAGGGAGGGGGGCAAAAAAAATCAATAAAATATATATAAAAAATAAATTAATTAAAAAAATAAAAAATAAATAAAAATAAAATGGTTAAAATGAAAAAAATAATAATAATAATAGACTCTAGACCACCCTCGCTGCCCCTAAAAATCAGAAACACATGTTTCCTGCTTTCCTCCTCCTTTGTCCCGCTCCCTCCTGGGTCAAAATCCCTATTATCTTTTATGGAAGTTCCTTCCTACGTCTCCCAAACCCGACGCTTGCCAGAGCAATATCCGCAAGACATAAATCATTATCCCTCCGGGTCCCTAAGTATCATCCTTCAGTGGCTGGAGAGTGCATCTATAATAATAAAAGCGTAGCCTGCTAATTAGACCGGACATCCTTAGGGATGGCCTTCCGGACAAAGCCAGGGCTGCGAGGGCCGAGCTCCTTGCACGAATTCTGTGCCCCGGGCCTCTAGTTTAGAATAAGACACACTGTCCTTATAAACGTGTGCAGCAGATGTGCATTCTCTCCTCTCGCACGAGCGATATGCCAAGGATGCAGGAGTAATAGACTTTTCTTCTTCCTGAAATGCTTGTGCCCCCCTTCGTTCTCCTCCCTTCTCCTCCTGTGCCCTCTACCCCCTCCGCCCCCCATCCAAATACACACACCCTCTCATCCATGTAGAGTCTTCCCACCCCGCATGGCTATGTTGGCTTTTGTGACCTGGTTGGTACAGTTTGACCTTCCAGATGACCAGTGGGGGGCAGGGGCCAGGGCTGTGAGAGCCAAGATGGCAGCCGGGGGCCGTGAGGCCGAACCCCTTGCACAAATTTTGTGCACTGGGCCTCTAGTGATATATAAAGAGTCACCCTCTGGGGTGCTCACAGCTTGCTAAGATGCTCCTTGAGTGTTCAATCTGGAGCCATCCCACTGCTGGAGAAGACAGATGTGCAAGGACAATGGACAGTAGCCACTGGTCCTCTTCAAACCCACAGTCTGGCGTCCGTCAGTTCTCCCTGTCTCGCTCTACGTCTCGTGAGAACTTGCCATTTTCATGGCTACCTGTATAGTTAATAACCGTGGGAAGGAAGCATGCCGACATGAAAAATAAAGGAGGAATCATTCCCATCCTAAGTAAACGGAAGTTCCCTAGGAGTAAGATCACATTCCTCTCCTTCATCCAATCCCCTGTAAGCAATGAAGTCCTACTTTGCAAGGCTGAACTGTTCACGAAAGTATCAAATATTTTTTTCTGATCCCCCAGAAATGCCCCTAGTACTGAGAGAGGGAGATATTAATAAGCAAACCAGTAAACCAATATACCTGGTCTAACGTTGAAGGAAGATACTCTATATGGTTTGCCTTTTATTGTTTTTAAACGTCATACTTCAGTACACAATAGCATAGTGTTATACAAACATAACGTAATTTTATTTATTTCTTAAACAAACTTGTCCTTCTTGGGTTCAATAAATGAACTCCCATATTTGAGGGTATTCAATGTACCCACAATTGCCCAACCTGCGTCAGGCTCATAATAATGGATGCTGAGTGTTTAGGAACTGCAAGCCAGCTACGTAATATTATCGTGTTGGTTTGTATCCATACAAAAGCATCTGTGACCGGAATCTATTTAACCCCATACATTTCATTATAGATCAGTATGGATATGGATTTCCAAACTGGGTAGAATCTCTTTAAAAAGTGACATCATCCGGCTGGTTCTTGGACAGGGGTAAACCACGCCTCTTCTTTGCCTTTACACATCAGATGGAAATTCACGTCCATTCACTCGCTCCCTGTCCGTGTTTGATTGGGTTAGACAGAGGCTCAGCTAGCGTAACAATAAGAAACCTCAGGACCAGGGACTAAGAGGGATTTTTCACCACCGAATAATTCTCAAAGGGGCACACTGCTCACTTTCGCGTAAATATTACTCTTAAGGTAGAACGCGGACGAATTTCAGACTCTTCAAAATGATATTTAATGAACAACACAAACTGATGAACAAAAACAGATCCAGAGAAGCATCGATCAGACCGTGAAACCTCAGAGGGAAGGCAGGGGAGGGGGAGGGTCAGGGGGAGAGATCAACCAAAGGACTTGTATGCATGCCTATGGGCCTAACCAATGGACACAGACACCAGGGGGTGAGGGCACAAGTTGGGGGATTGAGGGGAACTGGGGGGATCAGGACACATATGTAATACCTTAATCCATGAAGAATAAAAATGATATAAGGCTTCGCAACTAACAACAAGGCATACACACGTGTGCTTTATGACCACATATGTGAAAGAGGATGTTCTGTCCCCAGAAAAGTTCACAAGCCGAAAAGTCTTGGGCAAGTGCATGGAGGGAGGGCTGGGAGGGCCTGTCATTTCTCAAGTGACAAGATAAAATGCACGAATGTTCTTGGCCGTCAAAACCAGACAAATTAGCTCCTCATGGAAGAGATTACTATTCCAATACCCAAGATGCTATTCGATAAGGAAGTTTCAACCACAGCTTTTTAAACAATAAAACAGTAAGGTTATTGGTAAAAATAATATTAATAATAATAAATAACAATTTTTTTTCTTTAGCCATACTAAGCAATTTTCAGTTCTACGAGGCTCTCAAAAACTTTTGGTTCAAGAACATCAAAACGTCTAGCTTGTCTTATTTAAAAAAAAAAAGCGCCGAAACCAGTTTGGCTCAGTGGATAGAGCATCAGCCTGTGAACTGAAAGGTCCAGGTTCGATTCCGGTCAAGGGCATGGACCTTCGTTGCGGACACATCCCCAGTAGGGGTTGTGCAAGAGGCAGCTGGTCGATGTTTCTCTCTCATGGATGTTTCTAGCTCTCTATCCCTCTCCCTTCCTCTCTGTAAAAAATCAATAAAATATATTTTTAAAAAGATATGAACTATTATTTAAAAAAAAAAAAAAAAAAGCATGATTAACAAACATGAGTTTCTCTCAGTGGCTCCGTTACCTTTCAGGTCTTTCTTTAGTTTCCTGAGATCTTTCTGGAAATCCTCAAACTTCATCTGCGAGGCCTGAAACAGGTCCTGAGGTTCCGGTAACGGGAAAACGCACTGCTCCTTCCCAGCATCCTGTTTCGTTAGCGAGAAACACATCATCTTAACCCATCGGCACTGAGCTCGATAAGAATCACACAATGGCAGGGATGGCAAAGCCACAAAAACCAACAATGCCCAACCATTTACAACAAAGACCAGCCCCTCCCCCCAAAAAAATAAATAAATAAAATAAAAATAACTACCTATATGCAAAAAACTGTCTTACCTCATCAAAATTCCGAAGATAATAGGACACAATATAAGACAAAAGGCTTCTGCTATTGTCCTAGGCAGAAAGACCAAAGTCAGTAAAACATTTATATATTCTTTTCTATTTCTTTTTTTTTTTTCTTTTTCTTTTTTTCACAAAGAGGAAGAGAGGGAGAGAGAAAGAGAAACATCGATGAGAGAGAAACATTCATCAGCTGCCTCCTGCACACCCCCTCCTGGGAATGTGCCCGCAACCAAGGTACTTGCCCTTGACCGGAATCGAACCTGGGACCTTTCAGTCCACAGGCTCTATCCACTGAGCCAAACCGGTTTCAGCCATAGTTATATTTAAATAGTTAAGTTAAACTGTTAAATAAAGGAGATCCCAGGAAATCAGCATACATAGGGGAGAGTGTTTAGAATGAAATGTGAAATTCCATATTTCAAGTTATGTTGGTGAACTATAAGCAAGGAGTTGAATGGCATAGAAGACCTTATTTTCCCCCAGTGCTCACAGCTAAGCTCCAAATGTTAAGCACAGCTGTTTAAGGGTGGAGTCTCACTATAAATACTTTCCTATTTTTGCTTTCCCCCGTCAGAAAATTAGTTCATTAATTTTTATGGATTTTATTAAGGGGTATAACTACTGTCTTCGCTGAGATGATGAATATTACTCGCTTTTCTATACACTCGGAACAGAGGTAAGTTTGATGGTCTAGCTAGTACTAAGTAGATTAGAAACATAAAAAAATGAAGCATTTGCCCTAGCCGGTTTGGCTCAGTGGATAGAGCGTGGGCTTGAGAACTGAAAGGTCCCAGGTTCTATTCCAGTCAAGGGCACATGCCCGGGTTGTGGGCTCGATTCCCAGTGGAGGACATGCAAGAGGCTGCTAATCCATGATTCTCTCTCATCATGGATCTCTCTCTCTCTCTCTCTCTCTCTCTCTCTCTCTCTCTCTCTCTCCCTCTCTCCCTTCCTCTCTGAAATCAATAAAAATATATTGTAACACACACACACACACACACACACACACACACACAGTCCAATCCTCAGTTTGCCTACATTCATTCACACAGAATACTTACACTGCTTTTCACGTCCTTCAGCTTCGGAAGAATGTCTAATCCAAACCCATCGGCCTGCCCTCGGGTTTTGTTCCCGCCGTTCATGTAGTTGCCAAAGGCCAGGACCAGGCCCAGCACCTGCATGACGCCGGGCCCATTTTTCAACGTCTGTAAGCAGAAGGAAGGACCATGGCTCTCTGACGCAAAGTTCTGTCTGAATTATCCTAAGTGGGTGGCAGATATGGATGAGACACGGATCCTTTGGGGTGATACCAAACTATGTCCGCCAGTCGTTCTTATATTTAAAGAGGAGTGCCTCAGAGAGGAAGAGATCGAGGCCATTTTTGTGAAACAAATAAGGCCACACGGTGACAGCTACTCCAAAATCATGTCCTTGCTATCAGCCTAACGGGGCTTACCTCCGCAGCATCACAAACGTATGGCCTAGGGGCAGGAAATAGAGGCCTACTTCCAAAGAGGAATGACCAAATTTAGCTTTATCCCTGAAAAATCCATACGCATGTCTTCCGAATCACATCATGTAACCCAGTGTTGTAAGCCACGTCCTCTGAAGATGTGCCTTTAGCACTGCTTCCCAACCACAACCATGGGGCTATTGATTTGGGACCAACTGTTTTAATGTTATATATAATGTTAATATTGCTCCTTTCTGCCACAAAAAAAAAAAAATGGATTCTGCGTTGAGCTCAGAAGGCTGCTGAGCTCCTGTTGAATCGTACAGCTCATCCTAAATCCTTTGGTTGGAATCATTCGCGTATTATTGAGGGACTCTTCCAAATACGACAGGAAGTACCTGAAATGACCCTCCAATAGCATTTAACAGGGAGTTTGATGTATTTGAGGGCCATAAAAAGTAAGGATTTTGGCCCTAGCCAGTGTGGCTCAGTGGATAAAGCGACAGCCTGCAGACTGAAGGGTCCCAGGTTTGATTCCGGTCAAGGGCACAGGCCAGCGTTGCAGGCTCCATCCCCAGTGTGGGGCAGTGCAGGAAGCAGCCAATCCAGGATTCTCTCTCATCAAGGATGTTTCTATCTCTCTCTCCCTTTCTCTCTGAAACCAATGAAAGATCATCAATGACCACATTCAAGGCTCCATCATGTCACGTTCTCTTCCGTGGGCCTGCTAGCCTTCAGATGTTTTGAGTTCTTAGAATAAATCAAACTTTTCTGAGACGTGAACATGGCTGAACACAACTAACCACCAGCATCCAAGCGTCAGCTCCCCACCCACCTCACACAACTTCTGCAGCAACTCCAGTTTACGGCGGATCGAGCCAATGCTTTCCGAAAACGTGGACTGGAAGAGGATGCAGAAGACTCGCTCAGAGAAGTTGGGGATGAGGGACAGCTCATACAGGAACCTGAGGAGCCAAGCAAAGAGCGGGAAGATGTAACTCACAGAAACAGATGTGCAAGCTCGTATCACGCATCACGGCGGTGAACAGAAGATACTGCATCTTCCGAATGGGCTGGATGCCCACCACCCGCCCTGAGATGCTTACTGTTCAGGCTTGTCTAGGGACTTGGCACTTTCCTTGTCTTTGGTGGACCGGCCATGCTTTTCAATCTTCTCCAGCTCATCTGACTGTGCTCTCTGGAAATCAAAAGCCAAAATCTGGTCAACTGAATCCCTTAGATGATGATGATCTTAGTACAGCAAGACTCTATATTGTCATATTTCTTAACATCCCTCTGTAGTAAAGCTTGACATCATTCATGAGGCATGCGAAAGTGTAAATATGTTTAATGGAAACCAGATCATCTCCAAATCTTCCAAGTGATGGTATTGACGATCAGTGATCTGCAAAACACTTATTTATTCAAGCGTGTTCTAAAACAGCACGATCTTCTTCTCTTGCTCTTGAGCTGTTTATAATCCCCTCCAGAAGGCAAGACTTTCATGTTAAAGTGGTATTTATTTTTTTATTTTTTAAAATATATTTTATTGATTCTTAACAGAGAGAAAGGGAGAGAGATAGAGAGCTAGAAACATCGATGAGAGAGAAACATCGACCAGTTGCCTCTTGCACACCCCCTACCGGGGATGTGCCCGCAACCAAGGTACATGCCCTTGACCATAATCGAACCTGGGACCTTTCAGTCCGCAGGCTGATGCTCTATCCACTGAGCCAAACCGGCTTCAGCATCTTTTTTTAAAAATATATTTTATATTAATTTTTTACAGAGAGGAAAGGAGAGGGATAGAGAGTTAGAAACATCAATGAGAGAGAAACATTAATCCTACTAGGGATGTGCCCACAACAAAGGTACATGCCCTTGACCAGAATCAAACCTGGGACCCTTCAGTCCGCAGGCCGATGCTCTATCCACTGAGCCACACCGGTCAGGGCTAACGTGGCATGTCTTATTAAGGAATCGATGAAATTCAATTTGATCCTACAGCAACTCTCCTGCTCTTTCCATAGAATTCTACCCCAGCACCAATGAACTTAGCCTCCAATTATTCAGTTCATCCTTGACATCCACCATTTGATTTGGGGGGGAGAGGGTGGAATCTGTAGGTCAGGTATGTTATGAATGAATTAGCTTTGAGTGTGTTGGACTGGGAATCTCTGAGCAATGTTAAGGGGAAATGCTCCTGCATTATTTAAAAGACAAGTTAAATTATCCTTTTGAACATTACACATTGAAGAGTTGATGGCTGGTCTATATGGTACTATTTGTTGACTCATATTTCCTCTAATATTGAAAACTAGCTTTTCAAGAGATATACACTTTGTATGACCCATAGATTCACATTCTACAAATGCATAAATCTTTCCAGGAACAACTAATAATCGGAATATCTTGAAATGCCAAGGAGTGAGGGGAATTCACAAAATAGCAGCCACAGACACACAGCAATCTAAAGTCATATGTCTAAGGGCTGAACAGCTCTTCAGGTCCTAAAACCTTGACTACTTAACCATATATCGGCAAGCATGCAAGTAAACAAAAAGAAATTCAGAACCAAACACGCACGAGATGCCATCTGGAATCATTCAACCTCCCAAATAAGGTTGATAGGAGTTTTATATCCTTTAAAAAAAAAAAAAAAAAAAAAAAAAAAAGACTTGGCCATTTAATTCTTTAATAGCTTTATTGCACATTAAATTTTAGTTGTCGCAATCGTGGGCCTCAAGGAGGAAAGGTAATTATCCTCTCAGGCTCATATGTCAAAAGCATCCAACATTATTGCTGCCCGTGCATAATTTCAAGCCATGACCCACGCTTTCATAAAAATTAAAAAAAAAAAAACAAGGCTCTTGGCTTGTACGTATAAAACAATCAACATTTACTACCATTGAAAAATCTCTACCTAATATGACCCTACCCAAGCCAAACCTGCAAGTATTCTCCATGAACTAGAACATTCCTCACCGGAAGTACATTCCTGTAGCATCCGCAGAACCAAGGGACTTTAGGGGGGGACCATGAACATTTATGGCGTGGGGAGGGAATAATTTACCGTGGTCCCTAGCCAACTGCTCTGTTTCTCTGCTGCTTGCCTGCCATCATGGAAAATTACTGGGCAATGTTTAGTACACACGTGTCACGAGACACTGTCCTCCCACAAGACAGAGCCGAATGTGCTATTAAAAAAAAAAAAGCAAATGGCCAAGAAATACTCTCTGTACTCTTCCAAGGGTGTTAATGGGCTCCGAGGAGCCAGAGGCCGATCACAGAAGAACGCAGTTATTAATAATAGAAACACAGTGGCTGGTAAAAACACGGGCAGGGTGACAATCACCCAACACCACACGCCAGGGTGCGCGATCCGTGTCCTTCTGAGGAGGGACCGCCTTCGGGACCAGAAGCATCATCGTTAGAAGGAGTTAGCAAACAAGTGTTTTCCTTACCCAACGAGGTTGACACTGAGAGCTCAAACCCAAGAACAAAAAGAGCAGCAGGGATCAGAGCTAGCGCTGAACATAAAAGCCATTCCCCAAATCGGCGGTATCTGTGAAGAATGCAGTCTCCATCGACTTTATAAAGAATTTGAACACGGCCAAGGATCTGCTGGCTGCTCCCCTCCGCTCTTTCCAAGAAGTAGAAATCTTGGATCCCTCTCAGTTCCAGGTCAATCCATAGGAAAGACAGGCCCGTGGTCTCCCCTAGGTCAGTAGTCGGACCCCAATTTCTCGGGGAAGTGTGAGATTTGGCACAGGCATCTTTCCACGTGTGGACCCTGAGAAGGAATGTGCCTGTTAAGAAGAGACCCCTGCTGAAACCGGTGTGGCTCCGTGGATAGAGCCTGAAAGGTCCCAGGTTCAATTCCGGTCAAGGGTATGTAAATGGATGCATTCTGGTCAAGGGCATGTACCGGGGATGTGCAGGAGGCAACTGGTCAATGTTTCTCTCTCATCGATGTTTCTAGCTCTCAATCCTCCTCTTTCCTCTCTGTAAAAAAATCAATAAAATATTTTTTTTAAAAGGGGGGGACTCCTGGTGGCTATTTGGGTTCAGATTTATAAACAGAGTCTCATAGTCATGGCTAAACGGGGGCCTCTCTCGCGCTCTGTGCTTCAGGGAAGAGCTGTTCTGCCCTCCTTCCATCTGAGTCAACCAACTCTTCTAAGAGAGTTCCTGGCATCTCAAGTCAACGGTCTTCCTCTGTCCAATCAGAATCACGCAACTATATCCTCATTGGCATTTTCACTGACCAATCGGAGTGACTCCATTCTGACCACTAAGGACCGTGCTCCTGGACCAATCACACTGTGAGACTGTGGAGTCCTCATTTGCATGAAAACAGACCTTCCAAATGAAGCCAGGGCTGGGAGGGCCGAGCCTCTTGCACAAATTTCGTGCACCAGGCCTCTAGTACACAATATAGGTGTATTCAAAAGCAGAAGCAGAAGATCAGTTGAATCGACTGTACATGGTATAAACTGCTTATAAAGAGTCTTGACTATGTGAACTGAATCATCTATAAGAGTAAAAGCGTAGCCAGAACCAGTTTGGCTCAGTGGATGATAGAGCATCGGCCTGCGGACTGAAAGGTCCCAGGTTCGATTCCGGTCAAGGGCATGGACCTTGGTTGCCGGCACATCCCTGGTGGGGGCTGTGCAGAAGGCAGCTGATTAATGATTCTCTCTCATCGATGTTTCTAACTCTCTATCTCTCTCCCTTCCTCTCTGTAAAACATCAATAAAATATATTAAGAATAAAAGCGTAATATGCTAATTAGACCGGACAGCCGGATGACCTTCTGAACGTCCTTCCCAATGACCTTCCGGACGAAGCCACAGCTGCGAGGGCAGAGCCCCTTACACGAATTTTGTGCACTGGGCCTCTAGTCGTCAATGACCTTGAGGGAACCAGGAAGATTCCTGGTCCAGAACACTCAAAAGGACGTAGTGTGTTTATTGAGTGCGTAGTTTCACCGGGTTTTAACTCCTCAGTTAAACAGGAATTGGGCGCTCGGGATTGCGCGTTTTGAAATGACGGTGTGTTTAGGAGTTGGAGGCCGCCCCACATTCATTCACATCTAGAAGCAAAAGCCCCCACCGCTAAACATGCAATTGGGGGGGGGGGAAGTTGATATTCTAAATAAGGTTTGTATAGCAAATACTTCCATCTGTTTCAGAGATCAAATACGACTGCTTTCAAACAGTCCAAAAGGCCTGTGTGCAAGCATCTGGCACAAAAGGGAACGCATGTATTTATGGTTTCAGGTTAGTTATGTTATTTTGCCCTCGAGGATACGTGGTGGAACGCTAAATTAGATTATTCCTCACATACTTTAATAACAACAACGTGAGCTTACACATGACACTCCGGTTTATTTTTTTTTTCTAGATAAAATTTTTCTAGACAAAATGTAAATGTTCCCTCAGATGCCACGAGTAAACAATGAAGGCCGAATTAAGATCCCACTCGGATACCTTTCAAACACTGTTTTCAGACTTGAGCATAATGATTACAGTTATGACAACTCGGTAAATGTTGAAACATTTCCAAGGAGAAGGACCCCAGCCAAGTTCAATGGTGCACATGCCACGTTTCCCTTCTGCAGATACCGTCACGTGAGCAAGACTCACACCAAAAAGAATGACAAGGCCCTAGCCGGTGTGACTCCATGGGTAGAGCATCGGCCTGCAGACTGAAGGGTCCTGGGTTTGATTCGGGTTCAAGGACACGTGCAACCTGGGCATATGCCCTGACTGGGAATCAAACCCGGGACCCTTCAGTCCACAGGCCGACGCTCTACCCACTGAGCCAACCTGGCTAGGGCCAATTCCCTTCTTAAAGCAACAAGCCTAGCTGCATACAGGGTCAAGTAGTGTGGACGTATGATATACTCACACTTCCAGTTCCTTCTATTACTCACATTCTCATAAAGGGCTTGAAGGGTCTCCAGGTCAACCACAGAGTTGTCCAAGTTCACAACAGCTGTTAAAATAAACAAAAGGACAAAAGAAAGACTATAAATGACTTAGCCATAAGCCAGTTGTGAAAAGATGTCTGGCCATTTTTTTCCTCTTCTTTTATTAATTGTTTATTTATTTGTGTTGTTTTTTTTGTTGTTGTTGTTGCTATTGTTGTTAATCTCCACCTGAGGATACTCTTCCATTGATTTTTAAAGAGAGTGGAAGGGAGGTGGAGAAGACACAGAGAGAGAAACATCCATGTGAGAGACAGACACATGGATTGGCTGCCTCTGGCATGAGTCCCAAACGGGGCTGGGGATCAAGCCTACAACCGAAGTATGTGCCCTTGACCAGAGTCGAACCCACAACCCTTCAGTCCACAGGCCAGTGCTCTATCCGCTGAGCCAAATCGGCCAAGGCGATGAGGTCTGGCCATCTGGAGCAGTGGGGACCAGCTCTGGAGCGGAGTTCATGACCCAGCGGTCAGTGGGGGTAGGGTGCTCACTTCAGTGCGAGCTTTCACCTGCTCCAAAAATATAAAACCTCACGAACATGGCCCAGTCCAAAGTCAAAGACCAACCGTGAGTGTCTTTCCAGGACTAGCTGCCTGAATTTGGAAAACTTGCTTTAATAGCAGAAAATCAGATCAGTCACTCCTCTTACCGTCACATCCCCATTTTACATCAATTAATGCTCTACCTGCCTACATAGGAAACGGTCAATTCCAATCACTCAACGGATGGGCTTCATGTAGACATGACAGATGCGTTTCCTGGGATACTTGTTTTACTTGTTCTAATAAAAGAACAATTCTTTGATTATGGTATTGAGATTAGCACAGGTGCATCCTTAAAAATCCACTCTGACTATACCAACTACCCGGGTTTATTACTCAAGAGAGAAGTGGAATGAATCGTCAAAAAATTGGGAGTATGTCCTTAAATGCATTCTGTGGCCTGAGAGTCATATTGTGTTTTTGGAATCCGTGTGTTTTATAATGCAGTTTGGACACAGGTTCGTTAAAAGCGTTCCGTACTACATACATAGAGAGTAGTTAGAAATGAGGTGAATGTGCCCTGACCCTTGATTTGTGCCGAGCAGCCACCATAGCTATTGTGGAATTAAATATTTCTGGAAGGAAAATCACAAAGTGGATAAGCACACACTGGTTGTATTTGTTTTGATAACGGAGGCATTTGACAATGTCTTTCCTCTCAAAGCTTCAAGCACAGGAGACAATTCTTGTTGACTCTGGCAACATCCCAAGAAGGAATTAAGAAAGGCAAAGTGGGAAACTGACGTGTATGATGGATGGGAATGCTAACTAACCAAGATAATTTCGCTTTTCTGCTCAAAGCTGAGAACAGACCCCATGATCCCCCAACAAATATCATTGCAACTAGAACATGATACTTCCATCCTAAATATTCCTCTATCTCCATTTCCAAAAATATCAGGTCTCAAGTGTCAAGTAAGAATTTGATTAAGACTCTCAGACAAATGTTTTCACTCCTTAGACTACATAGGGCAACGTCCTAGGACAAACTGTGTTTCAAAGCGGTACAAACACTTGCCCAACTACCTTTGACTACATTTCAAAAATTAAATAAAAGAGATTAGCAAATGATTTTCACTGGAAGCAACGTGGCTGTAAATAATATAACAACATGCGGAAAACCCAAATAAAGATAGCAAGTTCGAGTATGAAATGACTCCCTTAGGATGTGTCCAGAGTCTTATCCCTTAAGAAAAACATCATGGTGAATCCAAAGGGTCGGACTTCAACATTCATTAGCTCATAATCAAGTATTTCTACATTCCTCAGTGACTTAGCAAAAGACTGATGGGGAAAACTATGAAAGAAATGCTAGCTAGTCAACTTCCTGCACCATTTCATTTTCGGAACAAGGAAAAGAAACACAATGGAATTAATTCATACTCAAGTCAAAACTCATCAAAGATACAATTGTCTTTTGGCTACATCCATCAGTCTAAAACATATTATTATTCCTACGGGTCCTCCCCCACACAAAGTCTTACTTGTGATTATACTGAGGTCTCTCGTCTTTAAAACTCATGTATTGAAGAATATCATAATAAAGGCCATATGGTCCTAACCATTGATTTACAGGCCTAACCATAGGTATAGGGCCTTAAGCAAGTCCACAAGTTTCTAACCCATGAATCCTCATTTTTAAATATATATATTTTTATTGACTTCGGAGAAGAAGGGAGAGGGAGAGAAAGAGGGAGAGGGGAGAGAGAGAAAGAGAGAGAGAGAGAGAGAGAGAGAGAGAGAGAGAGAGAGAGAGAGAGAGAGAGAGAGGAAGAAAGAAAGAAACATCAATGATGAGAGAGAACCACGGATTGGCTGCCTCCTACATGCCCCATCCACACTGGAGATCCAGCCTGCAACTTGGGCCTATCCCCTAACTGGGAATCGAAAATTGAACCGTAACTTCCTGGTTCATAGGTCGACGCTCAACCACTGAGCCACGCCAGCCAGGAAAACCTCATTTTTGTAATCATTCACAGAAAATCTCAATAGAAAGCAGCTCCATAAAATTTTCCCGCTACTGGCTTTCCACTTGAGAGATGCTAACACAGTTCAATGGGAATCAGCTGTTTTGACAAAAACCATAGAATCGCGCTCAAGTAGCTGAAATGCAGGAAGATTAAATATTGGCAGAGGAAGGGGTACCATGAGAGAGATCCAGACAGGAAGGAAGGGTAAAACATGCAATTTGAGAAGGGTTGGGGCTATTGACCCGCTCTCCTTCCTTAATACCAAAAGCACATTCCACCACTTTGAAAATCAGGATACGGACTGAAACTCACGTTCCTACATGTTTCGTGAAATCTCCCAGGATGCCCCTCTCTTAAAACCTGTGATGAGGTAGGTGGTACGGTTTCCACTGACGACATTCTAAAATCAAGGCACCAAGAGAACGCGTTCACGTATGCACCCGACCAATGTCACAGCAGTTCTCAAAACTCAGAGGCCAGCCCAGCTCGCCGGGCTGGTTAACAGTCTCTGGAGCAACAACCATCTGAAACTGGAGTTCCAGCAGGTGCCTGGCAGGGCTGCCAACCGGTTATGAGTGGCGACCGCCTTCACCAAGGATCTGACATGGGGTTGGTTAGTATCGCTTCCCTCTTCAAGGTTTTGTAGAAGTTCAACCAACTCGTCTGTCTCTCATAAGCCTTATGATCTATCCTGAAGTCCAAACGAGTTTCTTCTGTTTCTGTTCATCTGACTTCTAGCTATGGCCGTGGGAAGGGATTTCTATAAATACGAGAGGCCCCGTGCATCCCCCTCCCCTCCAGTGTGATCTGCTCACCTAGAGATAGAGACCCCCAAACCTACTGGCTCCATCCCCAGCGTGGGCCATGCAGGAGGCAGCCCATCCATGATTCTCTCTCATCGTTGATGTTTCTATCTCTTGCTCCCTCTCCCTTCCTCTCTGCCATCAATAACATATATTTTGAAAACCTTACTAGGATCTCTCTAAATCAGTACCCTGAGTGAGGGATGTCAGACACCCCACGTTGAAAGCATCCTTGGCGAGAGGAACACGGAGCGTTCCCGCGGTGCCAATCGCAGCGTGGGAAACCAAACAAGCGCCTGCAGGGAACTCTCATCAGCACCAATTTTGGTTGGGGTGCGTGGGCAGGGAGCCACGTCAGCAGAGGCTTAAACACCGAGTGAGTGCAGACCAGCCCGTCATCCCAGTTCATGCCCTCTCCTCGCTGGTGGGGTGGGCAAGAGTGCCAAGGCTGCGAGAAACCTCCCTGACCCCACGTGCGATTCAGAAGCACAGGGGGGAAAAAGAAATCAGCCCTGACCGGTGGGCTCAATGGATAGAGCATCGGCCTGGGGACTGAAGGGTCCCAGGTTCGATTTCGGTCAAGGGCACAGACCTTGGTTGCGGGCACATCCCTGGTAGGGGATGTGCAAGAGGCAGCTGGTCGATGTTTCTCTCTCATCGATGTTTCTAACTCTCTATACTTCTCCCTTCCTCTCTGTAAAAAATCAATAAAATATATATTTTTTTAAAAAGAAAAGCTTTCACGTGGGAAACAGAATCAATCTCATCCCCAGTCCGCCCCTGGTCCATCTCAAGCACGCTTGCTTAGACAAGGATAGCCACATCCGTTACAGATGAGTCCGGAGGCCCACACACCTATGAGCCTTGTTTAGAATAGCTGGACGGAAAAAAAAGAAAAAAGAAAAAAGAAATAAAAAGAATAGCCGGACGGGTGGCATCGAGAGAGAACAAATGCGTTTCGGTGGAGTCAGGCAGTCGCCTCCTTGTCTGGGCAGCGGGAGGAGGCGAGAAGGGGGGGTGGGGAGGAGGGAGACACAGAGACGAAGACCGTGATCCTTTCGGAATAAAACCTTTCAACGCAAACACGCCGGGCCCGGGCAGACTGTTTAACCTAGAGATATTGTATTTCATTCCTGGTCTCGGCGCGCTTTGTGGATTTGACCAAACTGGTACAAACGCGGAGGGCTTATCTCAACTGTTTAGATAAGGGGGACTTGACTTTGGCAGGTGACAGAGCCGAGGGCGTGGAACAAAGCGGGCAGAGGGAGAGGCTGGCCCGGGCCCAGCGGGTGTTTATGTTCCGCGGGGGGTATAGACGGGGGAAGAGTGTAAAGCGCCCGCCGTCGGCTCCGTGTGTCCATAAGCCGGCCCTGCAGAATGCCCTTACTTGGGCATCGGGGACCTCACCTTCCTCTTCGGTAAACATTTACGCTCTTGTAAAACAGAGCTCGGGGAGTCTTCCCTGGGACGAGGGCCCTCGCCCGGGGGGTCCCCCATCTGCCACTGCTTTCCAGCACATATTCTAGAAGGGCAATCGTGTTCAGGGTGACGGCTCACAGGAGCCTGTCTCTGTGGCTGCGTCCGTGCAGAACCTGCAACTGTCTGATGGCCCACGTGACTTGCATCCAGATAATAATCCGGCTTTTCTGTTTTAATGTATTTTATTGGGTTGTTTTTTTTTTTTTACAGAGAGAGGAAGGGAGAGGGAAAGGGATAGAGAGTCAGAAACATTGATGAGAGAGAATCATCCATCAGCTGCCTCCTGCACACCCCCCACTGGGGATGTGCCCGCAACCAAGGCACAGGCCCTAGATCGGAATCGAACCTGGGACCCTTGAGTCTTCAGGCCGACGCTCTATCCACTGAGCCACACCGGTTAGGGCTGCTTCTTCAAGCTTTTAAGGCAACCATTTTATTTATTTATTTATTTATTTTTAGAAACCCGTGTGCAGGATTTCAAAGCGACTCCAGCTTTATAGCCTAATGGGATAACGTTTCTGCCTCATTCGGCATGACCCTCACACTACCGACATCCACGCTGTGTTATTGTTAGCGTCGCATGTCCAGCTAGCAAATTTTTCAATGAACTCTCGCTGGCTTGCCCACAGACCCAGATGTGAGGCGGGCTCCTCGGGTCATACGGTTCTCATTAGTAGCCCAGCCCGGCTGAATATTTGACTGAGGGAAAGGACCGTGTCATTATTTTCAGATTTCCTCCCATGACTTAACCGGCCTGCCCCTGCCAGCTCTGGAAACGCCAAGCACTTCTTGGCGCCAGGCTTGGCGTCCTGCTCTCTGACTACCACCCCCAGCGCTTCGGGCCCGAGGAAGTGTCCTCGCCATCAAAACAGTTTCATAAAACCGGAATCGTGATGAAGGGTTACTCATCCATCGCTATTTATGAATTATTCCACACCGTGGCTTCAGCCAAACAAACAGCATCCACGTTCCTACAAGGCTGGGCGAGGAAAAGCCAGGTCAACGTTTCCATGATTTATAAGGTCTGTGTTGCGCTGGAGGCCACATTGCTTTAATAGGTAAGCTGGCATTCCACGGAACAGTTCAATCTGCTTTAAATCTAGCCTCAGGCTCTGGGCAGCATGAGGGACATTCTGAATATAAACTCAACTCCTCTATTCACCTTCGGGCTGTATCTCTCAAGCACCAAAGTGATCAGAGGAGAAGGCACGGGAATACGTGTGCATGGGAGGGTAGAATTCAGTTATGAACACGTTGGCACTAATGTCGCTCCGAAAATGTGGGGGCGGAAATCACCCCGATTCCAAATGTAAATAATGTTGTAGAAGCCCGTATAAAAACATACATGAAAACAACAACATAAAAGAAATAGCAGGCGGTCCTGATATTACTGTCTCCATGTGTCTTGACCACGAACAATAACAGAAGCAGGCAAGAATCCTCAGAAACAATCTTTGATGGTTATTAGGAAAGATAATACACTCCCGCCCTTGCTGGTGGGGCTCAGTGGATAGAGCGTCGGCCTGCGGACTGAAAGGTCCCGAATTCGATTCCGGTCAAGGGCACATGTCTGGGTTGCAGGCTCGATCCCCAGTAGAGGGCATGCAGGAGGCAGACAATCTGATTCTCTCTCATCACTGATGTTTCTATCTCTCTGTTCCTCTCTGAAATCAATAAAAATATGTTAAAAATAAGTAAACAGCCAAAACCGGTTTGGCTCAGTGGTAGAGCATCTGTCTGCGGACTGAGGGGTTCCGGGTTCGATTCCGGTCAGGGGCATGTGCATTGGCTGCGGGCATGTCCCTGGTACGGGGTGTGCAGGAGGCGACTGGTCGATGTTTCTCTCTCATTGACGTTTCTAGCTCTCTGTCTCTCTCCCTTCCTCTCTGTAAAAAATCAATAAAATATATTATAAAAAAAAGTAAACAAATGCATTTTTATTAATGCAGACTAAACATGTCTCATGAGAATCATGAGACAGAAACAACAAAAACGTCACATGAATAGGTAATGTGCCGGCAACAAGCATGAGGGAAACACACGAACCTCAGTATCCACAGCAATTCTAAGTCTGAAATGATTTTACCACCAAACACCACGCCCTTCAGCCCACACAGTGGTATTCAAAAGCTGGATTTTAACTTGCACACTTACCATGTTGTATGTCTTTCATATCCAAGTGAAGGCTAGACATTAATATCCCAACCGCTTGCGACCTTTTGTTGCTTAATAGCTTGACAACCTGCTCAAGAAAAAAGGGGAAAATGTCCATTGATACACCAACGACACGCTTAATAACATATTACTTAATCTTAAAGGAAGAACAAGTCAAGTCAGTATATGAAGTATTCAAAAATGGCTTGAAAAGAGTTTTCTATTATAAACCTTCAAAATCCACCATTTACACACACACACACACACACACACACACACACACACACACACCAAGTGTTCCCATTGCTCTTGACCAGTCTTTTAAGAGCCGGGTATGTCAACAAGTACCATTTCCCCAAAAATAAGACACTGTCTTATATTAATTTTTGCTCCCAAAGATGCGCTAGGTCTTATTTTCAGGGGATGTCTTATTTTTCCATGAAGAAGAATACGGTACACATTTATTGTTAAATGAAAATAAAAGAAATTTATTACCTGTATACGGTAGTTGTCAACACAAACCAGACAAACTGTGAATCCTACAGTATCAAGAATGTACTCATTTATTCAGTGACAATCATCTTCTGGAACATCATCATAACAATCCAATTTCTGAATTTCCTGGTGAATTTCTTGTGACTCCATTTCTTTCAGAATCAGTGGACCAAATCTCTCATGTTTAGCAATAGCATTCTAAGACAGAGCCTAGAGGGGTCTTATTTTCGGGGGGTGCCTTATATTTCACTCAGAAGGAAACCTGTAAGTAGGTCTTATTTTCGGAGGATGTCTTATTTTCAGAGAAACACGGTAGGATTGGTAATAGTTTAGGAAGTCAGTTGGGTCTCTGTAAAATAATAACTTCACGTTTGATCATTTGCAGCCTGAGCTTTAAGACGTGGTCCTTACTAGCCCCAGAGTCATAGAAGCATGGACAGACTGTGGAACTTCAGAGGGAAGGTAGGGGAGGATGGGTGGAAAGAGATCAGCCAATGAACTTGTGTGAACATATGTATCAGCCAGGGACACAGACAATGAGGGCCTAGGCGGGGGGAGGACAGGAGCGGCTGGAAGAGATTAATGGGGGGGAAAAGGAGGACCGAAGTAATATTTTCAACGATAAAGATGAAATTTCAAAAAACAAAATGAGCCGAAACCGGTGTGGCTCAGTGGATAGAGCGTCAGTCTGCAGACTGAAGGGTCCCAGGTTTGATTCCGGTCAAGGGCATGTACCTGGGTTGCGGGCACATACCCAGTAGGGGGTGTGCAGGAGGCAGCTGATGGATGTTTCTCTCTCATCGATATTTCTAACCCTCTATTCCTCTCCCTTCCTCTCTGTAAAAAATCAATAAAATATATTTTAAAATTAAAATTAAAATAAAAGCATCTTGCAAATGCAAGGTGTTGGTGTTAGTGATCCAATGACTAGAAGTCATATTTACTAGAAGCATGACGCACGAAATTCGTGCAAGGGTCTCAGCCCTCGCAGCCCTGGCTTCGTCCAGAAGGTTGTTCAGCTGTCCAGTCTAATTAGCATATTATGCTTTTATTATTATAGATTATTATATATAAGGCTATCCAAGCACCTGAGCTTATTCCAACAAGAGGAAGACAAGCAATGACAGAAAGCAGTAAGGAGTAAACCAAATAAAGTCTGGCAACACCTAGAATGAAGAGAGAACCACCCACACAACGATGAATCCCCATCGTGCAGCAAACGTACAAAGCTCTGGTCCTCTAAGATCTCTTCAGACACACATCCTGTGGGTCAACCCACAACTCTGATGTGAACTCACGTCGATTTTCCTCTGGAAAGACACGGTCCTCTCTACATTTTTATTTTATTTTATTTTATTTTATTTTTTGATCCCATGGGAATCGGGAACCAAGAGCTTTCTTGGCACTGCCTGACACCAGATCATGCTCACAGCAAACACCTTCAATCCCAACGCGTCTCCACTCCAGAGCAAAGAATGCTTTTGTATGAGATTTTGCAGAGCCAGAGGTTATCAGGGCATATGGGTGGGTTTCGAAGTCATGCTTATTTACACCACCGCCCTCTCCTCTTCCGATCAGCAGCCAGCCTCAGGGAAGGGTGGCTGACCTCACAGGCTCCCAACCACATTCCAGGGGAAGACATTGACACTAACCATGCCCGGGAGGGATATCTCCAGTCTATCTGGTCGGCACCAGACAAGCCCATCTACTTGGGCAGCCTCGGCACAACCTGGGACACAAAACAGGGAGGTGGCTGATTGGGGAGATAGCTGTCAATCCCACCCCCCGATTAAAAAGCTACACGTCCGTCATGATTTGACCTGGGTGGCAGTAAGAACTCTGTATTTCAGCCCACGTCTTCACCTATGTGAGCAGCTATGTAACTTCAGACAAAGTTCTTGAATGGCTCTGGATTCCCCTATCTGTGGAATATTCCTCAGTGGGGGTGGGGCGGGGTGCAGGAGGCAGCCAATCAATGATCCTCCCTCATCATTGATGGTCTATCTCCCTCTCCCTTCCTCTCTGAATCAATGAAAATATATTTAAAAAGAAGAGCAAGCTGAAACTGGTTTGGCTCAGTGGATAGAGCGTTGGTCTGTGGACTGAAAGGTCCCAGGTTCGATTCCGGTCAAGGGCATGTACATTGGTTGCGGGCACATCCCCAGTAGGAGGTGTGCAGGAGGCAGCTGGTCGATGTTTCTCTCTCATCGACGTTTCTAGCTCTCTATCTTTCTTCCTTCCTCTCTGTAGAAAATCAATAAAATATATATTAAAATAAAATAAATAGAAAAACAAAGCCACTGCCTTGTTCTAAATAAATTCAAGTCAAATAGAGTAACAAAACGGCCTCTTAGCTAGGTGTATGTTACATCCTCAAATTACATGTGCCAAGATATTAACTAGATTGTATTCACCAACAGAGAAGAAAGCCAGGGTACGAATGGGAAATGGCTGAAAGCCATGACAACATAGGATGGGCTGGAATGTTCACTCACCTCTGCCCGACTCCAAAGCTCACCTGTTCCCCTGCTCCAGGCCCCGTTGGCCACACTACACACACATACACGCGGTGCAGGATCCTTGACATAACAGAGCACCCAATGCACCAGAAGAATCCACTGACAGAGAAACATGCAATAATATTGGGCCTAAGCAACGGTTCGACCATTCAACCGGTAGCTATGACACGCACTGACCACCAGGGGGCAGGTGCTCAATGCCCAGGTATGGAAGCATGGGACAGACTGATGAATCTCAGGGGGAGGGTAATGGGGAGGGCAGGAAGAGATTAACCAAACATCTAATATGCATACTAGAGGCCCGGTGCACAGATTTGGGATCCCTCAGCCTGGACTGCAGGGATCAGGATGAAACTGGCACTCTGGCATCCCCCCAAAGGTCCTGGATTTCGAGAGGGAACAGGCCAGGCTGAGGGACCCCACCAGTGCACAAATCTATGCACCGGGCCTCTAGTCTTCATTTAAAGGAATAAGTATTCAAGAATTAGAAATGCAATTCCTTACTGATATCAACTTCTTTCTTAGCTTATTTCTGAAGCAGCCAGGAGGATCCTGACTAACAAAACAAAACCGATAAACAGTATAGCATGATCATAAATAAACTGAGGGGGGAGGAGGGAAAATGACATTGGGTTATATTTTCATAAAAAATGTATTCTAACAGGTTGCACTTCCAAGCTTCATATTTTATTTTCTTAAATATTACAGCAACATGGAATTAAAAAGTCGAACATAAATACCACCGCGTTCTTCAGATAAAATGTTTTTCTAATTAAAACGAACTATCACAACTACCCATCTCTTTCCACTCCGTGAGAACAGAGAAAACACACGGAGATGTTGAAACTCCTGGAATTTAAAAACAATACACAACCTTCTCTTTGATGCTCGTTGGACACAGCATTTGGCCAGTTTTGTCGTGCAGGAGACATACATGCAAGATATAATTTGGCCCTCCATCATTTCAAACATCTTCCCAATCAAAAAAAAAAAAAAATGTGTTCCCTGACCAATAGTATGCAAGTTCATTTGGTTGCATTTTTCTCCTCGGAATTCCTGCTAAAAATCTGGTTTTAGATTATCTGCACTATCTCCACTGTCAACGGTACATTCGTAGCTGGGAACTCACAGGCTAAGATTAGAAGTAAAGTATTGAAAACCCACTAAATTGTGAATATAACACCTACATTTCATGATATTGCAAAAAATTATTTAGATATCAAAGGTGTCTATAGAATATGGACATTAGCATATTTTGATGAGTGATGCTAACTGTCACAAGTAAAAAATATGATACATATAAAATGATAGGGTTACTGACAACCCCAAGTGAATAAGACTCATACTAAGGCCATTTTTTAAAAATATATTTTATTTATTTTTTTACAGAGAGGAAGGGAAATGGATAGAGAGTTAGAAACATCGATGAGAGAAAAATATCGGTCAGCTGCCTCCTGTGCACGTCCTACTAGGGATGTGCCCACAACCGAGGTCCATGCCTTTGACCGGAATCGAACCTGGGACCCTTCAGTCTGCAGGCCAACACTCTATCCACTGAGCCACAGCAATTTCAGCTTACTGAGACCATTTTTACATGCATTCTTGGTATTTGATGACAAGTATGTTTTGCTAATCACTCCCCGAAACAACAAACAAACAAACAAACAAAAACGAATGCTGGAGTGCCTTTTACTAGCCACATTTTTTAGCTGAAATGCCTTGTTCAAGATCACTCACTCGTCAGGTCACAGTCTGAGCCACCACCCTGCCCCACCCCTAACCTTCAGCGTGAAGAGCATACTTCTGCCAAGGACTTGCACACACACTGGGCCTCATTGCCCCAGCTCTTCCTCAATATTCCGGGCGATGGGACACAGCTCCCGGCAGATAGAACACAAAGAGAACACTTTGATTTTTTCAAAGTGCTGGCTACACAGCCAACCTGAGATGGAAACCTTAGTCTGAAGAGTCTGCCCTACAAATTACACATTTGGGGGAAATAAAAAATAAATAAAACAAAACCCAAAATAGTCCCCTCCCTCTGTAGTGACCGCACAACAAGATACCAGAGATTAATTTCCATTTATATAAAGGCCAGTGTTGCCAAAACCAATTTGGCTCAGTGGATAGAGCGTAGGCCTGCGGACTGAAGAGTCCCGGGTTCGATTCTGGTCAGGGGCATGTACGTTGGTTGCGGGCACATGCCCAATGGGGGGCTGTGCAAGAGGCAGCTGGTCGATGTTTCTCTCTCATCGACGTTTCTAACTCTCTATCCCTCTCAATTCCTCTTTGTGTAAAATCAATAAAATATATTAAAAATAAATAAATAAATAAGAAGGCCAGTATTGCCAAAACCAGTTTGGCTCAGTAGATAGAGCGTCGGTCTGCGGACTGAAGGGTCCCAGGTTCGATTCTGGTCAAGGGCATGGACCTTGGTTGCGGGCACATCCCCAGAAGGGGGTATGCAGGAGGCTGTTGATCGATGTTTCTCTCGCACTGATGTTTCTAACTCTCTATCCATTTTAACCTGCCTCTCTGCAAAGAAATCAATAAAATATAAATATATTTTTTTTTTTAAAAAAAGGCCAGTGTTATAAGCGAAAAATGGACTATTCAGGAAATGAAGGACCATCCCGCCTCCGCTGATGGGATGGAAACGGCATCATAAATGTTGAGTTATTCAGTGAATGGTCAACCCGTTTGTGACCTATTCAGGCATCTGCTTTCCCTCCTGCCCGTTAGCCATTAGCTTGGTGTGACTTTTTTGGCTCTTCCAAAGAGACAGGCTCAACCCCTGGCTCTAGCCACTGAGCAGCACGGTGCTTTCGGCACTGAAAAGAGATGGTACAAGGGTGAAAATTGCATTGATCCCACCCATCAGAGGAACACGGTTCCAGCATCCTTGCCAAGTCTCCGATCTATTTCTGGAAATGACATACTGACTCAGCCACGGGTGCGTTCCCCAAAGACCTCCTAGTGTTTGGACATGAAAGAGAAGTAAACATGGACTTGTCAGGGACCTAATTTATGGTGCTCATTTTTTTGGAGAATAAAAGCTTCAATATGTGATCTTTTTTTAAGTCTTGAAAGACAAATGGCGTTCTTTGCGGTGGCACCATGTTTTTCAAGGATCGTCTGCCTCGCATTTTCCTTTCTTCAACAATTCCATGTAAAGGGACAGACCCGGTGCCAAATGGGTACGTTCTGGCACATTCTCATCCAACAACAGTCAAGTCAGTCATTACTCATATCCCTGAAAATATCTCCCACCCCATGGACCCAAAGTATCAAGTGAGCGCTTGGTTTTTCAATAATAGTTTTTCCAAAGTGGTTATTGTTTAAAATAAGTAAATACAGTTTAAAAATAAAGTGGTTATTGTTTAAAACAAAAGCTTCCCAGGTTCGATTCTGGTCAAGGGCATGTACCTTGGTTGCGGGCACATCCCCAGTGTGGGGTGTGCAAGAGGCAGCTGATCGATGATTCTCTCTCATCGATGTTTCTAACTCACTCCTCTCTGTAAAAAAAAAAAATCAATAAGATGCCGAAACCGGTTTGGCTCAGTGGTAGAGCGTCGGCCTGCGGACTGAAAGGTCCCGGGTTAGATTCTGGTCAAGGGCATGTGCCTTGGTTGCGGGCACATCCCCAGTAGGAGGTGTGCAGGAGGCAGCTGATCAATGTTTCCCTCTCGTCGATGTTTCTAACTCTATCCCTCTCCCTTCCTCTCTATCAAAAATCAATAAAATATATTTTTTTAAATCATGGGCCCCTATGCAATCATTTTCTAATAACTTGAGTGTCTTAAGTGTCCAGGAGAGTTGGGTGAAGGAAAGAAGCAAGGGCAATACCTAAACCAGTGGTCGACAAACTCGTTAGTCAGCAGAGCCAAATATCAACAGGACAACCATTGACATTTCTTTGGAGAGCCACATTTTTTAAACTTAGCCTTTATAGGTAAGTACATTGTTATGAACTTAATTAGGGGACTCCTCAGCTGGCCTTTGCTAAACACTCAAGGGGCCAAAGAGCCGCACGTGGCTCGCGAACCGCATTTGCCGACCCCTGACCCAAACCACCAGAAATCAACAACGGTCGCTGTTTAGAAACACAGTGTTGGTGGAAGTAAACACGGGAGAGATAAAATAAATACAGGCGCGGAGTGGCGAGACCACACAGTCGTGACAGCAACATGCTCCACGCAGTCCTGGGTGGCCCCGGGGAGAGAGAGAAACCTACAGGAGACCGTTAGGAGTGAGGAACACGGGCGGGGAGATCTGCGAAAGCATGACTGAGTGAGTTGGACGAAGAAAAAAGGGAGAGCCAGGCAGAAATTAATTCCTATTTCGTCGGAGGCATGTGTTGCACACCCATACTATCATGCGGCACGCTGGCTGCAATGCTGACGTGCTGGTTGTATGTCAGCGTGGGACCCAGAAGGCTGTGCAGATGGCTGAACAAAGCCAACCGTTCAGCACGGGTAAGAGTAAGGAGCTGCAGATCATGCTAAGTCCGAGGAAGAGAAGCACCCCGTGATCTCACTCACCTGTGGAATCTAGGGAACAAAACAAACGGACGGACGGAGTGGATCAGAGACGTGGAGGCGTGGAACCTCGGAGGGAAGGCGAGTTGAGAACACACATCTCCCTCCTCTGCTCCCAATAGAACTTAGGTTCCATCAATGAGCAAAAAATCCTCCCTTCCTTTTTCTGCACGAGTGAGTTTTAGACGTTCCTCGACGATCAGAATACGGTGACGGATCTCAAAGGAGCTTTCCGAACAGCTCTCCTCATGGGAGGACCCCCAGGAGCCCGAAACGCCAGCCACGCGGGGAAAACACGCCCCCGTACTCACTTGCTTGGCCTTGGCCTTCGTGATGGTGTCAGAAATCGGCTTCTTCCGCTCCTTGACGGCGGTTTTGGAGAACAGCTCCTCGAACTCCTGGCAGTCAATGGACGGCTCTTCAATTTTTTCCCAGATGAGCGCGGCACCGGAGTCTCTAAAGTTAAGCAAGACACCAACTGAAGGAGCCACGCGCTGGCGTTTGACACAGACGCGTTGTCCCCGGGCCACCCGAGCTGTGATGCACGGAGGGAGAAGGCAGGAAAAAAAGGGCCGAGGAATGGAACCAAAAGGAGGAGAGGAAGGCGGGAAGGAAGGCAGCATCGGGGGGAAGAACAGAAGAGGCAAACGGGGAAGGAAGGGGAAAGGGGAGAGAATAGTCTTTTTCTTTTAAGACCCCCTGATAAGAAAGTTGAAATACCAGCGACACAGAATGAAACCGTTGCTTAGAAATCATAACATCCGGGAAGTCTCGGTGATCAAGTCGGTGTATACAAACATCTACACTAACAAAAGAGTGAGATGCAAATTGACCGTACCTTCGTGACACCCACCGGCCAATCGGGAGTGAATATGCAAATTAACCCAACAATGTTATTGGGTTAATTTGTATACACAGCTGCTCTGGGCCTCTGGGCAGCATGGGAAGGCGGAAAGGTGGCTGTGGCCATAGCAAAGGTGGTGCCACCAGCCAGGGAAAGGAAGGCCCATTCTTGCACGAATCTTCATACATAACAGGTTGTTTCACAACGTTGACTTAAAAATATACAGACAGGCTTTAGAGCAGTACTTAGAAGGGCACTACATTGTCATTTTCCTGAGTTATCCCGGGAACTCCCTGAGGGCCACGGAGACTGAGTTAGATAGAAAGTAAGGAATACTCTGAATTTTTTTTTTTTTTTTAAGGGAATTAAGAGGAGAGAAGCGGGGAGGGGCGATCCCACTCCGAGCTGAGCCCCCTGTGCAAGGTACCTTTTCGTGTGCAGCTGAATCCTCGTCCAGTACAGAGGCTTCATGGGCCGGCAAGGCTCTATGGGCTGCTTCCTGCTCCCTTTGTCCTGGCTCATCCCCAGCCCAAACCAGCCGGTTGGCAGCGGCGGGGGGAGAAACCCGCACGCGTGGGGCGTTGGCAAAGTGCTACCCCCGGCTTGTGGGGGGAGTGGAGGGCCAGGGCCAGGGGGCAGAGCAGGTGGCAGTGGTGGGGCTGTGGGGATGCCAGTTCCAGGGCTGGGAGGGGGAGCTGGAGCAGGTGGAATACCCACGCCTGGCAGAGGAGGTGGGGGGGGAACCCCCGGTCCAGGCAGAGGCGGGGGAGGGGGTATCCCCACCCCAGGGAGAGGCGGGGGAGGGGGTATTCCCGCCCCAGGAAGAGGTGGGGGAGGGGGTATCCCCACCCCAGGAAGAGGTGGGGGAGGAGGTATTCCCGCCCCAGGGAGAGGTGGGGGAGGGGGTATCCCCACCCCGGGGAGAGGCGGGGGAGGGGGTATTCCCATCCCAGGGAGAGGTGGGGGAGGAGGTATTCCCGCCCCAGGGAGAGGTGGGGGAGGGGGTATCCCCACCCCGGGGAGAGGCGGGGGAGGGGGTATTCCCATCCCAGGGAGAGGTGGGGGAGGGGGTATCCCCACCCCAGGAAGAGGTGGGGGAGGGGGTATCCCCACCCCGGGCAGAGGAGGGGGAGGAGGTATTTCTTCACCAGGCAAAGGCGGGGGCGGGGGTGGCAGCATCGGCGTCCTGGGCATAGAAGGAGGCGCACCGGGTGGTGGAGGGGAGGGTGCCGCCGTGCCCACCCCAGACATGGGGCCAGAAGACACTGAGCAAGGCAGAGGCGGTGGGGGCGGGATGCCGGGGCCGTGTCCAGGGGGCGACCAAACAGACTGTTCATGGCTGGTGTCCAACGCAGGCTGAAGAGAAGGCTGGGAGGACTGTGGCCTCGCCGGGCCTTGACCCTCCAGCTGCACTATCTGCCTCGGAGACACCATCAGAGAAATCTCGGAGCAGAACTTTGTCTGAGGTCCAGAAGGTGAGGACGGCCCTGCGGGGCCTCCCCCTGCGGACCCCGGCGGCCGGGAGGGGCCGTCTGGCAGTGGCGTGGCAGGAGGCAGGGTGGGCGTCCCGCCCTCCTCGACCGGGGACGTCTGGATGGACTTGGCCTGTACGATCCTCTGGCCCCAGCCGTGGTCTCCTCCTGGCCTGAGAGCTGCAAGGCAGGCACCATCCGAGGGGGCCTCTCCATTCCAAACCCCGAGGCGGCCGCCAGCGCCCTCCCCGTCCACAGCCGGGTACTGCTTCTCCAGCTCCGCGATCTTGGTCCTCAGATCCTCAATGGTCTGCTCCAGCTGCTGAATCACAGTGGCCTGTCCCTCAGACCCAAGGTCTGTCACTTCCTGGGGGCAACAAGGGCATAGGTAAATAGAAAGTAAGGAATACTCCACCCCAAAAAAAAGTGGATGGAATTAAGCAAAAAAAATAGATTTAAATACGGTAGATATCCCCCATGGGCACGAGCATACGCCTTATGCACACGTTTCAGGCTGTGTATATCACGTTGACTCTTGACTGTAACGTTCTGTCTAAGACAATGTTTGGGTCACCTTGATGTCTAAATGGCTCCCTAGACAGGCTACTTTATTTCCCTGTCATTAAAAAAAAAAAAAAAATGCCAAGTAACCCCTGTTGTTGAAAGAAATTAAAAAGAAGCCTAATTGACTCTTTAAATAATTGCTTATTGTGGTTATTTCTTTTACCAGGGACAACGTAGAGACTCTATGGCGTGCTTTCCCAAACTACAGATAGAAATACTTTATGTATTTGTACAGACATTTGGTGAAAAAATAGGGACCTACATTCTCTACATTCGGAGGTGTGTCTACACATACGTGAATATCTACGTAAATAAAAAGCACCTCTCAAAACTGGGCCTATCTGTTAGAAGTGTGTTTTTTCATTCCTTTAGTATTTACTAGAGGGTCTTTCATGATAATGATAAGCAAGAACCAATTTTTAGAATTCAGATGACTCGCCCCGAACATCATGGCTCCGTCGGTTGGGTGTCGGCCAGTGCACCAAATTGCTTCCGGTTCCATCTCCCATCCGGGCACTTGCCTGAGTTGCAGGTTTGATCTCCCGGGAGGGGGTGTGCAGAAAGCAACTGATGGATGTTTCCTGCTCTCTCCCCCTCTCCTTTACTGTCTCTCTAAAAATCAATAAACTATTTAATTTTTTAAGTATATTTTTTAAAAAACTCATGGCTCCGTGGCTCAGTAGGTTGGAGTGTCATCAGGAGGACACCGAAAGGTTGTGGGTTCGATTCCCAGTCGGAGAACATAGGGGAGGCAACTGATCAATGATTGATGTTTCTCTTTCACATCAATGTCTGTCGGTCTGTCTGTCTTCTTCCCTCTTTCTAAAATCAATAAACATATCCTCGGGTGAGGATTAAAAAAATAAAAGACTCCTGTTCATTTCCACTGGTGCAGATTTTCCACACACACACACAAAAAAAGTATATAATGCAGTGATATATGGCATCTTTTATAAAAAGATGGTAAAATTTGGTAGTATTTGAGAACGTCCTCAATTTCCCCAGTGGCCTCTTGACCATTCTGAAAGTTTCAGAGGGAGAATTGCTTTTCTAGAGATAATTATCATAGACAGAAAACATGGGGGGGGAGGGGGAAATTGGGAGTGAGACTATCTGATTGTCACATAGTTCTGACCGTAGAGAGAACGGAACTCGACTTGCTAAAATCTTTATTCCTCTCCACAACTCTGTCTTTACCTGCAAAATCCCAGCCCTCAATCCAAACTGCCTAGCCCCATGGTCAGTAAACTGCGGCTCTCAAGCCTCATGCGGCTCTTTGGCCCCTTGAATGTGGCTCTCCCACAAAACACCACAGCCTGGGCCAGTCTATGTTGAAGAAGTGGCGTTAGAAGAAGTTTACGTTTTAAAAATGTGGCTCTCCAAAGACATGTCAGTCGTTGTCCAGTGGATATTTGGTCTGTGGACTGAGGAGTTTGCCGACCCCCAGCCTAGCCTGTGAGCTCAGGCTGGCCATCCATTCTTACAGAACAGCCAGATGGAGGCCGGGTTTCTGCGTCTGAAGGCAGCTAAGCGTCTTCAAAGAGCCTTATCTGGCCTTTCTTATCCGGAGCTCTCAGCACCCAGTCACCGCTGTCGGTAGAACTCTCTAGAAAGGCTGCCTGGCTTGTCAGCGGGAAAAGCTGCTTTCTACGTGGGCTGGATAGAATTCTTCCCAGAGGCTTATTAAAAAAAAAAAAAAAAAAAAAAACTCACATGGTCAATATGATGGAAGGAAAATGCCGTCTCTTCTCTGGCCATTTCAGCAAGCATCCTCCCTCCTCCCAGGGCCCACCCACAGACAAGCCCAGATTTCAGCTCCTAGCCTCTGCCAGGCGCTCTGCTGTCCAGGGAAGACCTCCAACCCCTGGTGTCCTGGGCCTGGACCTTAACCTCCCATCCCTTCAGGGTATAACTCGACAAGAGGCCCCTCAGAGCCTCAAAGCACTCTACAGGAGAGAAATAAACAACTTCTCTTCCTTCTTTCAAAAAGACTCTCAGGAACTTCCAGGAACCCTGTGCGCCTCCCCAAAGCTAATGCCTCTCACTGTTAAACATTAAAACGGCCCTGGCCGGTGTGGCTCAGTGGGTAGAGCGTCGGCCTGCGGACCGAAGGGTCCCAGGTTCGACTCCCGGTCAAGGGCACGTACCTTGGTTGCAGGCTCGGTCCCCTCCAGGACGGGGGGTGTGCAGGAGGCAGCCGACCCATGATTCTCTCTCATCACAGATGTTTCTCTCTCTCTCCCTCTCCCTTCCCCTTTGAAATCAATAAAATTATATAGTAACAAAAAATTTTTTTTTTAATAAATGCATCTCTAAAAGGAAAAAAAAAAAGTGTCTTTGTCATCTTGGACAGGACTGATGCCATGGGCACATCCGTCTATGACGGAGCGTCAACGGAGAATGTAATATACTCTCCGGGTTGCCAATTCCAAGAGGATTTGTACGTAAAAGTATCATTTCAAACGTCTCCACCCGTGCTTGGCCGGACAGTATGTGCGGTCGGCCTGCCAACATTCCTCCATTCCTGTATAATCTCAGGCGTGGGTGGCGAGGGCCCGTGCTCCTAAACTGTTTACACGCTGGGATTTCACAAAATGCAAGTTGCCATGAAAAAAAAAAATAATAATACAGTGACACGTTCACCCCAGCTCTGTTTCCAAAGACAAGATTATCTGATTCCTAGAAAAGAGAGAAAACATCAGCCTCGCGTTCGGGCTAACGCTGTCCCAACAGGGAGCCAAGACGCACTCAGAAAGAGCGTTTGCCGGAAACTTTATTGTAATTTATGTCAGCAAGACGCGTCCGGAGACGAGAATCTCAGATCCACTTGCCGGGAAGGGAACACGGTGACCCTTTGCTTTGTAAATGCTCGTGAGATACGGAGTTCATGTTCCTTGTGCGTTATATGAAAATGATATTCAGATTTTTTTTAAGTTCTGGTAAATTCTAAGGCTATGTGACTGACATTCTAGGATACATTCATTACTGGCAATCATAGCACATATTTTTTAAGTATTTTTTATTGATTTCAGAGAGGAAAAGGGGGGGGGGGGAGGGAAACGTCAATGAGGAGGGAGAATCATGGATCGGCTGCCTCCTGCATGCTCCATCCTGGGGATCAGGCCCAAACCCCAGGATAAAAAATAAAAAACTGCTTCGTGTCCCAGCTTCCTCACTCCAGGGGCCACAGTGAAGGCCGGGAAGTTGGGGATGGGGGGGAGGGCAGGTCTAGCAGCTGCATTTGCTTTAAGCATCAGACACGCCCCCCCCCCCAGCTGTCCCTACCCCCACCTCCACCCCCTTAGCTAAGAAAAGGCTTCCTGAATCATGGTTGTTTTTTCCAGAGACATGGAGCGCTCTGAATTCTCAGCTCCAGGGGGAGCGCACACGTCAAAGCTCATCCCATGAATCCCAGGAGCTCCTATGGAATGGCGAGAGCAGGTGCCTGCGCGCAGCTGGACCACAGGCAGAGATGCTCAGACCCAGCAGGTCATGGAGCCCCAGCATCACCGCGCAGAGCAGGCAGGCACCTGGGAGGGACCAGAAAGCTCCATCCTCCCCACAGCCCTTCGCTCCGTATCCCTCCCCTCCCTTCCTCTTCCCTTCCTCTTCCCTCCCCTCCTCTTCCCTTCTCTCCCTTCCCTTCCCTTTCCACTCCTCCCCTCCTTAACCCTCCCCTCCTCTCTCCTCCCACCAGGGTCAGTTACAGAGATACAGACCTGCCATCTAGTGACCGAGCTGGGAAGGGCAAGGGGAATTTCAGAAAAAAAGAAAAGGGTCATTTTTTTTTTAAGGTTTTTGTTTTGTTTTTTTAATATACTTTATTGATTTTTTTTTTTTTAACAGAGAGGAAGGGAGAGGAATAGAGAGTTAGAAACATGGATGAGAGAGAAATATCCATCAACCGCCTCCTGCACACACCCCCACCTGGGGATGTGCCCGCAACCAAGATCATGCCCTTGATCAGAATCGAACCTGGGACCCTTCAGTCCACAGGCCGACGCTCTATCCACACACACATACACACACACACACACACACACACACACACACACACCCTGAGCCACACCAGCTAGGGCTGTGACAATATATTTTACCGTGGTTGACAGCGAGAGAAAAGCGGAAAACGACTCCAATGTCACGCACATGGAGACGGAGATTACACTGCCACAGCTGGAACCGTAACACAGCGAGCCCTGTTGCATGTATTTTATCGCAATCAGTAAGACAGATGACTCTTTTGTCCAAGTTTTCTTCAGTTCTATCCTATCCAACAAGATATGCCTTGGGAATAAGAATTTGGAAAAACCCTGAAAGGTCCCGGGTTCGATTCCAGTCAAGGGCATGGACCTTGGTCGCGGGCACATCCCCAGTGCGAGATGTGCAGGAGGCAGCCGATCCATGACTCTCTCTCATCATTGATGTTTCTCTCTCTCCCTCTCCATTCCTCTCTGAAATCAATAAAAAATATATTTTTTTAAAAAAAAGATATTCTTACCTGAACAGCATCTGAGCAATTTTTCAGAGTTTCCAAAGCAGCAGGCTGAGATTCTGGGTTGGAACGGAAGAAGACAATCCACATATTAAAGATCAGATTTCCCCCCTTTCTCCGATCAGAAAACAAAACTAAATACAATCTATCTTTAACCCTCAGTGCCCAAAACCCCCGGTGTATCTTCTGATTGTGCTTTTGTATGCTGAGTACACGACTGCTTTTCAGTATACACTGCGTGGCCAGTTGATGGTGCTCTCTGGACGCATAATCACCTGGCCACTCAGTGTCTATCCTATAGAATAAAAGGCTAATATGCAAATGGTCCCCTCAACCAGGAGTTCAACCGGCAGGCAGGCCGGCCAACCGTCCATGTCCCCTCCCTCTGGCCAGGCTGGCCGGACCCCACCCATGAACAAAAAAATTCATGCACAGGGCCTCTAATATAGTGTATACACACACACACACACACACACACACACACACACACACACTCACACACACACACACACACACCCTGAGTGGCCAGATTATTATGCATTCAGAGATCTTAGTACTATGGACACTCGGTGTATGAGACACATTTATAATGACCGACACTCATGCCGTTGGTTCCTTTAAAAACTGGGATAGCCAAAACCGGTGTGGCTCAGTGGATAGAGCGTCAGCCTGCGGACTGAAAGGTCCCAGGTTCGATTCCAGTCAAGGGCATGTACCTTGGTTGCGGGCACATCCCCAGTAGGGGGTGTGCAAGAGGCAGCTGATCAATGATTCTCTCTCATCGATGTTTCTAACTCTCTACTCCTCTCTCTTCCTCTCTGTAAAAAAATCAATAAAATATATATTTTTAAATGAAATAAAATAAAAACTGGGCTAGGCCTACACCCTCTTGTCCGCTCAATCATAGTGACTTTTCTCAAGTGCTGGTTTCTATTTGGGGCCAGGAAATACCCGCGAAGCCGTTCACTTTTTAGTGAATGACTGACTCACTTACTAGTGGCCGAAGTCTGCACCGCACGCCTTCAGAGCGTCCCGGGCCTACCTGGCTCGGCGTCCCGGGGCCTGGGCTCCTCTTCGGGGGCAGAGGGGGGCGACCACGCAGACGGGGCTCTCCTGGGAAACCGCCCTTCCGTGTAGTCCAGGGAGTGTGTGGGCTGGCTAACGGCGGCCCAGGTGTAAAGCTGGTCTTGCTGGATTTAAACACGAAAACGAACGCATTAAGGCCGGTAATTCAGTCGCCGAAAAAAAATGACATCCAGGCGGCGGACCCGTTACAGCATCCTTCCTAACCTAACGATGCACGTGGGATGCCTGTGTACAGGGGCGGGCATTAGTAGGGTTGCAGTGGTGACCAGGTTAGACGCCGAGTTTATTCTTGGGTTATTTATTTATTCACCTATCTGTGGTGTCTAACGGGCAGGCTCAACGGACAGAACAGAAACAGACTCGTAGATACAGAGAACAGACTGACGGCTCTCAGAAGGGAGGGGGTGGGGAGGTGGGGAGCTGAGTGAAATAGGTAAAGGGATTAAGAAAAAAAACAAAACTCATAGACAGACACCAGGGTGGTGATTGCCCGGGGGGAAAGGGGTGAGGGTGGAAGACGGGAAAGGAAGGATAAATGGGAACAGGGGCAAAGGTAATTGGGGTGGTGGACACAGGGCCGTGTGCAGATGGTGTGTTATGGAATTATACACCCGGGACGTGATTGTGTCGACCGACGTCACACCGATAGATCCAATAAAATAATTAATCATTGATCATTAATAATTAATGATTAATGAAAAATAAAAACTAGTGCAGTGAACTTGGCGTTGCTGGCATTTTAAATAGCTTGGGCCATTCTGTAAACTTGGAATGGAGCACTATTTTTTTGTGAATTTTTTGTGTTTTGTGAATTCCCTTGCCATACTTGGAAGGCACCAGCAGAGGGCAGAGTGAAACATCTCATCCTCGGATCCCTGGACATGAATGAGGAGAAATTTTTTTAAAAAAAAGGAATCCGGGTTCTATTTTTGGCTGGCATTCAGCACCTCGGCTGCTACATTTGCGTCGGTGCTGAGCAGAGAGGCGTGCGAAGAGGAAATGTCAACCTCACACGCTCGTGGGCAAAAATGTGGGAATGAAATGCACCCTGCGGCCGAAGGAATGACTGCAAGAAGAAGTGCTTAGGATCAGCAGAATAAAGAAATGGAACAACGTGTGACCTTATGCGTGTAGGCATAACACCTGTTCAATAAGTCAATAAGTCAATGGCTTAGAAATTCAGAAATACGATGTGAAAGCACCTGTAAAAATGAACCTACAGAAATGACTTTATCTATGTCCATACGTGCATCCCTAAGAGCGCCTTCGGCCATCATGCAGACCCTACAGACAAGGCTATGGAAAGAACCTGTGTAATATCTCTGTAGGGTTATTGGAAACGTTGGCTTTATTCTGTCTTAGTATTCCGAAAGGTCAGTGTCCCGCAGCCCCCTGTACTCCAAACGTACATTTCAAAAGAACATGCTTAGAAGTATCTAAAGGAAGAAGCAAAAAGGAAGATAAATCGCTGGTGATTTCTGCCTGGTCTCACAGCCAGGAACCTCTCTGGGGCTCCCCTTCCACATCGGGAAGCAGTCCGACCTTCACCTTCCCTCAGGCAGCAGCCCCCTCACCTGGCTCCACTCTCCACCACGTCATCACCAAAACCCACTTCCCCTGCCAAACAACACACCTCGGCACCCTCCCTCCTCCTCCTCTTCCTCCTCCTCCTCCTCCTCTTCCTCCTTCTCCTCCTCCTCCTCCAGACTTGCAAGCCCTGCCTCCCCTCCTCTCGTCACCGTGTCTTCTAAGCCCACACTCTCCTCCCCTCCCACCCCAACATCCTCAACTCTAACCCTCACTAGCCATCACGATGCGCCCAGCTGGCCAGCTGGCCTGGCTCCGGAGTTGAGCATCAGCCTAGGAACCAGGAGGTCACGGTTCGATTCCCGGTCAAGGGCATATGCCCAGGTGGCGGGCTCCATCCCCAGTGCAGGGTGTGCAAGAGGCAGCCAATCCATGATTCTCAACATTGATGATTTTCTCTCTCTCTCTCTCTCTCTCCTGCCCCTTCCTTTCTAAAATCAATAAAAAATATGTTTTAAAAAATAAAAGATGTAACCACCTGGGCAGAAATGCCAACCTAAGGTCAGTGCCAAGTTCTGCCTTCGCCATCCCTAGTGCTGGGACAGAGCGATGACCTTCCACATCGCCGGTCTCCTCAGCATCCCTCTGTCATTCCATCCTGCTCTCAGTCCCGTTCTTGTGGGGCCCAGATGAAGCGTCGCCCACTTTTTAAACACCCGGCCCCGCGTACCCCTAACTCACCCCGTGCAGCAGGTGACACCCCCTGATTCACCTAGGGGGGTGCCGCCAGCAGCCCTGCCTCGCCTTCCCAGCTTGCACCTGAAGGAGCCCACCCCCATCTCTCTGGAATCCTCCCTCCCCCATAGGGCTCACCCAGGTGTCCCCATTCCTGTCCCAGGCCAACCCCCCTCTCCTCCTCCTGGGCCAGCACCCCATCCCTTCCCGTCCCCACAGGACAGTCTGGGTTCGCCTTTCTCGCCCCTACTTTCAGCATCTCCTTCTCCACCGAGTCCCTCCCATCCGCACCCCCACGTGTTTTAGCCAAAGGGAGACAGAGGCAAGGACAACAGAGCAGAAACGAGCTTTCACCCCACCCTCTGTTCATTGCTTCGGACGCAAAAGCTCTGGGGCCAATCACCCCTGTGCTGACGTCATGTGACGAGAAGATGAGTTAATATTTGGAAATAGGACGGAACCCTACAGCCCCTCCCCCACACCCCTCCATTCACAATGACCTTGGGTCAATCCAATGACTGTTGGGTCTTTTTTTTTTTTTTAATATATTTTATTGATTTTTTTACAGAGAGGAAGAGAGAGGGATAGAGAGTTAGAAACATCGATGAGAGAGAAACATCGATCAGCTGCCTCCTGCACACCCCCAACTGGGGATGTGCCCACAACCAAGGCACACGCCCTTGACCGGAATCGAACCCGGGACTCCTCAGTCCGCAGGCCGACACTCTGTCCACTGAGCCACACCAGTCTCGTGACCTCATCTTACGTGACCTCTTGACAACCCTTGACATGTCACTCGTTTCACCTTCTCTTCTGTTCTACCTCTGTAACCACTCTTGGTTTGTCTCCTTGAAGCCACACATACACACACACACACACACACACACACACACACACACACCGATCACTTTCCCCTACATGTCCCTCTGCATGGTGGGTGCTTCTTGCTCCTCACTCTACAGGCACCCAATGGCCTCAGGGGTTATCCACACGCTGAGGCCCTCCATCTCCACCCCCACACACACAACCCTTGGATGCAGATGACTAGTCCCTTCCCACGTCTTTCAGAGATGCTCAGATCCAGGAAGACCTACATCGAACCGTCCCCTCCACCTGCCCCTCCTGCCTTATGTACATGAGTAGCCTCCCCTCTACCCCATCCCGCCGGCCGGAAGCCGGGGCCTGTCCCGGCGTCTGCCTCGCCCTCTCCCTCACCTGCATAGCATCCATCAACTCCCACATCTCCCAGAGCAGTGCTCCTCAGAGTGAGGTCCTGGTCCAGCAGCATCACCTTCACCTGAGACCCGAACCGGAAACTCGGGGGCGGAGTCCGGGGATGGGGGCGTTCCCAAGTCCTCCAGGTGGGCCCCATGTTGACTGGGGTTTGCCAATCACTCACCCAGGTATTGGTAAAATCCCACTTTTTCACCTTCCACGTCCACTCCCCTTCCTGCGTCATTGAACTTTTCTTTAGCATCTTCCAGCCTCCAAGCCATCCCCACAGATGCTCCACGCATCCCCAAATGCTCTCTCTGAGTCATGGATCTGATCACACTGTACTCCCCCACTTAAATCCTCCAGGGGAAGCCCAGCTGGTGTGGCTCATGGGTTGAGCATAGATCTAGGAGCCAGAAGATCACGGTTCGGTTCCCAGTCAGGGCAAATGCCCAAGTTGTGGGCTCCATCTCCAGTGTGGGGCATGCAGGAGGCAGCTGATCCATGATCCTCTCTCGTCGTTGATGTTTCTCTCTGTCTCCTTCTCCCTTCCTCTCTGAAATCAATAAAAATATATTTTTAAAAAAAAAGGAGGCAGAACTGGTTTGGCTGAATGGATAGAGTGTCAGCCTGCGGAATGAGAGGTCCCAGGTTCGATTCCAGTCAAGGGTACGTACCTTGGTTGCGGGCCCATCACCAGTAAGAGGTGTGCAGGAGGCAGCTGATCGAGGTTTCTCTCTCATCGATGTTTCTAACTCTCTATCCCTCTCAATTCCTCTCCGTTAAAAATCAATAAAATATATATAAATTTTTTAAAAAATAAATAAAATTTTTAAAGAGAATAAATCATTCAGGTTTTCAAAGTGCTGTAAAAATTGGGAGAAAGATATAACCCCCTGAGATCCTGGTTGGGTGATGTTTTCTTGGTCCAAAGTACCTTCCCTTTGCCAGGGATTCACAATCCTACACTTCTGCTGGCTCTTGGGAAGAGACCAGGAAAGCCGCAGGACATTCGAGTCACATCAACAGAACTGGTTAATATGCAGGGCATATCCAGGAGACGGGTAAGAAAAATCGTGGCGAGGAAAGTTGGGCTGAGGCACCCATTTTCATAAAAGCCCATCGTAGGGATTGAAAGTGAATTCTGAGTCACCCCAACACTCAGTGCCCAGTGGGTGATGCCAACTACCCGTTCTGAAAGCCAAAATACATCCCGAGAAGGATATGATGCCATGGCCCTAAAGAGTGTGACTGCCTTAAAAAAATGTGTCTGAAAAACCAATTTTTCTAGACGTCAATCTACTTGATGGCTGGGAACAATTCTAAAATCCACAAAAGCGCAAGTAGCTTCTAAGCTCAGAACACTTCGTGGTGGGAGAATAACAGTCAGAACCCCACTACTGCCCTGACCGGTGTGGCTCAGTGGACAGAGCATCAGCCTGCAGACTGAAGGGTCCCGGGTTCGATTCCGGTCAAGGGCATGTGCCTTGGTTGCGGGCACATCCCCAGTAGGAGGTGTGCAAGAGGCAGCTGATCGATGTTTCTCTCTCATTGATGTTTCTAACTCTCTATCCCTCTCCCTTCCTCTCTGTAAAAAATCAATAAAATATGTATTTTTTTTAAAAAAGAATCCCACTACTTTCACAACAACACTCTTAAATTCAGAACAATGGGTAGGAAATCGCCTGCTTTGTCTTCTAAAATAAGATATGCAAAAAAGCAGCACCTTTGAGAAATTTACTAGGTCCTGTGTCCAATTGGAAAAGAAAATAATCTCCATGCTCACACCCCTGTGTGTGAAAACTTGGCTACCGATTCCTTCGTGACCCAATCACACAGCCACTCCCTGAGTGGAAACCTGGGACAGATTACTACATATTGTAGAAATAAAGATGTGATGGAGCCCAAAGAAATAAGAGTATTTAAAATATCCTATAGAATAAAGAGCTAATATGCTAATTAGACCGAACAGCGGTGATTTCAAAGAGGAAGGGAGAGGGAGAGAGAGACAGAAACATCAATGATGCGAGAGAACCATGGATCAGCTGCCTCCTGCACATCCCCCACTGGGGATCGACTCAGCAGCCCCAGCATGTGCCCAGGGGTCGGCAAACCGTGGCTCTCGAGCCACATGCGGCTCTTTGGCCCCTTGAGTGTGGCTCTTCCCCAAAACACCACGGCCTGGGTGAGTCTGTGTGGAAGAAGTGGCGTTCGAAGACGTTTACGTTTAAAAAATGTGGCTCTCCAAAGACATGTCCATCGTGGTGCTGTTGCTATTTGGCTCTGTGGACGGATGAGTTTGCCGACCACAGCCCTCGTGAGAAAGGAACGGATGGAGAGAGAGACACCAAGGAGCTGGTGAGAGGCTGGGGAAGGAAGGCGGGTACCACACGGAGGTCATCCTTACAGGGTGATGGGCAGACCCACATCACAGCTGCTTCCTGGACAGCAATCTGCCTCCTGGACAGGAGGGAGGAAAAAAGGGAGGAAGGAAGGGAGGGAAGGGAAGGAGGGAGGGACGTCTACTTACATCAAACGGAGCTGAGCTGGACGGGGCGCTCTGGTGGCACGGCTCCCGGAAACAGTCGCTGAAGGGCAGGAGGAGGCCCATGGCGATGATGCGGGAGCAGAACTTCTCTGCCTCCTCAGGGGGCCCGTTGTCCTGCTGGCTGAACAGCTTCTCCAGCAGCGTCCGCCCTGCAAGGACACGGGCGGGCGGTGAGAGGGAGCACGGGCGGGTCCCCTGCCTCGGCGCCCTCCCAGGGGACCGGGGACCATAAACACAGCCAGGGAGCAGCACGGTTGCCAAGGCTACGGAGGTGGCAGAGAGCAGCAGCCTCCCAGACGCGCAGAGCACAGTCTGAGGCCTGGGTTACCACACGGGAAAGAGCAGCTCTGGTTTTCCCTCCCACCCCCACCCCCCAAACGCCTCCTGCCCCCACCCCAAAGAGGATGGGCCATATGGTGGGCCTGCATTTTCTCCATCTCAGGAAGGCCAGCCTTTTTTTTTTTTTTTTTTTTTTTAGGGTAAACTATTATTATGAACTAGTGGCCCAGTGCACGAAATTTGTGCAGTGGGGAGCGGGTGTCCCTCAGCCCAGCCTGCACCCTCTCTAATCTTGGACCCTTCAGGGGATGTCGGACAGCCCTCTCACAATCTGAGACCGCTGGCTCCTAACAGCTCGCCTGCCTGCCTGCCTGATTGCCCCTAACTGTTTCTGCCTGCCAGCCTGATCAACCCCTAACTGCTCCCCTCCCGGCCTGATTGATGCCTAACTGCTCCCCTGCCGGCCTGATCACCCCCCAACTGCCCTCCTCTGCTGGCCTGATCACTACCAAGGCTTTTATGAGTATTGATTATAGCTCAAGCTATTTTTTTTAATTTATTTCAGAGAGAAAGGGAGAGAGAGAGAGAGAAACATCCATGATATGAGAGAACCATGGATCGGCTGCCTCCTGCAGGCCCCATACTGGGGATCGAGCCCACAACCCGAGCATGTGGGCTTGGTCCCCAGTGGAGGGGGCGTGCAGGAGGCATCTGACCAATGATTCTCTCTCATCATGGATGTTTCTATCTCTCTCTCTCTCTCTCTGCTTTCCTCTCTGAAATCAATAAAAATATTTTTTAAAGGCATCCTTAGCTTAGGGCTACGCAAAACCAGGCCCAGGTCTATATTTTAGTTAGAACAACTAAATTTCAGTTATACACCGAGTGGCCAAATGATGATGATCTCTGAACGCATCATCATCTGGCCACTCGGTGTATCTGTATCTCCAATGGGCACCAAAAGGATTCTAGACTTTTGCTGGAGATCAACCACCTATTGCCCTGAGCTTTCTATCAGCCAGGGCAAAGGGGAACACTGATCAGGTGCACGATTGATAGTATCTTTGACGTCAAATAAATGAGGTGCTCAAGAGAAGTACACGGAGTGGCCAGGTGATTATGCGTTCAGAGATCATCATCATCTGGCCACTCAGGGTATAATAAATAGTCAGTTCTGTCAAGACACTGGTAATGCAATTTTCGTGCCTCTTCCTATTTTTGTTTGTGAGGGGGGGAAAAACTAATTTAAAATCTCTCTTGGATCTGTGGCATGACCAAGGAGAGCAAGAGGCTGCTGTTTTCTCCATTCCTGTAAGTCACTAAAGAGCATTCTTCGGTCTCCCGAGGCGTTGTTTGAGGGGACATAAAGGATCTTTTTTCCCCACAGAACTTAAGCTTGCCTAGACCTACTGGGACCAAGCACCTAGGAAACCTTAATTCTCAAGTGATCGGTTATCATTACAGCAGACCCGTTTTCCACATCCCGAGAGCCAATTAGTGCTTTTCTATGACTCAGGCATTGTGCGTAACCGAAAATAAGGCCGACAGGCTCTTTCCATGTATGTGCGTGCGTGCGTGCGTGCGTGCGTGCGTGAGAGAGAGAGAGAGAGAGAGAGAGAGAGAGAGAGCACATGAGTAAATATGTTTCAAGCCAGCCAAAACCGGTGTGGCTCAGTAGATAGAGCGTCGGCCTGCGGACTAAAGGGTCCCAGGTTCGATTCCCGCCAAGGGCATGGTACCCTGGTTTCGGGCACATCCCCAGTAGGGGGTGTGCAGGAGGCAGTTTTTCTCTCATCGATGTTTCTAACTCTCTATCCCTCTCTCTTCCTCTCTGTAAAAAATCAATAAAACATATTTTTTTTAAAAATATGTTTCAAGCCAGAATTTTTCTAAAGGGATTATGGAGCAACTAGAGGGCCGATGCTTTGGCCCTCACAGCCCCGGCTCCGTTCAGAAGGCCGTCTGGAAAGACATCAGGTCTAATTAGCAGATTCTGCTTTTATTATTATAGATGTAGAAAAACGGTATCAGCTTAAGGGGGCCAAAACAATCCTGTAGCTACCACAATCCCGGTCTTGGTTTTTCCTACCTTCACATAATCTTTACATTCCCTCAAATCTAAATACAAAAAAAAAAAAGAAGCAGCAGCTGTGAAGTGCTATTCTAAGAAGTGTTTTCTCAGTCTGTTGAGATCTTGCTACCAGGCATAACATGTTTGGCTCAAATAAAACTTTTATAAAATTCTCTACAGGTTTGGAAATTCTTATAGCCACATAGCCATGGCCATAGACAACTCAGTCAACCTCTCTTGGGCACCAATCCTCTCCCCCATACACACACACACACACACACACACACACACACACACCCTCGTTAATGAAGACTATTACCTTTGTCCTGTAGAGTCAGCCTTGCCTTCATACACTATCTAAAATACTCCTTTGCATTGTTAGCAAAAGCCACAGGATCGATACACCCGGAAACAACGGCCAGGAGAGCATGGTAAGGGGACTGTTACCATCACAACAAACGCATCGACCCTCTGCACAAGGAGGCAGTACACTCATCAGTCTCTGCACTGGGGTTCTGTTGGGCAGGTGAGCAGCCATATTCTGAGAACTAGGAAATCTTTTATTTGGACAGAACTCTAAAAGGAAAGCTAAGACATTAAACCTTTTATTTGGACAAAACCATAAAAGGAAAGCATGGCTCAATGGTTGAGCATTGATCTATGAACCAGGAGGTCACAGTTCGATTCCCGGTCAAGGGCACATGCCCCGGTTGCCAGCTCAATCCCCACTGTGGGGCGTGCAGGAGGCAGCCGACCCATGATTCTCTCTCATCATGGATGTTTCTATCTCTCTCTCCCTCTCCCTTCTTCTCTGACATCCATAAAAATACATTAAAAAAAAAAAAAGGAGGAAAAAAAGGAAAGCCGTTTCCACATCCACTCTAAGCTTTGTGAAGCCCAGCAAGGATTTGCCATCACCATGCCAGAGGCTACCCGAGGACTGAGAGGGGCCTGGGACCTGCCAACCCGGACACACACCCCGCTCCCCTCATTGTCATTCCGGGGGCCTCCGCTCCTGAGTGGCCAGTCCGTCTGGGAGCCGCCGCTGACCAGCATTCCGTGTGAAGTTATAAAAGACACAGACCACGTGGCCCGCGCTCTGGGGCAGCGAGCCATCCAACAACAACGACCAAGGCTGGGGAAGGAACACTCTTAAAATGCAGCCTGGTTAGAACCTTCTATCTTCATGAAACATCCTTAGTGGGATTGGGGGAGGGGAGAGGAAGAAGCAGCCAAGACAAGACGTAGCAAAGCCCTTAGGTGCCTACCGTTGGCCAGAGAATGTCCTAGGTCCACCAGAGGACACAATCATGGAGAAAACAGGCTCCCTGACTTTCATAAGGAATAGCATAGTCATGAGGGCAATGAGGATGGGACGCTCTTGGACAAGAGGTGTGGAGTACTGGCTGCTCCCAGTGAGAGCACAGTAGGTCCAGTGCCTATGGGAAGGACTGGCCCGCAGCAGGCATGGAAGAGATATTTGTGGATTTGACGATAGAAAATATTTGTGGATTTGATACCCTGACCAGGTGGCTCAGTTGATGACAGCAGCAGCATCCTGTGCACCAAAGGATTTGGGGTTCGATTCCCGGTCAGGGCACATGTCCTCACCCATCTGTATGTGCTCAGCACCTTTTTTAATAAAATCACAAGGAAACACAGCTCCCGCAGCTCTGTTCAATGTCAGATACGCGTGGCTTAGATCCAAACGCACACACGCACTTCAAACTAGGCCAGTCCTCGGCTCACAGAGCAGTAAATAAAGCCCATCAGTGAAGCTGCTGAGGTGCTTGACACCAATCCAAACCACAGTCTTAAAAGAAAAAGAAAAAAAGTGAGAAGGGAGGTTTCAGACCAAACTGAAATGGTTTCAGGACAGCCCTGGCTTCTGTTATTAAATTCTATGCGGATATACGGAAGCCTGGAAGCAAGATCTAGGGCAAATGACAGCATTCCTTTTATATTTCTTTGTAGAGGCCCGGTGCACAAAATCCATGCACTCAAGGAGGGGGGAGTCCCTCAGCCCTGCCTGTGCCCTCTCACAGTCCGGGAGCCCTCAGGGGATGTCCAACTGCCAGCTTAGGCCCGCTCCCCACAAACATCCTTAGCGCGGCCTCGGAGCAGTGCTCCCCCATGGGAGCACATTGACCACCAGGGGGCAGCTCCTACATTGAGCCTCTTCCACCTGGTGGTCCGTGCATGTCATAGGTCGTTCCTCCGTTCGACTGATTTGCATATTAGCCTTTTATTATATAGGATAGTTAAGACAGTTGCATTTACTGCTAGAAATAAGACCTCTTGTGGCCTTATGTGCTGGTTTTATTTATACACATTAGCAATGGATTTGGTTTCCAAAGTCCATTTCTTCATGCGGGCCATTGACTAGCTTCAAGCCCCAAAGCAAGCTGCCTCACTTGCCTGGGCCTCCCTTTGCTCCTCAGAAGATAATGAGAATCAACAGCTTGTGGGCCCAAAGGGGCCACAGGGTAGCCTGACCAGCCCAGGGAGAGCCATCATGGTGGCCTTGAAAACCCAGAGACCAGAAAAAACCCTAAAGGATCGTCTGACATAATAAACCTTTTAGCCTGGCCGGCATGGCTCCATGGTTGAGCATGGACCTAGAAACCAGGAGGTCAGGGTTCGATTCCCGGTCAGGGCACAGGCCCGGGTTGCGGGCTCAATCCCCATTGTGGGGCGTGCCGGAGGCAGCCGATCCATGATTCTCTCTCATCATGGATGTTTCTCTCTCACCCTCCCTCTCCCTTCCTCTCTAAAATTAATAAAAATATATATTGTAAAAGTGATTCAGCATTACAAATTTAACATCTTCCAAGTCTGAACTTTAATTGACTGCAAAATTCTATTATCAGCCCTAACCGGTTTGGCTCAGTGGATAGAGCGTCAGCCTAGGGACTAAAGGGTCCCAGGTTCGATTCCGGTCAAGGCCATGTACCTCGGTTGCGGGCACATCCCCAATAGGGGGCGTGCAGGAAGCAGCTGATCAATGTTTCCTACTCTCTATCCTTCTCCCTTCCTCTCTGTAAAAAATCAATAAAGTATGTATTTTTTTTTTAAATCCTATTACCAGCTTTCTATTAGACTTAATGTGCAAAGGAACCTCTCAGAGCTCAACAGCACTTCTCCTCCTGAGCACTGGAATATTTCACTGCAAAGGCCGAAGACACCCTCCGTTCCTCAGGGATGTCGGTCTCCACCCTGGCTAAATGCTTTCACATCTCCCGAGCAAACACCAATGTACCACAGCGATCTCTGTCCCTGGGATTTTCTCCCCACATTTGCAAGTCAGTGAAAAGCAAAACAAGAAAACCACCACATCTGTTCTTTCCTGCAGAGCTGGCAATTCCCAATCTCCGGTTTAAAAATAACACGTGTTTATGGAAACTTATAGATAGAAGGATCACCTGCTTCCCAGGCAGCCGGCAATTAATTTGGTTGAAAGACAGACAAAATCACAAAATCAAGGCCAACCAACCATTTCCCCGGGGGACACGTCTGGTGCTCCCCCAGGCCTCTGGGAACTTCCAAGACACCCCTAAATCCTGAAGGATGGTGACGAGCCAGCTGACAAGGAAATGGATGTCGGGGGCCTGGGTCCACCCGGGTTCACGCCGCGCAACCAGAGCCGTGTCCATGAGAACCTGGAGGAATTATGCCTCCCTCTGACCAACCATCACATTTATCCAGCCCGAGAAAGGCCAGCAAGTTCAAAAATCCACCTAATTAAAGACAGAAACTAGCCCTAACCGGTGTGGCTCAGTGGGTAGAGCGTCGGCCTGTGGACTGTAGGGTCCCAGGTTCGATTCGGCTCAAGGGCATGTACCTTGGTTGCAGGCACATCCCCAGGTGGGGGTGTGTAGGAAGCAGCTGATCGATGTTTCTCTCTCATCGATGTTTCTAACTCTCTATCCTTCTCCCTTCCTCTCTGAAAAAAAAAAGAAAAAAAAAAGCAATAAAATATATATTTTTTGAAAAACAGAAACTAAAAAAAAACTTCAACGTGCCGGCCTTCCGCTCCCCCGTATTTTTTTAATGTCTGATTCTCTCTGCTGTCTTACCGGAGCCTGAGCTAGACGCGGGGGCACTCAGACATGAATCAGTCGAGGCCGCTTCTATTTCTGGCTCTGCTCGCGAGTGAATCACACCGTGACCTTGAGGAAGTGACCTCCCCACTTTCCCCCAGGACCCACCAGTGACAGCATGAGGATAAACCTACCATTTTTTCCTTATTTTTTTTGTTATTTCTTTGTTAGGAGAGACAATAAATGACTAAATACATGGGAGCTGCTCTACAAGAATATACTGGTCACTGACCAAGTATCTCCTCCATCCATCACATACAAAGGAGTGGACGTTCATATTAAAATAACTGACTCTGGCCCGACCAGCAGGGCTCAGGGGTGGAGCGTCCACCTAGGAACCAGGAGGTCAGGGTTCGATTCCCAGTCAGGGCACATGCCAGGGCTGTGGGTTCCATCCCCAGTGGGGGTTGTGCAGGAGGCAGCCGATCCATGATTCTCTCTCATGATTGATGTTTCTATCCTTCCCTTTCTCTCCCTCTCTGAAATCAATGAAAATATATTTTAAAAAGATAACTATCCTATCAAAAAACGGACGAAGGACCTAAATAGACACTTTTCGAAAGAGGACATACGGAAGACCAAAAGACATATGAAAACATGCTCAAAGTCACTGATCATCTGAGAGATGCAAATCAAAACATCAATGCGGTACCATCTCACACCTGTCAGAATGGCTATCATCAATAAATCAACAAACGACAGGTGCTGGCGAGGATGCAGAGAAAAAGGAACCCTCATGCAATGCATACTGGTAAATCACTGTAGAAAACAGTACGGAGTTTCCTTAAAAAAATTAAAAATGGAACTCCCATTTGACCCAGTGATCCCACTTCTAGGACTATATCCCAAGAACTCAGAAACACCAACCAAAAAAAGATATATGCACCCCAATGTTCATAGCAGCACAATTCACCATAGCTGAGATTTGGAAATAGCCTAAGTGCCCATCAGCAGATGAGTGGATTAGAAAACAATGGAATACTATGCTGCTATAAAAAAAGAAGGAACTCCTAACATTTGCAACAGCAGGGATGGACCTGGAGAGCATCATGCTAAGCAATAAGAGAAAGATACATATCACATGATCTCACTCATTTGTGGAATCTAATGAACTACATACACTGATGAATGAAAATAAAGCCAGAATCATTGAGTAAATCCTCCAACCTCAGAGGGAAGGTATAGGAGGGGAAGGGAGAGGATAAGAGACCAACTAAAGGACTTGAACGCATGCATGTAAGCATAACCAATGGACACAGACAGTAGAGGGGAAATACATGATCTCTCATCAACATTAAATTCACAAAAATCAACTCAAGGACTTTACAATATTCTTCCTTCAAAATAGTCTTGGGGGAGGGCAGGGAAGATGTTTGTTAATTTATAATTGATCTAATGGGGATTAGACTATAAACATTCATTTTAACTTAACCTATACAATAAAGGGAAGGGAATAAAAGAAGTGGGAGGGGGATGAAGGGGGAGAGAGACTGCTCTTAAGTATAGGAATCCATAATCTGTATATATAAAAGCCTAATATGTGAAGTGTCCCCTCAGGAATTCGACCTACTGGGAGTTCAATCCCTCACTATGATGCACGCTGACCACCAGGGGGCGGCGCGGAACAAAGGTAAACTCCAGTGGGCAACTGGCAGGCAAGGAAGGAAGTGACCACCTAGCTTCACTTAAGTCGCCTCCCCAGCTTGCCCCAAGGTAGAAGGTGCTGCCCTAGCCTGTTTGGCTCAGTGGAAGCAGCCAATCAATAATTCTTTCATCATTGATCTCTCTCTCTCTCTGTCTCTCTCTCTCTCTCCCCCCACCCTTCCTCTCTGAAATCAATATACACACACACAGAGTAGCGATCTCTGAATGCATAATCATCTGGCTACTCAGCGTATTTCTCCTGAGCACCTCATTTATTTGATACCAGATACTATCAATCGTGCACCTGATCAGTTTTCCCCTTTGCATTGGCTGATAGAAAGCTCCGGGCAAATAGGTGGTTGATCCCCAGCAAAAGTCTAGAATACTTTCAGTACCTATTTGAGATACCAAAGAGATCAGAGACCATCATCATCTGGCCACTCAGTGCGTGCGTGTGTGTGTGTGTGTGTGTGTGTGTGTGTGTGTGTGTGAGTGTGTGTGAATATATGTATATTTTAAAGAAGCTACTATTGCATACAGACACACATCTATGTGTGAGTCTCAGAGAGCACCCCTTTGGCTAGCTCCCTCCAGAGATAACGGTTTGGTCCTCCACGCTGACACTTCACAGAGGACCAAAAGCAGTTAGCTCTGTTCTAGCCGTTGCTGTGGCTGGGGGTGAGGCAGGAGAGAGGATGGCTCAGCTGACGATGAAAAAAGAAGTGGGCGAGAGGAGGAGAGTTTACCTGCCTGGCTAACCCTGGACGCAGAAAACAGCAGATATTTTGGGGAGGAAACGAACAGAGCAGTCCTTTCTTGAGCTGACTCAGGACCTGCGCTTCGGAGCTGTTGTTCCCTTTAAAATAAGGTGACCAGATCGTGCGGGTGTTGGCGGGACAGTCCTGATTTCTAACCATTTTTTCCCGCGTCCCGCAGCGTTTTAAAAAAAAAGTCCCGATTGTTGGAAAGACTGGAAACATTGGAAAGATTCTTTCCAAAAATCAGGACTTTTTTAAAACGCCACGGGGGACGCGGGAAAAACTGTTGAAACCAGGACTGTCCCGCCAACACCTGGGCGATCTGGTCACCTTACTTTAAAAGCAAAGAGGGGTCCCCCTGAGCGGCTGAGAGGAGTTCCCCTGAGCGGCTGAGAGGGGTCCCCCGGAGCGGCTGAGAGGAGTCCCCCTGAACAGCTGCGTTGGGCGCCAAGGGGATGCGCCCCCAGGTCCCGGCGCTGGAGAGCCAGCCAGGGTGGACGTCGGGGGCCTGGTGGGCAGGCAGGGGCCCTGCCTGAGGGCGCCCCGGGGCCAGCTCACCCGTGAACACGTCCTGGAAGCCGTCGGCGGCCGCCTGCGCCCCGGACACCCCGTTCCCCGGGGCCGCCCGCGGGGGAGGCGCCTCTCCATCCGCCGCCTCCGCGCGCTCCGGCCGGTGCGCGGGGCCGTCCGGCTCCTCCGTCCAGTCTCCGTGCGTCCTGGCCGGGGCGGCCCGGGCCCCGCGGTGGCTCCCGGGGGCCTCCCGTCGCCTCTGGATGCGGGGGCTCTGGGCGGGGGACCCGGACGGCGAGGGGCCGGGCGAGCTGAGCTGCCGCGTGGTGGTGCGGACGTAGGGGGACGGCGCGACGGGCGGGAAGGGCTTGCGGGGCGCGGGGCTGCCGGGCGGGGAGCTGCGGGGTGGGGGGCCGGGTCCTGGGACCCCCTCCTCCGCCTCCTCCTCCTCCTCCGCCTCCTCCTCCTTCTCCGCTTGCTCCTCCCGGAGCTGCGCGCCTCCCGGGCCCCGCGGGGCCTCTCCGGCCGCCGCCGGGCCCCCCTCCTCGCCCGGGGAGCCCCGGGAAGCGTCCTCAAAAGCATCCTCCTCCTCCTCCTCCACCTCCTCCTCCACCACCTCGGCGTCCTCATCCGTGTCCCCCGCGGCCTCGGGGACCGGGAAGGCGGTGGGGGGCACCGGAGAGGCCGAGGCCGGAGCCCCCAGCGGAGGCTGGGGGGGTTCCGGGGACCCCAGGGGCGCGGGGGGCAGGTCCAGGGGCGCCTCCGGGCCGCCGGAGCCCCCGCCAGCGCCCCCGCCCGGGCCCCGCAGGAAGCGGTCCAGGCCCAGGAAGGCGCCGGGCTCCTCCGGGGAGATGGAGGCGGCGGCGGCGGGAGGGAGGCCCTCGGAGCCCGGCGCGCCCGGGAGCTGGAGCTGCGGCTGCTGCAGGCGGAGGGCCTGCTGGATGTCGGAGAGCAGGTCCTCCTGATCCGCCGCGGCCGAGTGGAAGCTGTAGAGGTCCGTGTCCGAGCCCGAGCTGGTCCTTTGTCCGTCCTGCGCCCCGGCGGCCGCCGCCGCGGCCCCATCCTCCGCGGCCGCCGCGGCCCCATCGTCCCGGCGCCCGGCTCCGGCGGCCCCGGCCCGGGTCAGCTCGAACGGGTCCGCGCCCTCGGCGTCCGACAGCCCCGTGTCCTCCGCCGAGAGGCTGCGCTCGGGCGTCGGCGCGGCGCGGCCCGGGGCGCTGTCCAGCCCGGCGCCCGGCGGCGGGGCCTGCGCGCCCGCCTCGTCCTCGCGGGGGCCGCCCGCGCCCTTGGCCTTGGCCGCGGTCCTGCGGATCCGGAGGTTGGAGAACACGGAGCCCCGCGAGTCCGCCTTGCCCTTCCTCCTGCCGGGCTCGCCGCCGCCCCGGTGCCGGTTCGAGGCCTTCTTGCTCCCGCCGCCGCCGCTGCCCCCCTTCCGGGCGGCGTCCGCGCCCCGGGGCCCCGCCGCCGCCGCCGGCTCCGCGCCGCCATCCTCGTCCCCCGCGCCGCGCCGCAGCTTCGCGTCCTGGTTCCCCATGGCGCGCCCCGGGCGCTCAGGCCATCGCGGCCGCCCGGGCGCCGGCCCGGCGGGGGGATCGGGGGTCCGGGGAGGCGGGGGAGGCGGAGGGGGGAACCGGGGAGGCGGGACGGGAGGCGCCCGGGCCGCAGGGAGCGCCGATCCGGGAGGAGAGGCCGCCGCCGCCCCCCGCCGCCCGCCGCTCCGCACAATGCGCGGCGCCCGCAGCCCCGGAGCCGCGAGCGCGGACGTGCCCCGTGCGGCGCCGGCCAGCCAATCGCGGGTGCGCCCGGCCCGGTCCCCGCCCCTCCGGCCCCCCTCCAGCCGGTGCCTCCATCCCCCGCCGGTGCCTCCATCCCCCGCCGGTGTCTCCATCCCCCGCCGGCGCCTCCATCCCCGTCCCCGGGCGGCCGCGGGCATCTCCATCCCCACCCGGAGGAGCTGGGCGGCGGGCAGAGGCGCACAGAGCTCCGGGATCTCGGACCCCGGGACCCGCCTTGGGGAGAAGTGGGGGGGAGTGGGGGGTTGCACCCGGAGAAGCTGACAGTGAGGTTCAGGGTGGAGGTGCTAAGGCGCATCCCTTGGACCCGTCCCCACCGCCTGCCCCGGGGAGAGGGCTCTTGCATCCGTGCAGTGTTTGTGGCAGGAATGGATGGCTCTCTTCTGGTAAGATTTGTGTGGTTGGGAGAGAGAGAGAGAATAAGAGAGAGAGAGAGAGAATGAGAGAGAGAGAGGCCGATGGGACAGCATCATCACCGATGGGCTGCCTCCTGCACGTCTGGCGCTGGGGATGGAGCGTGCAACCTGGACCTGTGCCCTGACCGGGAATCGAACCTGCGACCTCTTACTTCCTGGGTTGCTCTGTTGTGTCATGATTGAGCTTCTTCAAGACTTGATGGTGAGGAGGGGGTCATGGGCATATTCCTGCAGGCCTTGCATCTCCATGGGAGGACAGTTAGCCATCATTTCAAACGTTCATTTTAACTTTCTTTTCCTTTTTTTTTTTTTTTTTGTCTTATTTTGGATATGATGGCAAGCTGAGGGGAAGCAGAACATACCCAGCGATGCGGTCTGATGAATATGCTAAGCTCCAAACGCGGTGTGCTTACCATTTCAATAAGACAGGATCTGTGTCTTAAAGGGTCGCAGACTCTGAGTCCCGGGAGGCCAGACTCATCCATATTAAATGCGCCCCTATTGTTGGCGCCTGTGAAAAGGGGGAAGAAAGGGAGAGGCTTGGCAGGGACATGTGACATCAGATGTGGGGTGGTAAGTCCCCCCTTTCCCAGGCAGCCCCCCGAGACACACGCCATCCCTGCTCTCCTGTTTAAAGTTTGCAGCCGTTCGCCGTGACCGAGTTTGTGAGCATCCTGGCTTCCATATTCACGTCCAGTTTTCCCTCGTTGCAAATCGTGCTCGTGTTTTAATGGCTTGGGATTGTCTGTTATCTGTGTGTAAAAGGCATTTGTAAGCATCCATCGCTGGTATTTTTAAACCCAGTAAATGAACATGGCATCAAAGTCACGTTATCCAGTCATGGTCCAAGCGTGGACATCAGAATGGTCCGCTTTTGAAATGACAGGACGGCCACCCAATAAGGGAGTTTTTGTTTTTGTTGTTAAGTGAGCCCAGTGGAGCCATTGAAATGTAGCAAAGCCGATGTTTCTTTTTCAGATGGTGCACTAACCTTTTAAATCTCCCCTTCCCCCTTCACCATTTGGTCCTGTCAGTCTTTGATGTTGGAGCAGAAGTAGCAATAGTTAACGACTAGCCTTGAGCCTTTCTCTCACTGTTTCCTTCCAAATAGGCAGCTGAGGGTAGGTGGCCCTCGGGCCTCCGGTGGCTCATGGGGAAAGCTTTTATAGAGAACTCCACTTTTACGACATTGCTGGGGGACGCCCAGCCTCTGAGACGCCTTTGTGTGCCCCGTCTTTTCAAGCCTGCCCTCCCTCCTCCTCTCCAATCCTCTCCAATCCGGGCTGCTCGCTCAGCACAATCCCTGTGCGGCTGGCTGCAGCACCGCCCGCGGCTCTGAGTTAGGGACGCTAGGAATCCCGACAGGACGCCCTAACAGGACGTCTGTGAGGGCGAGCTGTTTGTCTCCTTGTATTTTTCTCCTGGGAGATCGTCTGCAAGTTCCAGAGACAAAAGCAGAGAAGGAGAAAGGCAGGCAAGAAGGGAGGGAGAGGAGGAGGGAGAGAGGGCAAGGGGGCAGCAGAGAGAGAAGCTTGCTGATTTTTTTTCACGCCCCTTTGAAGGCGAGACAATAGGTGACCGTTTGGCACCCGCATCCCAGGTCAGAGTTCACACAGCTCCGTGGCAGTCAGCAGAGACACCGCCAATGGCCTGCAGACGCGTCCTCCTGACCGGTGTGAGCTTGTCCGTGCGTCTTGCAGACGATGCTCTTAATACGGATTCGCATCAGCCAGCTCCCGGCGACCCTGGGTGTATGTTGTCAATATGCTTCCCGTTGAATTCTCATCGATGTTACGCCCGGCCCATGTGGCTCATTGCTTTGAGCATTATCCCTGGCCCATGGGGTCAATAGTTCAACTCCCAGTCTGGGCACACCCTCTACTTGGGGGATGGAACCCACAACCCCCAAGTAGGGGACATGCAGGTGGCGGCTGATCAATGTCTCTCTCTCTCTCTCTCTCTCTCATCGGTGTTTTTCTCTCTCCCCCTCCCCCTTCCTCTCTCTCTCTCTCTCTCAAAAAAAGTCAATAAAAACATATTTTAAAAAATCAATGTGATCCCTAACCGGTGTGGCCCAGTGGATAGAGCATTGGCCTAGGGACTCAAGGGTCCCGGGTTTGATTCCAGTCAAGGGGCATGTGCCTTGGTTGCTGGCACATCCCCCAGTAGGGGGTGTGCAGGAGGCAGCTGATGGATGTTTCTCTCTCGTCGTTGTTTCTAACTCTCTATCCCTCTCCCTTCCTCTCTGTAAAAATCAATAAAATACATTAAAAAAAAAAAAAAAAAAAAAAAAACAGCAGAAACCGGTTTGGCTCAGTGAATAGGCATCGGCCTGCGGACTAAAGGGTCCCAGGTTCGATTCCAGTCAAGGGCATGTATATTGGTTGCGGGCACATTCCTGGTGTGGGGTGTGCAGGAGGCAGCTGGTCGATGTCTCTCTCTCATCGATGTTTCTAGCTCTCTATCTCTCTCCCTTCCTCTCTGTAAAAAATCGATAAAATACATATTTAAAAAAAAAAAAAACAATGTGGCACCTGTTCATGTCAGATGGAATGCTGCCGTTTCTCGGATGATTGTCTTGAAGCATCGGGACCAAAATGAAGGCTCCCAGTGAACTCTTCCCCGGAGGAGGAGTGAGTGGCTACCCGGGGATCAGGCGCCACCGAGAGGGTCCCACGAGGCCCTCGTGGCAGGTCCTTCTGGGTAGCAACCTCAGGTGTGGCCAGGAGGTGGTGAATGCCCGTGGGAGGCAGCTCCGAGCAGGACGTCAGGAAAACACAAGGGCTGGAGCTCGGAGTGGGCGCGGGGAACAAAGCGGGCCCTCAGGAGATGGGCCGGGCAGAGCGGAGCGCCAGCCGTGAGTAGGAGGCCGGAGGGTCAGAAATGCACCCAGATGCCAACTGAGTCTGGTCTCCGCAGAGCGGGGGGCGGGCTGCCCGGAAAAGGGCGCAGACAAGAATGGAGTGCCCGGCCGGCAGCCCGAGTGGCTCCGGAGTTGAACGTTAACCTATGAACCAGGAGGTCAGGGTTCGATTCCCGGTCAGGGCACAGGCCCGGGTGGCGGGCTCCATCCCCAGGGTGGGGCGTGCAGGAGGCAGCCTGTCTGTGATTCTGGGCTGGCCGGTGCTTGCTGGGCAGCGAGGCCAGGGAATCGGGACTTTTCAAAGCTCCCAGGTGTGAGCACAGGGCACCAGGATGGAGCTGTGGGTGGCGCTCCTGGCTCCTCCCAGGAGGCATCCTGGAGAAGAAGGAACGCAGGAACCTCAGGAGGTCAATGCCGTCTGAGAGACGCAGACAGGGACGTGTTCGTGAGCGCGTGTGCGTGTATGTTTTCTCAAGACTCTTCTTTGCTGGCGTTTCTTTCCCTTTTTTAAAATATATTTTTATGGAAAGGCTGTTACCTAGCTTTCGGTTTTTAAAGGCTTCAGAAACACCACCAGCTTTCTGATGTGGAAAACACCGAAGCTTCACATTTTCATCAAAGTCATCCTGAGTTGCCTTTGCTTTTAACATAACAAAACAGCCTTCTCCCAAGTTAGTGCCCCTCCAATAAAACTTGTTCAGAAGTGAAAAAAAAATAAAAATAAATAAATAATATTTTTTTTATTATTATTGATGTCAGAGAGGAAGAGAGATGGGGAGAGAGAGAGAGAGAGAGAGAGAGAGAGAGAGAGAGAGAGAGAGAGAGGGAGAGAGAGAGAGAGAAGCATCCATGATGAGGGAGAATCATGGACCAGCTGCCTCCTGCACACCCCACACTGGGGATGGAGCCCACAATCCAGGCCTGTGCCCTTGACCGGGAATAGAACCGTGACCTCCTGGTTCCTAGGTGGACGATCAACCACGGAGCCACACCAGCCGGGCTTGCTGACGTGTCTGACGTGGTCAGCTACGCATCCTTTCGGTGCCCCCTGGAGGGGAGGGGAGGCCAGACTCCCGGAGCCTAGTGTTCCCAGGGCCAGGAAGTGGCCAGCCTTCCCGGCCAGGCGGCCCGGGGCAGGCGCTCAGAGGCGTCAGAAGAAGTGCCCTTGGCCTCGCTCCGAAGCAATGCGTGTGGCGCTCTGGCGGCCACCAGAGGAGGTGTTTCTGTCTCAGAAAGCCCCCCTCGGACCCGGCCAGCGTGGCTCAGTGGGGAGCGTCGACCTAGGAACCAGGAGGTCACCGTTCCATTCCCGGTCAGGGCACAGGCCCGAGTTGTAGGCTGGATCCCCAAATGGGGGGGTGAGGGGGAAGGGGTGCAGGAGGCAGCTGAACCATGAGTCTCTCTTATCATGGATGTTTCTATCTCTCTCTCTCCCTCTCCCTTCCTTCCTGAAATCAATTTTTAAAATATGTTTTTATTGGTTTCAGAGAGGAAGGGAGAAAAGAGAAAGCGATAGAAACCTCAATGATGAGAGGGAATCGTTGATTGGCTGCCTCCTGTCACTGGGGATTGAGCCCACAACTCGGGCATGTGCCCTTGACTGGAATCGAACCTGGGACCCTCCAGTCCAAAGGCCGATGCTCTATTCCCTGAGCCAAACCAGCCAGGGCTGAAATCAATTTTCAAAACGTGTATCTATTTTTTAAGTCTGATTCAGGAAATGTGTTTGGAATGCGGTGGGCTCCCCCTTGTGGCCAAGCTGGAGGACACGCAAATGACCAAAATCAGAAGTGCAGGAGGCGGGGAGCCCTGGCTGGTTTGGCTCAGTGGATAGAGCATCCGTCTATGGGCTGAAAGCTCCCAGGCTCGATTCCAGTCAAGGGCACATGCCTGGGTTGTGGGCTCGATCCCCAGTAACGGGGTGTGCAGGAGGCAGCTGATCGATGTTTCTCTCTCATCGATGTTTCTAACTCTCTATCCCTCTCCCTTCCTCTCTGTAAAAAATCAATAAAATTATATATATATTTTTAAAAAGAATACTATTTGGTAACATGTGAAAATCGCATGAAATTCAAACCCCAGGGTTTATGAATAAAGCTTTATTAGCAAATCCCGTTATAACGGGGGCACGGCCAGACGAGGCGCTCGGGGAAAGTCGAGCATGTGCACAGGAAAAACTCCTCACAGCCCCTCTTCTTCCTGAAAAGAAAAAAAACTTGGAAATAGGGCTGCGACCAAAGTAAGTCGCCACGCGGTTCGTGTGATCGCCAGGCGAGGAAAGCCGTTCGCAGGGGGAGAGACCTGAACCATGTCTGGCCGCAGCAGCCGGAGAAATGTGGTCCGAGGAGACGAACTTGCTGGCAGTGATTAGCTTTTTGCTTGATAAGGGAGAACTTGGGGAGCCACATCCGTCATCAATTTTTTTTTAATTTTTTAAATATATTGTATTGATCCTTTACAGGGAGGAAGGGAGAGAGAGCTAGAAACGTCGATGAGAGAGAAACATTGACCAGCCGCCTCCTGCACACCCCCAACCAGGGATGTGCCCTTGACCAGAATCGAACCCTGGACCTTTTAGTCCCCAGACCGTGCTTTTAGTCCCCAGACCTAGTCCCCCTCCGTGCTCTTCCACGGAGCCATCATCAATTTTTTTTAAAATGCATAATTGTCCGGCAGAGGGCAGCATTGCCCCAAAGAGCAAAACCACCTACAGGAACGGGTTCAGAGGGCAAATGCATCCGATTTGCCAAGATTTCATGAACGCTGTCCTCGTTTGTTTAATCTCCACGAAAACCTGGAGAGGTGGGTACTTTTTTATACTCCTGCTCTTGCAAACAAGCAAGCTGAGGCTCAGAAGAGTTAGGTGACACGGGTAAGGTCTCATAGCTGGGAAGCCTAAGCCAGTGGTGGGCAAACTGTGGCTCCAGAGCCACATGCGGCTCTTTGGCCCCTGGAGGGTGGCTCTTCCACAAAACACCACGGCCTGGGCGAGTCTGTGTGGAAGACGTGGAGTCAAAAGAAGTTGAAGTTTAAACAACGTGGCTCTCCAGAGACATGTCCATCGCTGTGCTGTGGATAGTGGGCTCTGTGGACTCCTGAGTTTGCCCACCCCTGGCCTAAGCCATTTGTCTCCCTCCAGGCCTGTATCTCTGTGAAAGTAAATGACGATACAGTGCTTCTAGACAAATCAAACCCAGAACATCGTGGCTTCACGCAACACCGGTGACCTCCCAGGTGGCACGGGCAGGAAGGAGGAAGCAGGTGAGTGGGGAGGTGCCAGGTAGGAGACTGTGGTCACATGATGTCCCGGCTGCCGTCTCCCAAAGACCTGGCTTCGGGTCTCTGTCTCTCCCCAGGTGTGTGTCATTGTTCCCATGGAAACTGGCCTCATAAGGGAGAGAGAGCTGGGAGTCACGTGCCATTCGTTCTGCACCACTATCTCCTGGGTGCTATGACTCAGGTCTGCTCAGGGCGGGAGGGGCTGTGACTCCCAGGAGGTGGGGTCCCAGGAGCCAGCTTTCCAGCAAAGGGGATGCCGGTGCCAGCCTCCAAGAGTTCATTCAAGAAAGGACCTGTCCTAACAACGGGCGAAGGCCAGAGTTGGGACAAGTCTCAGGCAACCTGGGTCCAGGCCTCAGGGAGCTTGGGGAGAGCAAGGAGGGGCAGACAGGCACAGTGACACAGAGGCTCAAAGTTCAGGTTAGAATGTTTGGGAGAGGACAGAAAACTGCCTGCCCAGCCGGTGTGGCTCAGTGGTTGAGCATCGACCTGCGAACCAGGAGGTCACGGTTCAATTCCCGGTCAGTGCCCATGCCTGGGTTGTGGGCTCCATCCCCAATGGGGGGCGTGCAGGAAGTCACCGATCCATGATTCTCTCTCCTCATGGATATTCCTCTCTCTCTCTCTCTCTCCCTCTCCCTTCCTCTCTCTGAAATCAAGAAAAATTATGTTAGCCCTGGCTGATGGCTTCTTCAATTTTGTGATTTTGTAATGTTTTCCAGGAGAAGAATAGGAATGAACTTCCCATGGCAGTGAACTCGTGTGATGGCTGTGGGCTCGTGTCACCAGCGCAGGAACGCATGTCAACTCCACTTCCTGTGCTTTTTATTAAAAAATATATGTGTGTCTGTGTGTGTGTATATATATATTTCTTTATTGATTTCAGAGAGGAAGGGAGAGGGAGAGAGATAGAAACATCCACGATGAGAGAGCATCATGGATCGGCTGCCTCCTGCCCGCCCCCTACTGGGGATCGAGCCCACAACCTGGGCATGTGCCCTTGGCCAGAATCGAACCCAGGACCCTTCAGTTCGCCGGCCGACGCTCTATCCACTGAGCCAAAATGGTTAAGGCCCTGCGCTTTTTTAAAAATATATATATATTTATTTATTGATTTCAGAAAGGAAGGGAGAGGGAGAGAGACGCTTCCCAGTTTTCTGTTTTGATTTATCTTTGTTGTGACAGATGGCCCCTGCCCTCCTGCTTTCTGAACGGACCGTTGGCTGCGTGTTAAGAGGAGGTAGACAAGAAGTTATCAAAGAAAAGAATGGATTTTTTTTCTCCCAGATAATATTGTCCCCAAATTGGAGGGAGTGGAGGAATTGGGGCCATAAAGAAAGGTGCCGTGTCACCGGGTGCAAAAGAGAAAGTCAAACGAGCATTAAACAATGACCTTCATCCTTTTGCTCCAAAATGAAGGGAAAAAAAAGTAAATTATTTTAGAAGAAAATAACCATACAATTTTTAAAAATATATGCTTTATTGATTTTTTTTACAGAGAGGAAGAGAGAGGAATAGTCAGAAACATGGATGAGAGAGAATCATCAATCAGCCGCCTCCTGCACACCCCCCACTGGGGATGTGCCCGCCACCTAGGTCCATGCCCTTGACGGGAATCGAACCCGGGACCCTTCAGTCCGACGCTCTATCCACTGAGCCACACCGGTTTCGGCCATACAATTTTTTGTTTAAAGTTGCCACCCAGCCGCGTGACCCAGGAGTAGCGACCTATGACCCAGGGGTCAGGGCACAGGCATGGGTTGCGGGTTTGACCCCGCGTGGGGCGTGCAGAGGCAGCCCATCCCTGATGCTTTCTCATCACTGGTGTTTCTTTGTCCCCCTCCCTTCCTCTCTGAAATCAATTTAAAAATATATATATATATATTTTTTTTTAAGTTGCCTGTTAATTCCATCTCCTTTGGACCACGTGCTCCCACACACCCTTCATTCCCGCCCCCGCCCCCCGGGGGGCCCCAGCACCGGGTCCGATGAGCTGGGAGGTGGGTGCAGGGGGCGCTGGGAACCGGAGGGAGCTCGGGCTTGCCCGCCGGGCCGGCACCGCCTCCGGAGCGGGTGCGGCGCCCCGGAGCGCCGGCAGGGGGCGCTGTGGGCCTGGCGCCGGGACCAGCGGTCCCCGGACCCGCCCCCCTCCCTCCTCCCTCCTCCTCCTCCTCCTCCTCCTCCCTCCATCCCGCCCCCTCCCGCCCCCCGCGCGTGGCGTCGCCGGCGCCGGGCGGGGACGGCCGGGCTCCACGGCGGCCGCAGTGCCCGGTCCGCGCGGCAGAGCGGAGGCGCGGAGCGCAGGCGGCCCCGGGCTCCTTTGTCCGAGCGGCTCCGGGGAGGCTCCGGCCCGGACCAGGCCCCGCCGCCCGCCCGCGGGAGGGGAGGAGGCTCCGGGGCAGCCGCCCGCCGGCCCGATGCCCCCGCAGCAGGGCGGCCCCGCGCTCCCCGGCCGCTGCGAGGCGCCGCCGGTGCCGCCCCGCCGGGAGCGCGGGGCGCGCGGGGCGCGGGGCGCGGGGGGCGCCCGGGGCCGCGCCATCAAGTGCGTGCTGGTGGGCGACGGCGCGGTGGGCAAGACCAGCCTGGTGGTGAGCTACACCACCAACGGCTACCCCACCGAGTACGTGCCCACCGCCTTCGACAACTTCTCCGGTGAGCGCGGGGCGCGGGGCGCGGGGGGTGCGGGGGGCGCGGGGGGCGCGGGGCGGGGGGCGCGGGGTGCGGGGCGGGGGGCGCGGGGCGCGGGGCGCGGGGGGCGCGGGGCGCGGGGCGCGCGGGGCGCGGGGCGCGGGGCGCGGGGGGCGCGGGGCGCGGGGGGAACGGGAAGGGAGATCCAGGCGGGGACCCGGGGGGGGGGGGTGTCCAAGGCTCGGACCCAGCGCGGGGTGCGGCGCACACCGTTCCCGAGCCTTTTGGGGACCCGCGAGCCGCGGGGGAGAGGATGGGGAGCCCAAAAGTGAGCCCGCGACGGGGGTGGGAATGGGGGGCCGGGGGCGCGCGAGGGGGGCGCAGGGAGAGGGGCGCGGTGCTGGCCGGCCCTGGTGCGCCCGGAGGAGCGAGATCGGGGCGGTGATCGCGGGGACCCCCTGGGGGGAGGGCGATCCAGGGCTCGGACCCAGTTCGGGGTGCGGGGCACAGTCCCCCGAGCCTTTTGGGGACCCGCGAGCTGGGGGGAGAGAGGATGGGGAGGTCCAAAAGCGAGCCAGCGGCGGGGGTGGGAATGGGGGGACGGGGGCGCGAGCCTGGGGGTGACAGAGACACGGGGAGCCCCCCCGGGAGCCAGCAGGCCGAGCGCAGGTTGCACGGTCGGTCGGTCGGTCGGTCGGTCTGCGTGGCGGCAGGTCCCCGGGAAGGGGGCGCGCAGGTGCCGTTACCTGTGGCCTCGACGCCACCCGCCCTGACCTCCCGGGCTTCTCCGCTTCAAAGGGCCGCCGAGGGCGGGGAGGGGGAGGTTGGTGGCTGGAGCCCCAGCGGGCCTGGCGGAGGCTTAGGTGGGGGTTAAGCCGGAGGATAAACGGGATTTCTTTCTCTTTGAGGCCCCCCTGCCCCGGCCCCGCCGCCCCCACGGGCTGTGAGGCTTAGGGTCGGCGCCTTCCCTTCTCTGGGAGCTGCGGGAGCTCCTAGGGTTGCTGGGTTTGGCAGAGGGAAGATAAAGGGCCCTTTACCTTGGTTTTTCAGGTCTTTTTGCAATTTAGGGGAAAGTGGAAATCCTCAGGAACTAGTGGGGAAACACTCTCCCTCTCTCTCTCTCTCTCTCTCTCTCTCTCTCTCTCACTCTGTTGGTTTGTTTTTAAATGCTTCTCCATCTCTCTTTTTGAAAAAGTATATTTCATTGAGGTTTTTACAAAGAAGGGAGAGGGATAGAGTTAGAAACATCCATGAGAGAGGAATATGGATCAGCTGCCTCCTGCATGCCCCCACCTGGGGATGTGCCCGCAACCAAGGCACATGCCCTTGACGGGAATCGAACCCGGGACCCCTCAGTCTGCAGGCCGATGCTCTATCCACTGAGCCATCCCGGCCCAGGCTCTCCCTTTTCTCTTTGGAGCCCTCCCCCGGAGCCGGCCGTGCCCTCTCTGATAAGCAGGACAGCGCGGGCAGCCAGCGTCCGCACTCGGTCCCAGAACCAGCGACGGTTTCATGATAAACCCGGGCGCTCCAGGCCAGTTCCCAGGGGAAAGTAGTTCTTGGTGAGGCTGCGGGGCCGGTGTCCCCTCACCCTCCCTCTCGCCGTGTTTCTAGATCTTTGGAGTCGAGTGCGGCCGGAAAATAAATCTTGGGGGGGCAGCAGGAGAGTGCAGGCAGGCCTTTCTGGGGTGCCAGCTGGCTGGGGGGAAGGAGGGAGGTAGAGGGTTGCCTCATCGGAGGCCGTGGGTGGAATTGTCACCCCTGGAGGGAGGTTTACAAAAATGCCGGGCGGCCCGGCGGGGCGTAGCTCAGCGGTTGAGCCTCAAGCTATGAACCAGGAGGAGGTCAGGGTTCGATTCCCGGTCAGGGCACATACCGGGATTGCGGGCTCCATCCCCAGTAGGGGGGCGTGCAGGAGGCAACCAGTCAATGACTTTCTCTCATCGTGGATGTTCCCGTCTCTCTCTCTCTCTTCCTCTCACCCTTTCTCTCTGGAATCTATATCTATATCTATCTTCCTATCTATCTATATATATATTTTTTAAACTAGAGGTCCCGTGCACAAAATTTGTGCATGGGTAGGGTCCCCAGGAGTGGCTGGTGATCAGGGCTGATCAGGGTCCTTGCCTCACCTCCTCCCCATCTCCCCGCCTCCTCCTTCTCTCACCACCCATGCACTGGTCACCCACCACATTCCTCGCTGCCCCCTGGTAGTCAGCGCTCATCATAAGCGACCGATCGATCTGCCATTCTCCCGGTCGAACTCCCGCGGGGACACTTGGCACATTAGCCTTTTATATATATAGAAGATGCCTTTCGGGGGCCTGCTTGTTTTAGGCGAGTCTTTCATGGATTTGGGGGGTGGGGCGGGGGGGGCCAGGACAGGAGCCTCGGGGTCCGAGGGAGGATGGTAGGGCAGGCCAACACGGCGGTTCTTGGGCACGTGCTTGAGAGAGGCCCCTGCTCATCGCTCTGGTCTTGTCTTCCAGCCGTGGTGTCCGTGGACGGGCAGCCTGTGAGACTCCAGCTCTGTGACACGGCGGGACAGGTCAGTATCGCATCCAGGTTCCGTGCCGGGACAGGAAACAGCTCCCTCCCCACCTCCCAGCCCCCTCCCCGAGGCATTGGGTAACTCGGCACCCGCACGCCACCACGGCCGCCGCCCCACCCCGGCCGCGGGGCCCCTCTCCGGGAAACTCTGCCCCCATAAAACGGGGTGTGGCCAGCTGTGGGTGGGCAGGACGGGGGACAGCGGGGTCAGACAGTTCTTACCTCGCAGGCGTTTCTGATCTTGTTTACCTTCTGGTTTTTTTATGGGGGGAAAAAGTCCTCTGTAATCATTCCTCCAAGTGAGCTGGTGGTATCTTATCGTCAGTGAGCTAGAGATGTGGAGGGCATGATGGGAAGGTGGGGTGTATGTCCGTCCGCGTCGCTGTGTCCCTTTCCAAGCTGGGCCTGACCCCCCCAAGGCCACTGCTGTCCTTGGAGGCAGAGGTGGGAGGTGGGAGCTAGGAGCTGGCCGGCGCTCCGCGGGGAGGGCTGGCCCGGAACGCCATCTTCCAAATCGTGAACGTTTATTCCCGCCGTGAGGGCCAGGCCCTCGGGGGAGGCGGCCGGAGGAGGGAGAGGGAGGACACAGGGGAGAGGACATGGCCCAGAGCTCAGAGGCTCATCATCACTCAGCACCCACGTGGCACGGCTCTCGGGCCATCCAAGTTTCTGTTCTCTTTATTTCCTTTTAGATATATGTTTATTGACGTCAGAGAGGCAGGGAGGATTGAGAAAGAGAGAGAAACGTCCGTGATGAGAGAGTCATGGATCGGCTGCCTCCTGCACGCCCCACACTGAGGGTGGAGCCTGCAACCCGGGCCTGTGCCCTGACCGGGAATCGAACCACCGTGACCTCCTGGTTCCTAAGTCAATGCTCAACCACTGAGCCACGCCAGCGGGCTCTGTGCTCTTTAAGAAGTTGTGCCAGGCCAGCATGGCCCAGTGGTTGACCAAGGAACCAGGAGGTCACGGTGGTTCGATTCCCGATCAAAGCACAGGCCCGGGTGGCGGGTTCGATCCCCAGGGTGGGGCGTGCAGGAGGCAGCCGATCCATGGTTCTCTCTCGCCGTTAATGTTTCTATTTCTCTCTCCCTCTCACGTCCTCTCTGACATCATTTTTTTTTTAAACAAAAACATATTTTAAAAGAAAATAAAAGTCGGAGAAACACGTGAATCATTTGAGAAATATTTTCACGCACGACATTTGTTTGTGGAATAAAGGGGTTGGGTGCTGAGTTGCGAAGTGTTGGGGGTATTGGGGATGGATTCGTCTGGTCACCCAGCAGTGTTTTCGTTGAGATTATTATATTTCTTACCGGATGTGCTAGTTAGCGAAGTGTCCCTGGTTATGTCCTGAATGAGGCTACTTATTATGTCCTGAATGAGGACGGTTTGCAGAAAACCAAGTGCAAAACCTGGGAAATACCCACAGCTGGGAAGAGGGAGTCCATTGTTTCCTGTTTCCTGAGTATCAGTTAGTATTGGTTTTTGGGTGTGTTTTTTTTAATATATTTTATTGATTTTTTTACAGAGAGGAAGGAAGAGGGGTAGAGAGTTAGAAACATCAGATCAGCTGCCTCCTGCACACCCCCACTGGGGATGTGCCCGCAACCAAGGTCCATGCCCTTGACCGGAATCTAACCCGGGACCCTCCAACCTGCAGGCTGACGCTCTATCCACTGAGCCACACGGCCAGGGCAGTTCGTACTGGTTTTGACGGTTGGCAAAGCTGCCCAAAGCGATCGCCCTTTTTGCCCCACCTGCTCCGGAGCTGATGGACTGACTCCCTCGTAGAGGACTTGTTTTGACTCCTGTCATAATCACTCGGTGTTGACTCAGCCAATGGAACGCCCCTCCTCCAGGCAGCTCCCAGGATTGCCTGGTGGATGTGCAGTGAGTGACTCAGCCGGCTCCTGTGTGAGCACAGGCAGCCAGACCCTGGGGCCCCACAGCAGGTTTCCTACCGAAGCTCAGAGCCTAACCGGTGTAGCTCAGTGGATAGAGTGTCGGCCTGCGGACTGAAGGATCCCGGGTTCGATTCCGGTCAAGGGCATGTCCCTTGGTTGCGGGCACATCCCCAGTGGGGGGTGTGCAGGAGGCAGCTGATCAATGTCTCTCTCTCTCTCATCGCTGTTTCTGCCTCTCTCTCCCTCTCCCTTCCTCTCTGTAAAGAATCAATAAAATACATATTTTTTAAAATGGGAGGAATTCTATTAAAAAAAAAAAAAAAGATGTCAAAAGGAGGTTCCAATGGCGGACTCACATTCTTCTTCCAGTGAAAACGGATCTGACACCGAGGATTTGGGGGGACGTGCCTTTGGCATCTGAGAGATCGGGGTGGGGGGTGAGGGGGGAGCTGCAAGAAGACTGGTCCATTGTAGCTCTGCCAGGAGGAGCTGAAAGCCTCCCGCCTTCGGACGCAGGAGGCGCGTGGAGAAACCTTTTTACCAAAAAATTAAATAAATGATCCGATGGCAGCTGGACGGACCTACTGCCCAGCTGCTGCCCGGCCCGGCCCCTGAACCAGATCCTCCCACCACCACCCCCCACTCACAGAGCCCGAGGCAGAGGGACCCCCGGGCCTCGAGAGTGCACCCCACTTGGCCTTCCTCCTGCCCCAAACACACACACACACACACACACACACACACACACACACACACACACGTGCGCGCGCGCACTGCCATCTCGGCAAATATCTAGGGTTTCTGGCCCAGCGTTGGGCGGGAGGGTTTCGTTCCTGCTCGGCTTCCCGCAGCCTCCCTGCGCCAGAATCTCCAGAAGTCGGGGAGCCAGATTCCCCCCCCCCCCACACACACACACACACACTCTGTCGCAGGCCCCGGGCCATGGGCCCCGGGCCCCAAGCTCGCCTCTCCTTTCACCGGTAACGCAACCCCCGACGCCAGGGCCCAGCCCCGGGTGAGGGCCTTCCGAGAAGCCGGAGCGGGCGCCTGGGGAGCTGACCTCACGCCGGCTCTCGGTCTCCCGTGTCTCCTCCGGGCGCCTGAGAACAGAGGGGACGTTTCATGCCTGGAACCTCAGAGCCGGGCACGGGTCCACGCCCGGTCGGGTGACCGCGTCGATGCTTTCAGCTCGGGGCTGGCACGGAGAAACCTGAGTTGTGCTTTCTGACTCTCGCTCGCAGGGGACTGGCCGGGGGGCCGGGGACACTCTGAGATGCCCCCGTCGCTCCTGGTCATGTTCGCCGACTGACTTTATTTTTTTATTTTTATTATTTTTATTTTTTAAAATGTATTTTATTGATTTTTGTCCAGAGAGGAAGGGAGAGAGAGAGTTAGAAACATCGACGAGAGAGAGTCATCCATCAGCTGCCTCCTTGCACACCCCTTACTGGGGATGTGCCCGCAACCAAGGTCCATGCCCTTGACCGGAATCGAACCCGGGGACCTTTCAGTCCCCAAGCCGAGGCTCTAGCCACTGAGCCACACCGGTTTCGGCTGCCGGCTGACTTGAATGCAGTCCGATGGTCGTCACCCGGCGATGGAAGTGGAGAGCCCGGACGAAGGAAATGGGTGTTCCACAGGAGACACATCCTGGGAAGGCAGATGCGGGGTCATGTGCATGGGAGTGGTCACGTGTCAATCATCGGAGCGTGGCAGTTCGTCACCCAAAACCTGGGTGGCACGGAGCCTCTCCTGGCCCGGGAAATCGCCCGTCACGTGACACCCGAGGATGCGCGGCGGCCACAGACAGAACGAGACAATGTCAGGAAGCTTTCCAGTAGCTGACTCGAGTGCCTGGGTGTGAGATATAAAAAACGTTGAACACATTTGGAAGATTCTGGTTGTGTGGGCCCCATGTAGGGGAGCCACAGGGTCCCTCCTTAGACACGGGCCCGTCTTCCCATAACCGGCGGGTTTTCTGTCACCTGCCGGATGCCTTTAAGAACCGTAGGAAGGTGCCCGGCCAGTGTGGCTCAGTGGTCGGGCGTCAGCCCATGAACCAGGAGGTCAGCGTTTGATTCCCAGTCAGGGTGTGGGTTGCGGACTTCATCCCCAGTCGGGGGCGTGCAGGAGGCAGCCGATCCATGATTCTCTCTCATCATGGATGTTTCTCTCTCTCTCCCTCTCTCCTTCTCTCTTCCTCTCTGAAATAAATATATATATATATATATATATATATATATTAATGTGAAGGTGGTCTTTCTATGGATGAGATGGACTTAAAATATAACTCTGGGTGGCCCTATCCAGTTCGGCTCAGTGGCTAGAGTGTAGGCCTGTGGACTGAAGGGTCCTGGGTTCGATTCCAGGTCAGGGCACATGCCCGAGTTGTGGGCTTGATCCCCGGTAGAGGACGTGCAGAAGGCAGCCAATCAGTGATGCTCTCTCATCATTGATGTTTCTATCTCCCTCCTTCTCCCTTCATCTCTGAAATCGATTAATATATATATTTATGTATGTGTGTGTGTGTATATATATATTTAATTTTTAATGTAAAGGTGGTCTTTCTTTGGATGAGATGGACTTAAAAAATAATTTTGGGTGGCCCTATCCAGTTTGATTCAATGGTTAGAGCATCAGCCTGCAGACTGAAGGGTCCTGGGTTCGATTCCCATCAAGGGCATGGACCTCGGTTGCGGGCACATCCCCCGTAGGGGGCGTGCAGGAGGCAGCTGATCAACGATTCTCTCTCATCGATGTTTCTAGCTCTCTCTCCCTCTCCCTTCCTCTCTGTCAAAAATCAATAAAATATTTTTTTAAAAATCAATAAAATATATTTTTAAAACAAAATAAAAAAAAATAAAAATAACCGCTGGCTTCATTGCAGGACGAGTTCGACCGGCTGCGGCCCCTGTGCTACACCCACGCAGACGCCTTCCTGCTGTGCTTCAGCGTGGTCAGCCCGACCTCCTTCCAGAACGTGACGGAGAAGTGGGTGCCCGAGGTCCGGCGCCACTGCCCCCGGGCGCCCGTGCTGCTGGTGGGCACGCAGTCGGACCTGAGGGAGGACGTCAAGGTGCTCATCGAGCTGGACAAGGCCAAGGAGAAGCCGGTGCCCGAGGAGGCGGCCCGGCTGTGCGCCGAGCAGGTCAAGGCGGCCGCCTACATCGAGTGCTCGGCGCTCACCCAGAAGAACCTCAAGGAGGTCTTTGACGCGGCCATCGTGGCCGGCATCCAGCACTCGGACGCCCAGCAGCAGCAGCAGCAGCAGCCGCCGCAGCCGCCCCCCAAGAAGCCCAAAAGCAGGACTCCGGACAAAATGCGGACCCTGTCCAAGTCCTGGTGGAAGAAGTACTGCTGCTTCGTATGATGCTGGCCCGCCCGGCGGGCGTCCGGGAAGGAGGACCTTGGAGGGAGGAGATGCGAGAAGCAGGGACTCCAGGGGCTGCGCCCTGCCCGTAGGGGCGGCCGCTGTGCACACCCCCAAAGGAGCCCGCCTCCCTCTGTGTCCCCCTTCCGCCTCTGACATCCATTCCGTCCATTCCTCTGAGCTGAAGGAGGAGACTCCTATCTGCCTGGCCTCGGGGGAGTCACTGAAGCAGCCGCGATGCCTTTGGGAATGTAGATAGCGCGGGCCTTGGTTTCTCTCTGACATTAAAAGGACGCCTTGGACCTGGGGGATTGAGAGTGAGCTGTTGCTGCCTTGTAGTGCGCAGAGGGAAGTGTTTGGGGGTGTGGGGGTTCGGCGTCCCCCGATGGAGGGCTACTCCGGGCACCGTGTGTGTGGTTGACACAGGCTGGCTCTGGCGAGGATGACTCCGTCGCTTTTATGCCTTTTTTTTTTTTTAATATATTTTATTGATTTTCCACAGAGAGGAAGGGAGAGGGATAGAGAGCTAGAAACGTCGATGAGAGAGAAATGTTCATCAGCTGCCTCTTGCACATCCTCTACTGGGGATGTGCCTGCAAGCAAGGTACATGCCCTTGACCGGAATGGCACCCGGGACCTTTCAGTCCGCAGACTGACGCTCTATCCGCTGAGCCAAACCGGTTTTGGCAACTTTTATGCTTTTTTTTTTAAGGAGCAAAAATCAGGGCGGGAAAATGAGAGTCCGATTTGTGGGACACGAGATGTTCTCTTATTCCTTGAGTCAGCCAAAATGTACATGGCACACACACACACACACACGTATGTATGCATGTGAGTGTATATGTTTATATGCATGGCTGTATTTGCTGCTGACTCAGACTTGGATACAGGGAATGGGAGAAAGCGTGGGCACCAAAGGGGATCTGAGGAAAGTGTAGCTGCCTCTTCCTGTTAACACGTTTTGGGGTAACCACATTTCCTTTGGCGTGTACCCTAGGATCGAACACATTCCTGAGACCATCTGAAACTGAAGCATGAACCTCTTTCCTCCAAAACCTGTTTTAAAATCTGTGCAACCCACCGCTTCCATCCACAGTCTTGCAGGGAATTGCCAGCCAAGGGCTGTGCTGTGTGGGGGGGCGGGGGGGGTGGGGAGGAGGGAGGGAATGGGGAGAGGCGCGACCCCCAGGAGCCGGGTGGGTGCGGGGGCCACAGCCCCGGGCTCAGCTGGCCCTCGCTTCCAGGTGGTGAGCCAACCACACGTCTGCAAAGCCTCCTGTTCTCCCAGGCGGCAGCTCTTGGGGCTTCATGTCCCAGAGGACGGAATGGACCATTAGGGGGAGGGTCGTCTTGCTGGACGGCGCCCAGGCTTCTGAGATGCTTTCAGACACCGGCCTGGGGCGGGAAGTCGGAGAGAGTCGGGCCTGTGGGGCCGGAGCAGAGTCACCAAAGCCAGTGGCGTGGGAGAAGCTGGCAGAGAGAAGGGTTTTTTTGTTTGTTTGTTTTAAAATATATTTTATTGATTTTTTACAGAGAGAAAGGGAGAGAGATAGAGAGCTAGAAACGTCGATGAGAGAGAGACATCGATTAGCTGTCTCCTGCACACCCCCTACTGGGGATATGCCCGCAACCAAGGTCCATGCCCTTGACCGGAATCGAACCTGGGACCCTTCAGTCCGCAGGCTGATGCTCTATCCACTGAGCCACACCGGTGAGGGCTGGACCCATTCCCCAACGCCATAGAATTGGCTTCCGGAACAGGGTTCCCGCCCTACAGGCGCCTTCGTGGGTGGCGATGCCCCCAGAGGAGACTTTGATCTTGACCTAGGGGCCTATCATCCTGCCCTATTGTCACCGTGGAGACTTGCCTCTCTCTCGCACATGCACCTGGTAACATGCCCATGTGTGTGACTCGGGCGAGCACCATGGCTCTAGGTAAGGCCCTGGGCGGGGCCGTGTGGGGAGGAATGAACTCCAGACTCCCAGGCTCCTGTCCCGCCTCTGCCACTGGCTGCTCCCCATGGAGAGGACAAGTCTCATCGTTTTGGCCTTCTCATTTCTTCCCCCTCCCTGGGGCCTGACGGTGTGAAACCTCCATGGCGCCTTGTCTCTGTCATCTCAAGATCACCCCACTTCTTTTTTAAAATTTCTTTATTGATGAAGGTATCACATATGTGTCCTCATTCCCCCCCGCCCAATTCCCATCCCAAACCCCTCCCCACACGTGCCCCCACCCCCCTGTTGTCCGTGGCCACTGATTAGGCCCATAGGCGTGCACACAAGTCCTTTGGTTGATCTCTCCCCTCCCCCACACCCTACCCTGCCTTCCCTCTGAGGTCTGACGGTCTGATCGATGCTTCCCTGTCTCTGGGTCTGTTTTTATTCATCGGTTTATGTTGTTCGTCATTTCCCCTCCATGCGTGAGATCATGTGATACTAGACATGCCCTTATAAGAACCGAAAATGAGACGAGCCATCACAATGGTTTTGCCCAGAGGCAAATGAATCTCTCTGGGCCAACAGTTCTTTGGAGTCCCAGTTTCAAATTCACCCCACCTCCGCCCAGCTTTGATCTCCGGGACTGAGGTGTTGCCCCTTTAAGCAAAGTCAAACAGCCAGGTCATAAACCTGAGTAGAGCTCACCCACGCCCAGCCCAGGCTGCCCTGGGCCCCGTGGCACAGACACTCAAGGAGACACGTGGAGCGCCCACGTGGCAGGTGCGTCCTAGGTCCGTGTGAGTGTCCTACTTTCCCCGAGGGAGCAGTTCAGTGGGTGGCGTTTTCAGTCACCAAAACCCATTTCGGAGCCCTGGCCAGTGTGGCCCAGTGGACAGAGCGCCGGCCCTCGGCCTGAGGGGTCCCCGGGTTCGGTTCCTGTCAAGGGCATGTGCCTCGGTTGTAGGTTCCCGGGCTCTGCTCGGGGCGCGTGCGGGAGGCAACCTATCGTATCGATGTGTCTCTCTCACATCCAGGTTTCTCTCTGCCTCTTCCTCTCTCCCTTCCACTTTGCCAAAAAGTCAATGGGAAAATATATCCTCGGGTGAGAATTAACAAAAAAAAAAAAAAAAATAGAAGAAAAAAGGAGGAGGAGGAGGAGGAGGAACCAAAACAGATGTTTGACTCAGTGGATAGAGCGTCAGCCTGTGGACTAAAGGGTCCCAGGTTTGATTCCGGTCAAGGGCATGTACCCTGGTTGCGGGCACATCCCCAGGTGGGGGGTGTGCAGGAGACAGCTGATCGATGTTTCTCTCTCATCAATGTTTCTAGCTCTCTATCCCTCTATCCCTCTCCCTTCCTCTCTGTAAAAAATCAGTAAGGTATATTTTTTAAAAAAAAGAAAAGAAAGGGGAGAGATTCAAAGAGTACAAAATAGAGAAAGTAGTGAAGCTGAGCAAAGTGAGGGCTCCCCATGAGACGTAATTGGTTGTATTATGCAACCTCTGTAGGAAACTCAACACATGGAGTCCCTTTTTTTTTTTTTTTTTAATATATATTTTATTGATTTTCCAGAGAAGAAGAGAGAGGAATAGAGTTAGAAACGTCGATGAGAGAGAATCATCGACCAGCTGCCTCCTGCACACCCCCCACTGGGGATGTGCCCGCCACCAAGGTCCATGCCCTTGACCGGAATCGAACCTGGGACCCTTCAGTCTGCAGGCCGTGTTCCCTCTCAGATGCGTTCTGTTCTCCCCGAAACCTCCCAGGCCCGTCCGTCTGTCCCAGGGAGACAGCGTTATCTGGGATTGAGGGCAATAACAATTAACTTCGTAACAATTAACCACAGCCTCCGGCTGCAAACACGCCACCGTGCAAACAGGACCCTGATATCATCAACTGACAGCGACGCCCGGACTCCCCGGGCGCTTAGGAACCAGCCGCTTAGGAACCAGCCGGGACCTTGATCCCCGGAGCCCCACGTGGGGCCCAGATGCTGCCCAGGGAACACGTCAGACGTTGGAAAGTTACCGCCGAGCGTGTGGCTGCCCTGGATCGGGGCGGGAAGAGGGTGAGTCACGGGTCAAGAAGCCAGGCGTCGACACGACCGTTAGCGATGGTTCCTTCGGGTATTTTCTGAATCACCCAGCGAGGAGATGCTCATTGGGGGGTATGGGAAGCCCGGCCGGCTGGCTCAGCGCTCAGCGGTGGAGCATCGACCTAGGAACCAGGACCGTGGTCGGCAAACCGCGGCTCTCGGGCCCCTGGCGGGTGGCTCTTCCACAAAACACCACGGCCTGGGCGAGTCTGTGTGGAAGACGTGGCGTGAGGAGACGTTTACGTTTTTAAAAAAAATGTGGCTCTCCGGAGACCTGTCCGTCGCCGTGCTGTTGATATTTGGCTCTGTGGGCTGATGAGTTTGCCAACCCCTGAACCAGGAGGTCACGGTTCGATTCCCGGTCAGGGCACAGGCCCGGGTTGCGGGCTCCATCCCCAGTAGGGAGCGTGCAGAAGGCAGCCGATCCATGGTTCTCTCTCAGCATGGGTGTTTCTCTCTCTCTCTCCTTCTCCCTCTCCCTCTCTGACATCACTAAAACCATATTTAAAAAATAAGAGAGAGATTGCTGAAACGGTTGGCTCAGTGGATAGCGCATCAGCCTGCGGACTAAAAGGTCCCGGGTTCGATTCTGGTCAAGGGCGTGTGCCTTGGTGGCGGGCACATCCCCAGGTGGGGGGTGTGCAGGAGGCAGCTGATGGATGTTTCTCTCTCATCGGTGTTTCTAGCTCTCTATCCCTCACCCTCCCTCTCTGTAACAAATCAATAAAAATATTTTTATAAATAAATAAATAAATGAGAGAGAGAGAGAGAGAGGAGATGGAACTCGTCAGTTGCAACTCTCACATGCACTTATCCAAATCCAAACACTGTCCTCTGTTCTTGAGAGACGTGAGCCCACACTCCCCCTGCCCTCACCACCCCCCCCCCCCGCCCCCAGGCACCGCATGGCTGTCTGTCTGACTGTCCGAGGCCACAGGCTGGGAGCTCTGTCTTCCCGCTCCCCGTC